ATTTTAATTGAGCAACTCCCGTCAAAGTGAATCCATTCAAATTACCAAGGAACTGATTTGGGGGGGGGGGTCTAGTCAATTTCATTGGTTTTTGGGGTTTTTTTTTCTCCCTAGGTCAAGAAGGATATTAAAACTGGTCATTCAAAGGGGTTTGGCTTTGTTCGTTTTACGGAATATGAAACCCAGGTTAAAGTAATGTCACAGCGGCATATGATAGATGGACGGTGGTGTGACTGTAAACTTCCTAATTCTAAGGTACTTTGCTCTTTTTTCCCTGTGCTTTGGGACTTTTTGCTGACAAACTCCCTTAGAAGACATTGTAAAATGACACATAAAATGCACTTGGAAAAGGTGGTGGCTGGTGGATTCCTGAAACCTTTTGCCTTGTTAAAGCCTTAGTACCTGCATGTGTGCTGAATATTTTGTTTGAAATCTTTGGTTTATCATCCCTCTAAACTAAAAGTTTTTTGTTTTATTCTTTTTCTTGTTATTTTTAGTGAGTGAACAGTTTCTTACGTAGATACACATTAAAACGCAAGGACAGTCAGAATACCTTAATCTTATCATGAAGGCCTGACTGGTTTCGGACAAGCAGGACTGACTAGGAGAGTCAGCGTCTTTGCCAGGGCATTTCTGTCATTGGCTTTCCTTAATCCAAATAGATAGTCGTGAACTTCAAACTTTAAAATGTGGGGGCCACTGGCAGGCTCAGTTGGTAGAGTGTGTGACTCTTGATCTGAGAGTTGTGAATTCAAGCCCCGTGCTGGGTGCAGAGAAAACTTAAAAATTAGGTTTTTTTAAAAAATAAAATGTTTTTCCTCACCGAAGTTTTCAAAAGATGTGCTGGTGCAGAAAACTGAGAAGGTACCTACTTCGTTAATGACTAAGAGAAAAGGCAGGTAACTTTTGTTAGATCCTCTTTTCTTGGCTCGTAGAATATTTCTCATAGTTTTCTTTTCTTTCGACTCGCCCAGCAAAGCCCGGATGAGCCTCTGAGAAGCAGGAAGGTGTTCGTCGGGCGCTGCACGGAGGACATGACCGCCGACGAGCTGCGCCAGTTCTTCTGCCAGTACGGGGAAGTGGTAGACGTCTTCATTCCCAAACCGTTCAGGGCCTTTGCCTTTGTTACGTTTGCAGACGATCAGGTATTTTTCTCTTTAATAATTTTGTCCCAACTCTGTTAGGTAATTGTCTTGAACTTCTCCCACGCCGCCAGTTGCCGTCCTTAGCTGAGCTATGGGATAGGTGGGTCTAGATGGTCATGATAAACCCTTGCGGTACTTTTTCAGTGTGAGGCAGTTAACTCGGAGAGCTCTGTTTTTTTGAGAATAAGCTGGCAGATCCCTGCTGCCTTCCCAGAGCTAAAGGCGGTTTTGTGGGTTTGAGTGAAATGAGCGGTCGTTGCTTATTTGTCCGCCCGCTTAGACAGTGGCTTGAAATCTAAGTGTTATTGCTACCTTGACGCGTGAGTCAGTGGTTTAATCTCCCTTATCTACGCCCCTTATTTCTTACAGGTTGCCCAGTCTCTTTGCGGAGAGGACTTGATCATTAAAGGAATCAGCGTACACATATCCAATGCTGAACCTAAGCACAATAGCAATAGACAGTTAGAAAGAAGTGGAAGATTCGGTGGTAATCCAGGTGGCTTTGGGAATCAGGGTGGGTTTGGTAACAGTAGAGGGGGTGGGGCTGGCCTGGGGAACAATCAAGGAAGTAATATGGGCGGAGGGATGAACTTCGGTGCTTTCAGCATTAATCCAGCGATGATGGCTGCGGCCCAGGCAGCGCTACAGAGCAGCTGGGGCATGATGGGCATGCTGGCCAGTCAGCAGAACCAGTCGGGCCCGTCAGGGAACAACCAAAGCCAAGGCAACATGCAGAGGGAGCCAAATCAGGCCTTTGGTTCTGGAAATAACTCCTATAGCGGTTCTAATTCCGGCGCAGCCATTGGTTGGGGATCCGCATCGAACGCAGGGTCGGGCAGCGGTTTTAATGGAGGGTTTGGCTCAAGTATGGATTCCAAGTCTTCTGGCTGGGGGATGTAGAGAGGGGGCGGTAGAGACTGGTGGGAATTCAGATTTTTCTAAACACATGGTAAGTATATTGTAAGATACATATGTACTAAGAATTTTCAAAATTGGTTTGTTCAGTGTGGAGTATATTCAGCAGTATTTTTGACATTTTTCTTTAGAAAAAGAGGAAAAGCTAAAGGAATTTTATAAGTTTTGTTACATAAAGGGTTGAAATATTGAGTGTTTGAAAGTGAACTGCTGTTTGCCTGATGGGTAAAAACCAACACACTACAATTGATATCAAAAGGTTTCTCCTGTAATCTTTTATCCCTGGACTTGTCAAGTGAATTCTTTGCATGTTCAAATGGAAACCATTGGTTAGAACTACATTCTTTTCTCCTTGATTTAATTTGAACCCCGCCATATGGATTTTTCCCTTAGGAAAATCTCCTTCTTGGAGACGATGGTGTCACAGTGTTTGGTTCTTTTTGTTTTTGTTCTTGTTTTTTTAACACTTGTTTCCCTTCACATGCAAAAGTACAATATGAAGCCTTCATTTAATCTCTGCAGTTCATCTCATTTCAAATGTTTATGGAAGAAGCACTTCATTGAAAGTAGTGCTGTAAATGTTCCGCCATAGGAATGCTTCTGTCTGCACGCTTTCTCACTCAAGAACTCGTCAGCACGCTGCGCAGGCTGCGTCTTTGACGGTGGGTGTCCCATTTTTATCCGCTACTCTTTATTTCATGGAGTCGTATCAACGCTATGAACGCAAGGCTGTGATATGGATCCAGAAGGCTGTTTGAACTTTTGAAACCTTGTGTGGGATTGATGGTGGTGCCGAGGCATGAAAGGCTAGTATGAGCGAGAAAAGGAGAGAGCGCGTGCAGAGACTTGGTGGTGCATAATGGATATTTTTTAACTTGGCGAGATGTGTCTCTCAATCCTGTGGCTTTGGTGAGAGAGTGTGCAGAGAGCAATGATAGCAAATAATGTACGAATGTTTTTTGCATTCAAAGGACATCCACATCTGTTGGAAGACTAAGTGAGTTTTGTTCCTAGATGACCCACGTTAGCTGAATGTGTTAAGTGAAACGATTACTTGTACTTCCCCCACCCCTTTGTCAACTGCTGTGAATGCTGTATGGTGTGTGTTCTCTTCTGTTACTGATCTGTAAGTGTGGTCACGTGAACTGAAGCTGGTGGGGTGAGAACATGGACGAGCTTGTGGTGTGCTTTGCAGGAGTACTTGGAAGCAGAGTTCACCAGTGAGCTCGGGGTGTCGCAGAGAAGGGTGGAAGTTCTCATGTCTGTTAGCTACCCATAAGAATGCTGTTTGATGCAGTTTTGTGTCCTGTGCTTGGATGCTTTTTATAAGAGTTGTCAATGTTGGAAATTCTTAAATAAAACTGATTTAAATAATATGTGTCTTTGTTTTGCAGCCCTGAATGCAAAGAATTCATAGCAGTTAATTCCCCTTTTTTGACCCTTTTGAGATGGAACTTTCATAAAGTTTCTTGGCAATAGTTTATTTTGCTTCAAATAAACTTATTTGAAAAGTTGTCTCAAGTCAAATGGATTCATCACCTGTCATGCATTGACACCTGATACCCAGACTTAATTGCTATTTGTTCTTGCATTGTCCAAAGTGAAAGTTTTTTTTGTTTTTGGTTTTTTTTTTTGTTTTTTTGTTTTTTTCTTTTTAAATCTAGTTTTTAATAAGTCTGGGTGACCGCACCTAAAATGGTAAGCAGTACCCTCCGGCTTTTTACTAGTGCCTCTGTGCATTTGGGTGATGTTCTATTTACATGGCCTGTATAAATCTCCATTGGGACTCATGCCTTCTAAAAATATTCTTATTTGGGGGAGTGGGAAGAACTCTGTTAATTATTTTCAAATGCTTTGTAGCAAAGCATAGCAGTCGAAAAGAAGGGCATATCAGCACCTTCCTAGTTTGGGATTTCAAAAGTGGAATTAATTGCAGTAGGGATAAAGTAGAAGAAACCACAAATTATCTTGTGCCTGAAATCCATTACAGAGCCTGATAGCTTTAAGAACTAGCAGGGTGGGTTGTCTGTCTGGAAGTGTTAAGTGAAATGGGCTTTGTGCCCCACAAGTGGGGGACTAGAGTAAGGTCGAATAAAATCGTTTACAAACTCAGATTAGACTCTGACGATGCATTGTGAAGTATGTAAAAGCAATAATTACTGATTCTCTGTTGTACTTTTTATGTAACTGCAGTGAGAGTTGAGCTTGTTTTCTGATGGAAGAATGTGAACGGTTTTGTGTCGGTAGTTTTACCTGATGCCCTTATCTGGTCAGATGATGATAAATAGGTCTGTCATTCTGAAGTTACGTGTGTGAGACTTTTAGAAACGAAGTCGTCCTTTAGACTTGTGATCGCCACGTTGTTTCGCTATTCAGTTTCCTCTGTAAAAGGATCTTGCATTGTTTGAATTTTTTTTTCTGCATCTAAATTGCATGATTTCCAAACCCTGTACCATCTGAATTTTGCATTTTAGCACTTGCACTATTACTCAGCAGCAGTAACATGGTAACACTTAAAATGGTATTCGGGGACCTCCAAAGACTAAACTGTCAAGCCTGCAAGGAGCCCAGGGGTAAGTTCACTTGTCGATGGCATGGTTTTGATCCCTTATTTACACTTGTTGTCAATCTAGTTACCAGTCTTAGAAGGCTCTCGATGTGGAGCAGCCTTCTGCTAACATGTTTGTGGTACCAGGAGCTGTGGGTATTTAATTCTACCCTAGAAAAAAGAGAAACAAAGAAAACGAAGTCTAGAAGTAAACTATTTGACAAAGATTTGTTTTTAAAAGTCTGTTTGGTCATCTCAGTGCGTTCATTCTCAAAACTTTTTGAACCAGTTGAATAAAAAATTTGTTGTCACCACAGTTTAGTGTCTGGAGTCTTACTGGAAAAATACAGTTTCTTTTTTATATGTGACAAAGGCGATGGAAAGTTACCGTTCAAAAGTGAGTCTCAAGAAGGTCCCCCTTTAATGAACACAAGAGAAATTGGGCCAAAAGTCAACAGTGAATTTTTACACGAGTGGTAGTTATTTGGCTAGAATGAAACCCTTTGTTAAATGTTAACCTATTAGAACTTCTTAAGGAGGAACAGCCGGTGAAAACGACCTTAGCTCTTTAAGGTTAAATTGGCTTAAATTGTGTCCTTTGGAAAAAGAAGATGTACATGATAATTAGAATAATTTGTTGTTGAGTACTAGGTGAGTAGCTCTTAACTGTGTATGAGTTCTGTACTTAGCTATTGTATGGTATGTGATCTGTTGTTTGTTAAGTGTGCCCAAGTATTTCCATGTTCATTGTGAGAAGGAAAAAACCAACTATAGATTTATCTGTTAAACCACCACTTAATTCTGACGTATTTCTTCTTAAGAAAATGCCACATTTGATTCAGCTCTTTTCTATATGTGAATATTATTCAGGTTATTTCCAAGTGCCAGAACATCACAGCTAAATTAAATTTTTAACATTGGAATTACTAGGTCAAAGACTATATGCATGCTGTCAGGGCTTTTCAAATATTTCCAAATTGTCCTTTAGGAAATGTATATTGTCTTCAACAGTGTGAAATAGTGCTATTCCATGTTCCTTTTTGTCTGCCAGTTTGATAAGTGAAAAATTCTATCTCACCATTTGTGCTGTTGGTTTTTAAACATGGGAGTCAGCACCTAAGCCAAAGTATCCATGTGTCCAGTTTATTTACCAAAAAAAAAAAAATCATGATTCAAGGCTATACGTGAACCAGCTTTGCTATAATATATAAAGCTCTGTTAGAAATCAATAAGAACAAGCCCCCAAATGGAAAATTAGAGAACATGAACAGGCAATCTGTAGAAATGTAGAGAAACAGTACAAAAGATACTGGACTTGTAAGTAATTAAATGCATATTTAACCAGTGAGTTTCTGTTGGATTGGCAAAGGTGATCCGGCCTAATCATCTGTGTCCCCTTGAGTCAAAGAGTAAGGGGTGAAAAACTGACGAGTGAGAAGTGCTGGGAAGGGCAGGCTGATTCGTGGTGTGGCAGTGGTTTGGGGTTAGAGCAACAACTGCCAAGTTCGTGGCTCTCAGGCCACATGGCTACTAAGAGCTTTTGCAGGGATTTTTAAAACTAAGGAATCGTTGAAGACCTACAAATTAAAAATTACTAATTATGTTCTTGATCCAGGGAATGTAGTTAATAACTTTGGTGTAGACTCCATATTGATTTGCTTCCCCACAATTGATGGAACCCCAGGACACTATTCCTCCCACAAACCATCTCTGTGTCTCATTATCCAGAAACACTAGCGCCCCCCCACTGTCCCCTCTGCAGCTGTCCTTGCCCCCGCCATCTAAGCCAGCGCAGAGCATGTTCTCTGTCACCCTCCCCCCCGGAAAGGCCAGCTTCTCGTACGCAGCGGAGCATTTCTGATGGTCGACAATTGGTACGTCAACAAACATTAGATCTCTGGCAAGAAAACCCCTCTGGGTTAACCCCCATCCTGATGCAGTTCCAAGGTCATCTGTCCTCATAAAGGATTCGGCCTCCTTTCCTGGCAAGCAGATAGGCAGGATGTTGCTGTTGATTGCAACTCTGTTCTTCAGTTTAATCAGTGCTATGTCGTTATCAAAGCCAGCGCCATGAGTATAACCTTCATGTGTAAAAATGGCCTCAGCCCAGGCTTGTGTGTAATGAGCCGACAGCCTCTTCAGGGTACCCAGTCTGATGTCCAAGGAGGAGGCAGCTTCCTTCTGCGCGTACACAGCGTGCGCCGCCGTTAGGATCCAGCTGTCCCGCAGGAGCACGCCCGCAGCTGTGGTCTGGCCTAGTAACAGCACTTGCCAGGGGAAGTCCCCGAGCTGTGCCTTCTGCCCTCCGTATATTCGACCTCCCGTGGTACGAGTTGATACTCCACACACTGGGGAAAGAAGCGGACACACACAGCCTTTACAGAGACCCGGTGGTGGGTTTTCCCACAGTTGTTACCGCTCGGAATGTGTGATGTCATCCAAAGTCAGGTCGGGTTGGTGGGGCTTCCACCCAGGCCAGCAGGTGCTTTTAAAACACAGTTCGGAGACCCAATAAAACCTCTCGGCATTAGCTCTTCAGAGAATGAGGGGAGAGGAGATTAACTTTTAGAAACTGATTTGTGCGGCTACAATAATTTGGCCTACACAATTTGGAAGATTACTTAATAGGGCAAACAAATTGAGCTGATGTAGTGGGTGATGTGATCAGAAAGGGAAAGGAAATGACCTTTTCGTTGCTGCTTTTTTCCTACTGGGATGATGGGGTGTTTACCACGTAGTGCTGGGAAAGCAGGAACTAAGGTCACTGTCCCAGGGTTTGCAAAATTCTTTTCACCTTTGAACATTTAAGTGTTCTAAAAATCAGAAAGTTGCAGTTGTAGCTAGGAACCTTCAGGAACAGAAATTACTATTTTTGGTCTAGTTGATTCTTCCAAACTAAATTTTACTCTCTGTGGCTAACTGTATATGCTCATTAGCGTAGCGACCGTGTCCCCGTTGTGGCAGGGCGCCGGCTTTAAAACCTACGATGTTGTGTCGGCTAAGATGTGGGGGTTGGTTTTTTTTTAACCAATTTAAGTCAAATAACAAAGGGGTAATGAATATATTACTACCTTTCTGATTTTTTAAATCACTGTACTCAACCATATCCTCAGAGCCAATTCTGGTAAAAAAAAAAAAAAAAAGTCCTATTTAAAAGGCAAATTGCGTTAATGTTTAAAAACTAGATGTCATTGAAAACAATCGCTTAGGGAAATAATGAAGTTATTAGCTTTGGGTTTTAATAGCAGTTTTACAGGGAAGAAAAGTAACTCCACAGCAGAACTCAAGTTTATAAATGTATAAATGCTTCAAGATAATTTTTTAAATCATTTAATTTTTTACGCTCGCCTAGTTGTAAGGTCGGAAATAACCAAGTGACTGACGCAGTCAGCGCCCAGCAGCCTCTCCGTCCGTCCAGAAGGGGGATAATGAGAACGGATTATTTGGAAATAACCACTTGGTTTAAGAGCCAAGTGCTGAAGCTGCAATTCAGCCGACCACAGCTAAGGCTCTGCTGATTGTCTCCCACCCAGTTCTACTTTCCATCAATTACGAATCTCTTGTATAAATGTATCCATTACCAGGCTCACAGACGGGGAGTGATTTTTCTCCTTTGGAGCTCGTCCAGAATCCATCAGCCTCACACACGTATTTACCTGCAAATCATTGGAAAAGCAAAAATGTTGAACTGCATGTATAAGGTGGTTGTCATTTGCTTGAATACCCCCTTGAAAAATGTTGATTCTTGAGCATCAGTGGGAAAGAGAGGTGTCTAACCGTTTTACATGATTTCATAAATAGGAGGTCTCTGCATTAACCATGTTTGCTTGCAAAGTGGAAACCTTTTAGATGTGTAACTTGAATATGTATCAAGATCTCAAGTGCTTAATGATAAGGTTTTGACTTGTTAAATTAAACCATTTGGAATATATTGTGTGTTTGTAGTAGTCATTTACTAGATAAGATCTGTTTTCAGATTCCTGCAAATTGACATTAAAGTCACTTCAGCGGTAATATTTCACTTAGCGGGCGGGAGAAGTGCCTTTTAATCTTTTGTGTAGCCTTAGCCAAAAATGTCGGCTCAAGTTTATTTTCAGATCGCGAGGGAGGGCTTCTTTTCCAGATAGCACGCACCCCCAACTTTGCAGAGTCTGCTCACCGTCGTTAGGGGTCATTGTGTAGAAGACCTCGTTACAGTGGTACTGAATCACGGCTCTGTGCGTGGTCACTTCGGGGCCTGTGATGTACTGCACTCGGCCCGTGGGCAGGTCATCCGGAGGGCCGCAGTCAACAACTAGGAAACACGGGAGGAGGAGGAGTCCGGGTGTACGGACGGACGGTAAGAAGACGAGACCGACAGGTGGTTGTGCTGCGGTGCTGTGGCTCCAAGCCGTATCCGTGTCTCTCCCCTCCCCACGTCCCCCCGCCCCGTCCCGCCGCCTCAGTGGACATCCTCCATCTCTCTCAAAGGGAGGGAATCACCTTAGTGTGATTTAAAAGCCTCGCCGTCCTGCCTGTTCTGGACTAAACGGCTGGAGTGAGGTGAGGCCCCTGCGTCGGAGCCCTGCGATTCCCTTCACAAAGGAAGGGAATTTGAAACCACTGGACTCCTCAGCGCCCTGACTTCTTTTTTTTAAAGATTTCATTTATTTGAGAGCACAAGCAGCGGGGAGTGGGAGAAGCAGGGAGCCGGATGTAGGAATCAGTCCTGGGACCCTGGGGTCATGACCACAGCTGAAGGCAGATAGTTAACGGGCTGAGCCACACAGGTGCCCAGCACCTGACTTTGAACCTCAGGGTCTGTCGCAGAGCAGCTGCCGGCCCAGCCTGCACGGGCCTGCCCGGGCTGGGTCCCGGAAAGTGGTCCTCCGTTGGCCTTAAAGGTCAAAGAACCATACAAAGAAGGACCTGGCTTCTTGAGCTCCTTTTCATCAAAGTGTAGGAGACCCGCAAGTCATAATACCTGGACTTTGCATCAGAATGCACACCTGTGTGAGGTCAGAACGTGTGAAACCCCTGCCCAGTTTGGAGCCCAAGTGACTGAGTCTAGAAGTCCTGCTTCCCACAGTAGAGCTAAAACAACCAATGGATTTCTCTGGGTATTTTAACAGGTTACATTTAAGTAGTTTTCAGCGACCTTATAGCTGTGTGCGTGGTTCCGTGGCAAGAGTTTTGTCCACCTCTCTGTAGAGGAGGTGCCCACACCTACCTCACCCCAAGTGAGACTCAGATCCAGACCTCTCACTCCCAGCTCTACTGCTTTCGAACTGAGGATTGACAGTCTCACTGGTGGGAATGTAAATTTAGGAAACGATATTTAAATTCCCCAGGAATTCTGTAGAAACCTTTGCACAAAGTATGCGCAAATACATTTACAGGAGTGTTCACTGCAGCGGTGTGTGTCACAGTGAAAATCTGGGAGACGGCGGTGGGCGCGACGTGCTGTCCTTAACAAGGATGAGCGAGCGGCTCTGCTAATACTCAGACTGCTGTGGAGAGAGATCCCGACGGTACGGAGGCAAAAAGCACAGTGCCGTCAGACTTAGCATCCCATTTTGGTTAAAAAGTATAGAATAGTCTGTTAAGTGTCTGCCTTTGGCTCAGGTCATGATCCCAGGGTCCTGGGATGGAGCCCCACATAAAGAACAGGGGCAGGGGCGAGGGAAGGGGCTGCTCCGCTCTCCCCCAGCTTGTGCTCTCTTTGTGTCTGTCTAATGAATAAATTTTTTAAAAATCTTAAAAATAAATTTTAGAAAAGTATATAATGGTGAAATAGTGTATACAGCACAGGAATGAAGGAAAGGGCCCCGAACCCTCAGTGGTAGTTTGGGGATTTGGGCAAGAGAGGGGGGGGTCTCACTATGCTTTTGTAAATTTACTTTTTCTAATTAACATGTATTTTATAATTGAAAAAATATTTAAAATAAGATGTGATGCTTGCAAAATGGCAATGTTCCCCCTCACCGCAGTCTCGTGTGGAGTGTTCACACACAGCTACACCCATCCCTCCAGATGGTGTTTACGCACGTGTGAGACAGGTGTGTGATGGGAGGGATATGAGGACAGTGGGATTATGGGTATTAAAATGTTTCGTTCTCTCTTTCCCATCCTCAGTGAATATTTTACACTTGGAAAAATATTTTTAAAAGATCACACTCTCCCAAAGGAAATAATTTTGCTGGTAGCTCGGTTCCATTTTGACCCCGTCAAATGCACAGAGAGGCTGGGGAAGAGAAGGAGATTAGGAGTTCAGGCCCTGCTAAGGAGAACCGCTTCGGAAGCAGCACTCCAGGCAAAGCTGCAGAAGCGGTCCCAGGACCTGTGGTCACGTGGCCTTACTGCTGCACGTGGGCATCGGCTGGTCCCAAGATCCATCTTTCTGACAGAGCGCAGCAAAGGATTTCAGGGGCAAAGCTCCCTAAAGAAGAATTCAGCAAATATTACTTGCCTGGTTTACATCAGGAGACCACACCCCAAGGCTGTGCTCCTACAGCGGTTCCTCTGGGTGGGGGTGGGTGCCCGGAGCGGGGTTCCACACCCACGTTGACAGGACACATCCCAACAGCTCTGCGGGATTTGTCCCCTAGGGGATAGCTCTCCTCTTTTAAGATGCATTTGGCACCGCAGGAATCCCATGTGCGCCTCTGCGTAGCTTAGGAATATGTCTTGCTTTCCCTTTAAGTCAAAGAACACGTCCGATCTCACAGGTTCCTGCCGATTTGCCACCAGTTCTTTATGTAAAGTGCCAAAGGGTGGTGGTGGGAATCTGGGTAAGACCAACCTGCTCCGACAGGGAGCGTGTGGGCCTGGATTTTTCTAGCCTGGGGCCGTAAACCACAGGCCGGTTATTAACAGCACTTTGATAGGTTTCACATGTGTGCTCTCAGTTTTTATCGCTAGTGGTGTTTGCAGAGAAATATTTTTCTAAAGTTTATGAAAGATCACTTTGGCGGAAAGAAGCCTTTATGCGTCCAAGGAGAGCAGGATGATTTTTTTCTGCCCCAGATCAGAAACAGAGGTTTGCAGTCCCGGGAGCTGGGGAAAGAGCCTGCCCAGGGAATTTTGCAAGGTGGGGAAAGTGCCTCTTTTTTTTTTTTTCCTTTTGATTTGTCCCTCCACAGGACTGGATTGAATAGCTAGCTATTATTTCAATGTTATTACTTTTTACCGCTGGGATTCAGTGACAATTTTGAAGAACATAAAGAGGACGAGTTAATCTCTTACCTGTGCCCCTAAAGCAACACACGAAGCATTTTTAAAAAATTACCCTCCCTCTCCCTTAACAGAGGTCACTATTTATAACTTTGCAGAATATACTCTTTCCCGGGGCCGTTTAATTTTGTTGTGGGCCCAGGAGTGGTGGCCAGGAAAGGTCATCACGTGGCCAGGGGGACGGGCCTGATCTAATGCAAGGCGCGGTCTCACAGGGCAGGTGGCACGAGGACGGCAAATGCATCCTTCACTTGCTTCAGCCGCTTTTCGAGAGCTGCTGTGATGTGTGAACAGGGAAAAGCCCATTTGAATCGCCAGCTTTCAGTCAAAAGCCTTTTTAAAGCTTTTTAAAAATTTTTTATTTTTAAACTTCTTTTCAGTGTTCCTTTCTAAAGCTTTTTGTTTAAAGGCACGATTCTTAAGAAAAAAAAATTCTCCATAGCCATCTCTCTTCTCCACCGAATTTGCTTTGCTTTGTTCGGTCACAGCCCAAAGAAACCAGCGTGCTGACTCCAGCTCTTTCCCCACTTTCGCATATAACTTCTTTGCTGACAGCTCTACGTCTGCGCATCGGACCGGCCGCGGTCCTGCCGTACTCACGGTGCTGTGATGAACTTACTTGGAGCAGCTCGTAACCGGTCTCGCAGAAGACGGCCAAGCGGTCCTTCAGGATGTACTCGGCTTGCACCGGCGCGATGTGGCCATTAGGTGGCGCCACGGGACCAGGGCAGGGCTGAGCTGTTGGGGGCGGGGCGGAGAGGGAGGCCGGGCTGAGCGAGGGGTTTTGACGCTGTCTCCAGGAGGCCGCTCTGAATTTAGCCACCGAAAGGTCCTGATTGACTCACGGAACCCTTAACACAGGGGCAGAGCTCGCCGCAAGTCGGATAGAGTTGCTCAGATTTAAAACCAAAGGCAAGATTGCACTGGGTCGCTTACTGCACAAATTAGGGTTTGTAGCCGGGCCTGGGTCTCAGCCGAAGCTCCCAGAAAGGCAGGCACACCCGGAGCCAGAGCGGCCACCACACCCTGCAGGGCAGCGTCTGCCCTGCGCTGCCGCAAACCAAGCTACAGCGTCCGCCGGAGGAGGAGAGCTAGACCGCATTCCCAGCGGTTATTTTCAACTCTCTGTGCCTGTTTCCTCCCCGGTAAGATGGGGAGGTGAGAAGAGTCACTCACCCTCCAGGGCTGTCCGAACACCAGATGTAAAGCACTTGGCTGGTGCTTGGCTGAGCGCTGGGCAAGAGTGGGCACAGGTGACCCCGCCCTTAGGCCTTAGGCCTCCAGGAAGACCGCCCTCCACTCCGGCCCCCAAACCCTGGCCTGACGTCACCCCAAGCCTTCAGCCCACCCCCCACTGCTACCACTCAGCCTGCGCCAGTCTCCTGCTGAGTCCCCTTCTCCCTCCAGGTGCTGGACTCTGTGTCCCAGAGCAGCTCTCAGTCCCCTGCAGGCCCAAAGTCCCCACCTCCAGGGAAAGCCCTGGCCGCTGGCTGGCACCCTCCCTCCTTCGCACAAGCCTCAACATTCTGTCCTGGCCCTGCCCCCACCAGCCTGGAAGACCTGAGACCCCCTTTGAGTGGCTCTAAAACCAGCACTTCAGTTGCACAAGTTTTATTACTTTGACCTACAGGAAAATGAAAGACTTTCAAAAATGAATGGGAGACAAATTGTTCTCATAGCGCTGGGCTCCCTCCTCCCAACCAGTCTTGCCCCTTCCCACCTTTCTAACAGAGGTGGCCCAAGGCTTAATCTTTTCTAATCCAATTTTTTAATTTAAAAAACTACCCCAATCTCTATAATCCAATTACCACTTCCGCTATGCCACACCTTGCACCCAATGCTTTCCCTACATTAGCCCACGAATGGACACCTTTTGAAGGAGACATTGTCCTTAATTGAAATAATTGGGACATTAAGGTTCAGAAAAGTTATGTGAGAGGTTCAGTGTCACATAGCCGGGAAACAGGTTTGTGCCTGGGCGTAAATCTAGGCAGTCCAACATTCAAACCTGAGCTCTGAGCTTCCTGGATAGATGGTTGAGAAGGATGGATGGATGGATGGGTGGATGATTGGATGGATGGTTGAATAAGTGGGTGGATGGATGGGTGGGTGGATGGATGGATGGGCGGATGGATGGATGGATGGATGGGTGGAAGGAAGGAAGGAAGGGTGGGAGGAAGGATGGATGGATGAAAGGATAGATGGAAGGAAGGAAGGATGGATGGATGGAAGGAAGGATGGGTAGAAGGATGGAAGGAAGGAAAGAAGGGAGGGAGGAAAGGTGGGTTTTGGAAGGAAGAAAGGATGGATAGAAGGAAGGAAAGATGGATGGAAGGAAGGAAGGTTGGATGGATGGACAGATGGAAGGATGGATGGATGGATGGATGGATGGATGGATGGATGGATGGATGGAAAGAAGAAGGAAGCCAAGGCAGGAGAAGTAGGGAGATAGGCTCTTCCCCTAGGAGAAGGTGATCTTACCTAAAACAATCTTTCCTTTTGCTTATTATCTTTCTTGTTCCACCTTCCTTCCATGAAAACCCTCCATTTTGTACAACTCCCTTCAGAGCTCCCCTCCACCTGTAGATGGGATGCTGCCCAACTAATGAATCATTTAATAAAGCAGATTAGATCTTCAAGTTTACTCAGTGGGATTTTGTTTCTGATGGTTGGATATGAAGGGTGGGAGAATATGGCCCTCCAGAATATGCTTCTTCGGCATGAGGATTATTTTGAGCTGATTATTTTCAGAAATAGCAGACAAAGGGGGTGCCTGGGTGGCTCAGTGGGTCAAAGCCTCTGCCTCCGGCTCAGGTCATGATCCCAGTGTTCTGGGATGGAGCCCCATGTCAGGCTTTCTGCTTGGCAGGGAGCCTGCTTCCCCCTCTCTCTCTGCCTGCCTCTCTGCCTACTTGTGATCTCTGTCTGTCAAATAAGTAAATAAAATCTTAAAAAAATAAAAGAAAGAAATAGCAGACAAAGGAGAAGCTCTGAAAACAGAGTAGAAGTTTTCCTTCTGTAAGAGAACTTTATATTCACAAAAGAAATGTCCATTAAGAGTGTCTCCCCTTCTCTTCCAGATAAAGACAACTAAATCACTAGAAACTCGTCCCTGGAGAAGGCATGTCTTTCATCTGTATAACAAACCATTTTTTGTTTACTGTAGTTTTCTCAGCACCTCCCCATACTGCCTTCCCCCAGGCCCTCCTCTCTTTTGTATTTAACTGAAGATGGTACTGATGTCTTGAGTTCTAAGTTCCCATTCTCCCGTGGGTAATCTCCCATGCATGCATGAGACATACACCTTAACAAACGTGCTTGTTTTTCTCCTGTCAATCTGTCTCTTGGTCCTAGCCAAGGATTGAGGAGGGCTGAGGGAAAATTGTTTTTTCCTCTCCTACAGATAGAAGGAGGGCCAGTTGAGTGGATGGGTGCATGGAAGAAGGGAGGGAGGGAGGGAAGGAGGGGTGAAGAGAGGGATAGGGATGGGTGGGGTGGCATTTCCCCTTGGGGACCACTGTCTCACAGACCACCCCCACTCCAACCTCGTTTGTCTTCTGAAGGAGTTCAGGACACACGACCCCTAAATATGGCACCTGGCATGTTGAATATTTTAAGCTGAAGGAGTCTGAGAAAACAGAAACAAGGGGTCCCTTGGACCTCCACCCCCTCCCTCACCCTTCTTCCCCATCACAGTCAGAAGACCCTTGTGTACGGCCACGTGACAGGTGCCCTCCCTATACCTGGAGGGAAGGAGCATCCTTATCTCCAAGGACAAAGGGAGCCAAGAAGAAGCCAAAGAAAGAGGCTTTGCTAAGTTTCCCCCATTTACAACACTTGCTTTAACCTGTCATTTTCCCCCATGACTGTCTCCTCTTCTACAAAACCCCCACACAAGCCTAACTGTTCCTCTGGGTCTTTCCTTTCTTTTGAAGTCTCCCATGCCATGTAGACCTCACATTACGTAAGTGTGGATGATTTTCTCCTGTTTTTTTTTTTTTTTAAGATTTTATTTATTTATTTGACAGACAGAGATCGTAAGTAGGCAGAGAGGAAGGCAGAGAGAGAGAGGGAGGGAAGCACGCTCCCTGCCGAGCAGAGAGCCTGATGCGGGGCTCCATCCCAGGACTCTGGGATCATGACCTGAGCCGAAGGCAGAGGCTTTAACCCACTGAGCCACCCAGGCGCCCCTGATTTTTTCCTGTTGATCTGTCTTTGTCAGTTTACTTTTCAGCCTCGGCCAGGAACCCTAGAGGGCTGAGGAAATTTTCTCCTCCCCTACACTTCCCGGGCCTCGCCAGGAAGAGTCCCATCCTATGTAACTCCTTGGCACTCCAGGAAGAGCTTCTTGTCAGGATCCAAGACCCACTCGCCCTCACCTGTGCTGGTGTAGTGGATCTTCCAGCCTGTGTGGTCCCCCGACTCATCAGTGACAAAGATGATGGTCACGGCATTGCTTTTAGTTTCAATCCTAGGGGGCAACGTTGTCCCACAAAATGGGCCATATTCCTCCTTGTCTGTTTGAATCTGAAAGCAGAAGGCGCCCTGTCACCTCAGGACATGCCAGAGCCAGAGGAGGTCTAGATCCCAGGAACCAGACCTTGAGGGAGTCGTAGGGGCACTGGGTGTCCGGGTGCGTCTCCACATCAAAGGACCCCACAAAGTCCAGGATGATGCTGAATCCTTCCTCCAGGTGGATGCCGTAGGTGCAACTGGAGAGTTTGGGGTACGGCTGTGGGTATTCAGGGCTGCTGAGCACTCCCGACCGGTCGGCAAAGACCTGACCTGAACACAGGGCTAAGAGAGGACGGGTCACTGTGAAGGGGACCCAGCAGCCGGGCTCCGCTCCCTGGCTGCCCTCACTGCCCTCTGGCCCAGTCAGATGGAACACCCCACCTCAGGGCTGAAGGAACAATCTAGAGTTTCTTGGGCTTCCTGGCTTTGGCTGAAACAGGTGGCACTTGGGCACACAGCCTCCAGGCCCCACCCACACTCCCAGGGGCTCCTGAACCTGGGGAGTCCTGGGCCAGAGTCAGGACTCTGGGGGTGACGAAGCGAGCAACGTTAGATTCTGCCGAGGGGGAAGGAGAAGAGGGGGTCCCTCAGCCAGCCTGGACCCTGACAACTCCCACATTCATCCACCACGGGGCTCCCACCCACACCAGCTGGGAGTAGTCCAGCCTTCCCTGGGTCCCCACGGGGAACAGAGGGGCCTCCCTTGGTCCACTTTCCCTCCTACCCTGGGTCCGGGCACTGCCCTGGGGGTTAGTTGAGGGAAATTCAAGTTCACACTTATCAAAAGCATGTCTGGTGCCCTCTTTCCCTGCCAGGCCAGCTGGTCGTGCCCTTGCAGAGCGAGCTTCCGCATCAGCCCCGGGAGACACCGGCCCATCCCCTCCCCAGGCTGCAGAGGACATTTGAGCTGGGAGGCTTCCAGAAGTGAGGGGTCCCAGCACAGCCTGCCTTCCTTCGTGCGCTGCTCCCCACGGGGCAGAGGGAACGGCCCCCGGATGTGGGGGGCCAGCGTGCCCATCAACAGCTGTCTCCCTGGGCCTCTCTGCTCTGGGTCAGGCTCCTCCAGCCCAGCACACCTGGGACATGAGTGGTCCCCTGAACAGGAGCTGTCCAAGGATTCTCCCAGCTCAGCCCCTGGGGAGCCGGTGGGGGAGTGAGAGAGCTCGGTCTCCCTGTGTGAACCCGGCCAAGCCCTCGTCCCTCTCTGGGCCTCAGTGCCCCATCTTCAGAATGGATGGGAGGTGGTGGGCAAGCTTTTTGGCAAAAGGGCCAGTGGCCCCATGGAGGGGGTTCCCACCAGCTAGGGTTCATCCGGGCTGTGATGAGGGGAGGGAGGGAGGGGAGGAGGCCAGGGGGCACACCGCTGCCCTCCCCCCACCGTGCCACCCAAGAGACACGAAGCAGTAGGTGGAGGTGGAGGCAGATTTATTGTTAGGTCCACGGAGGGGCAGATGGGGTGGACTGGGGGTGGCAGGCAGTGGCCGTCTTGGCCTGACCCAGACCGGAGCCAGAGATGAGGCTAGGGGCTCTGCTCTGGAAGAGAGAACAGAGAGACAGGGAGAGCCACTGGGGGAGAGACGCCGGGCAGGGGGAGGCAGGGGCAGCACTGAGCCTTGGGGCTGCCCACTCCCCAGGGCACCCTTGGGTTTCCCATCTGGGTACTTGGCACCTGGCAGGAGCTCGGAGGAGGCGGGAAGTAGAGGCCAAAGGGGTCGGCCTGCTGGGGATCCAGCCACTCTGAGCACGCCCTGCCCCTGCCGGGAAGTTTCATGCTGGGAAGCCTGTGTGAGCCCGGCCTATGCTCCCCGTTCCTCCAACCTGGGAGCCCCAGGAGGGCAAGATGCCTGTAGCAGGCGCCCAGAGCCCAGACAGGGAGGTACATAGTGGGGGCCCAGCACAGGTGATCCAAGTGATGGGCTGAAGACCGGAGAGAGGGAGCCCAGGATGAAACGGGGGAGGGGAAGGGAGTATGGATGTGCATGGGTGGACGGATGGCAGGAGGGGACGGGGCCCAGTAGGCCAAGGGCCGTCCCTCCAACCCCTGGGCAGAACACTTATGGCTTTTAGGAGCTGGCTGTATTCTGGGCCAGGGGGGTGCTGGGCTGGGCACGGTGTCTGCCCCATACCTTCCCTGGCCCCGCTCACCTGAGCAGGTGCGCTTGTTCTCGTGGAGGACGTAGCCCCGGCGGCAGGAGCAGTAGAAGCCACCCAGGTGGTTGTGGCAGTGGTGGTCGCAGGGAGCAGCCTGTCCTGGGGCGACCTGGCACTCGTCAATGTCTGGGGAAGGGGCGGGTCAGGCAGGTGGTCAGAGGGCGGGAGACGAGGCGGTCTGGGGGCCTGGGAGCCGACAGCCACGAGGCTGACCCAAGAGGAGCCCCATTTTTGGAGGTGGCTGGGGCCCGGCCGAGTATTGGACAGGCCTAGGGTCATGATAACCTCCTCAGAACGCCTGGAGGTAGATGTCACTACCCCCTTTTTCGAACGAGTGATGGGTTAAGTGTCCTGCTCAAAGTTACCCTGCAGGTGCCGCCGGCTGTCGCACCCGACAAGCAGGGCTGTGACCCGTGTTCCAGCAAACCCTGCTGCTGACTCCTGAGGAGCGCAGAGAGGTGCGGCCCCCTGCCCAAGGTCACACAGCTGGTCCCTGCAGGAGCCCCTATCTGACATCAAGTGTTCCACTCGAAGCCCGTGTACGGGGAGCACCACTCATGGGGAGAACCACACATGGGGAACACCAGGCTGCAGGTTCTCAGTGGGGCTCAGGCGGGTGGGGCTGACCTTCCCATCCAGAGGTGGACTCACTGGGCCCTAGCGTCATGGGCCCTAGCGTCATGGGAGTCGGGGGGGCGCCCTAGGAGTACATCCCAGGCTTAGCCTGTCCCCCGCTCAGCACCTCCGCACACCATCGGGCTCAGCCGGAGGGGGGCACGGTCATGGCCATTACTGATATTTGCCCTGGGGCTGGTGGTGGACAGAGGTGTGGACTCCTTGCCCGCTAGTTTGGCAGGAACCCAGCCTCAGGGAGGTGTGGGACTGAAGGGAGAGTTGGCCTGACCTAAGACTGAGTCACTCCCATGGAAAGAAAGAAAGAAAGAAAGAAAGAAAGAAAGAAAGAAAGAAAGAAAGAAAAAATAAAAGGCCAGATAGTATGGGATACCTCGGTGGCTCAGTCAGTTAAGCATCTGACTCCTGATTTCAGCTCAGGTCATGATCTCAGGGTTGTGGGGTGGAGCCCCACATCAGGCTCTGAGCTCAGCACAAGTCTACTTCAGATTCTCTCTCCCTTCCCCTCTGCTCATCACCCCCCACTCACTCACACTCTCTCTAAAATAAATTAAAACATATAATCTTAAAAAAACAAAACAAAACAGAGAGTAAATATTTTAGACTTTTGGGACCATAGGGTCTCTGTGGCAGCCTTAGATGATATGCAAATGAGTGGGCGGTGCTGTTTTAATGAAACTATGGACATTGAAATTTGAATTTCATATTATTTGCCTGTGTCACAAAATATTATTCTTCTTTTGATCTTTTCTCTCCCTAACCATTTGAAAATCTTTGATTCCACAGAAACTGTACAACTTGGCTGTACAGAAACTGTGGTGGCCCAGATCTGGCCCTAGTTTGTTGAGCCCTGTTCTAGATGTGCATTCATAACATGACAAATTCTAAAAACACGACAAACAAAGCTGGTGATCTCAGGCACAATGACAATTCAGAGTCGACCACACATCCTAGTTTTCCAGGGACAGACAGATAGTTTGCACTAAGCTGTCCCAGGTCTCTTTCACTCTCTAAAAGTTCCAGATGGGGGGATGCCTGGGTGGCTCAGTTGGTTGAGCCACTGCCTTTGGCTAGGGTCATTATCCCAGGGTCCTGGGATCAAGTCCTACACTGGGCTCCTTGCTCCGAGGGGAGTCTGCTTCTCTCTCTGCCTCTGCCTGCCACTCTGCCTGCTTGTGTGTGCTCTCTCTCTCTCTCTCTGACAAATAAATAAATAAAATCTTAAAAAAAAAAAAGTCCCAGATGGGGTGATGAATATACGCACCCCTCCACCCCATTAGACCGTCACTTTTTTTATATAAATTAAAAACATATGTTCACTACTGTACTCCAACATCTAGAGCAGGGCTCAGCAATCATTTTCCTGTAAAGGACCAGATAGTAAATATTTGAGGTCTCGTGCCATAAAGCTGATGCAGCATGAGGACAATATATAAATGGGTGAACGTGACCGTGTACCCCTAAACCTGATGGACACTGAAATTCGAATTTCACATATCACGAAATATTCTTCTTTTGATTTTGTTTCAACTAAGTATGTAAAAACCGATTTTAGCTTGTGTGTCGTACAAAATCGGGCAATGGGCTGTTGTTTGTTGACCCTGGGTCGGGGATACCACCTGGCACATGGCAAGCACGGCATAAATGTCTGGTTTTGCTGAGCACATTCACTGAACAACCGTGCCTGCTTTGCAGAGCCAGGGGCAAACTTAAGGACAGATAGCAAATACTTGAGTGAGGGTCCTGGGGGAAGATGGGAATGGATAGGGATTAGGAATAAGCGGGGGAAATAGTGAAATAAGAGAGACTTGGCTCAAATGGAAGAGGATGGTGGGTCATGAAGTGCGGGGGGGCGGTAAACTCAACACCACTTCCAAGGCCCAGAAAGGAAAAGACAAAGACAAAGACAGAGTCAAAGAAAGGAAGGCTCTGAAGCTGGAAAGCCTTGATTTGAAATCCCGGTGCTGCCGTCACTATCTGGGGATCTTGAACAAGTTAACCTCTCAAAGGTTCATTGTACAATGCAACCAAATACAGTACCTACTTCATAGAGCTATTGTGAGAATTACACGAACCCATCCATGTAAAGTGCTTGGAACAGTGGCACTTAGTAAATGGTCAATAAATCTGACAATGTTGTGATTGTTTTCTATAAAGAATAGAAAAAGACATGTTTGGCGAAGGGGTGGACGAAATGGGTGAAGGGGAGTGGGAGACCCAGGCTTCCAGTGATGGAATGAATAAGTCATGGGGATGAAAGGCACAGCACAGGGAATATAGTCAATGGTATTTTAATAGTGCTGCATGGTGAAGATGGTAGTCACACTCGTGGTGAGCACAGGAAAATGTAGAGTTGTTGAATCACTATGTTGTATACCTGAAACTCATGTAACATTCTGTGTCAGCTATACGCAAATAAAAGCAGTTTTTCCCCAGGGTTCCAAATAAGGCAGGATGATTGATTGATTGATTGATTGATTAGATCAACTGATTGATTAGAGGTGACTAAGAGGACAGGTTCTGGAGTCAAGAACACCAGCTCTGCCATGTACAGGCTGTGTGACCTTGGCCAGGTTACATGGTCTCTCTGTGCTTCAGTTTCCTTGGCTGGGAAGTGCTAATAATAGTTGTACTTGCCTCATAGGTTTGAGGTAAGAATTATTCAAAACAGAGCCTCGCATATAACTACTCAAATAAATTAGTATGTTACCACTCTGGACCCACAATTTCTGCCCCAGGAAAAGTAACAAAAGGAGTCAGAACAAAAACCCCCTGTGAAATACTCCGAAAAGTCCCAGGAGGTGGGCTGTGGATTCTGAGCAAAAATTCTGTTCAGAAAACCTCTAACATGAAAGACAAAACCACAATAAACAAACAGAAAATAATTATCCTGATGGAACAGACATGATGTTGTGTGCAAAAAAATCAAGGAAACTATCATTAATCTCCTCAGAGAGTTAAATAAAATATTACTTCTGTGCAAAAAGAATTGTGGCTATAATTGAGGAGAAATCAACAAATAAGGGGCGCCTGGGTGGCTCAGTGGATTAAAGCCTCTGCCTTCGGCTCAGGTCATGGTCCCGAGGTCCTGGGATCGAGGATCGAGCCCCACATCGGACTCTCTGCTCCGCGGGGAGTCTGCTTTCTCCTCTCTCTCTCTGCCTGCCTCTCTGCCTACTTGTGATCTCTGCCTGTCAAATAAATAAATAAAATCTTAAAAAAAAAAGAAAAAGAAATCAACAAATAAGAAAGATCTCTGGGAAAATAAAAATATAGATTTTTTTAAAAGCCAATAGAAAGATTGAAGGTAAAGTTGGAGAAGTTCCACAGAAAGTAGAATGAAAAGGAAAATTTGCACAACAGAAGAAAGTTGTTTTTTTTTTTTTTTTTAATGGTGGCTCATGACAGCAACAGCTAGCTCATAAAAAGACAATCAAGAAAAGAGTAGAGAAGTGATTGTTAAAGTAATACCACAACAAACTTTTCTGGAGCTGAAGAACAAGGACATCTAGAATGAAAAGATTATCATATGCCTGGGACAATGAGCAACAACAAAAAAAAGATCTCCGGGAAAATGAAGTCATCATCTTCAATTCCAGGCTGCGAGTGATAAGGAAAAGATCATGAATGTTTCAGGTAGAACATGCAGATTATACGAATGACCAAGAAAGCAATTAGATTTCTCAAAAGCAGCAAGAGAAGCTAGAGGGTAATGGGAATATGTCTTCAAAGTGTTGAGAAAAAAATGATTTTCAACCTAAAATTCTATATGCAACCCGACTGTCAGTCAAGTGTGATCATTGAATAAAGCCATTTTCAAACATGAAGGACATTGACTGTTGACAGAGTTGACTTAAGGAAAACTTTGAGAGGTTCATACAGCTTTTTGAGGATGTAGATTTGGATGTTCAAGGAGAACAAATCAAGTGGAAAAACAAGGCAATTATTAACTCCAGGAAAAAGAAAAAGTTGCACAAGAAAGGATACTTCTTGGGTCAGTATTGAATAAAATTTACTTAGTTATAATAATGAAAACATTGAGGAGTGCCTGGGTGGCTCAGTGGGTTAAAGCCTCTGCCTTCGGCTCAGGTCATGATCCCGGGGTCCTGGGATCGAGATCCACATCCGGATCTCTGCTCAGCAGGGAACCTGCTTCCCTTCCTCTCTCTCTGCCTGCCTCTCTGCCTACTTGTGATCTCTGTCTGTCAAATAAATAAATTAAAAAAATAATGAAAACATTGAGTGTGTACTTAACTAAACATTGTGATATATTAAGATGATGGAGGACATGATACAGGAATGTTTGAGATGAAAGCCTTCACTCATAATAAGTAATCAACAGATAATCTCTAAAATGAATGAATCAAAATCTTGCAGAATAGATTTATTATTTAAATATATGTAAGTATATATATGAGGAGAATAAGGGACTGCAGTTTTTTGTTATTGGTATTTTTGCACTAATTGGTTGTTTAAAAAAATAATTAAAAAAAAAAGAAGACCTAGGCCAAACTAGGAAACGTATCATAACTTTGGCAGGTTCTGAAGCACTGAAATTTAAAGAAAGTAAATCGTGATGAGATAAAAATACCTTGCCTTGGTATTATGTGTTTTTACTTTTCAAAAATGCTGTGATAACCTTAGTAGCAATGAGTACAACTAATGCCCAAATTCTAGTTTCTAAATGCCTTTCCTTACTAAAAGGAATCAGAGCTCTTTAGAGGAATGGCAGATTCCAGGGCTGGTGCAGGGAAGGTATAAGGTGAACTTTTTGTGCCAGAAAGCAAGAACATGGTCAGAGACTAATAGGGACACATTAAAATGACCCAAAGCTAGTTTAAAGGGCTCCCCAGGCCACCGTTAGGACAATTTGATCATTAAAAACACTAATGACTGTAACCTATTGTAAATCATTGAATAAATAAAATCCAAGAGTTCATAATGACTATCAAAAAAAGAGAGGGGGGTGGTGTCTGGCTAACTCAGTCAATGAAGCATCCAACTCTCTCTCTCTTTTTTTTAAGATTTCATTTATTTATTTGAGAAAGAGAGAGAGAGTGAGAGGGAACATGTGAGGGGAGGTCAGAGGGAGAAGCAGACTCACAGCGGAGCTGGGAGCCCGATGTGGGACTCGATCCCAGCACTCTGGGATCATGACCTGAGCCGAAGGCAGTGGCTTAACCAACTGAGCCATCCAACTCTTGACCTCAGGATTGTAAATTCAAGCCCCATGTTGGGTGTAGAGATTACTTAAATAAAATCTTTGGGGCACCTGGGTGGCTCATTCAGTTAAGCATCTGACTCTTGATCTCAGCTCAGGTCTGGATATCAGGGTCATGAGTTCAAGCCCCGTGTTAGGCTCCATACTGGGTTTGGAGCCTACTTGATAAATGTTTTTTTAATTTAAAGAAAAAGGAGAGAGAGAAAACAAAATTCTTGTGTTAACACTGGAGGTAATTATTACGTCAACCTATTCTGAAAATTGATAAAAAGTAAGTATTTAGAAGGAATTGTAGTTCATCCCCAGCTGGTGAAGGAAAGCTCTTCTTTACACAGGAATGTAGAGGGAATGATAGCATTTTAAAATTTGCCATTTTGCAACCCCAGTGAAGGTACTGAACCAGGCAAATATTGTCAGTGGATGCAAATCCATTAAGTGAAAGTTTGTAGGCCAATGGGATATTGGCCTGTGCCCAAGTATCACCCAGAGATTACTTGCAAATTGCAGAGAGGGAAAATACGCTTTTTCTGGAGAGATCTGGTGGTCACAGTCCTTTTTTTTTTTTTTTTAAGATTTTATTTATTTATTTGACAGACAGAGATCTCAAGTAGGCAGAGAGGCAGGCAGAGAGAGGAAGGGAAGCAGACTCCCCACTGAGCAGAGAGCCCGATGTGGGGCTCGATTCCAGGACCCCGAGATCGTGACCCCAGGTGAAGGCAGAGGCTTTAAGCCACTGAGCCACCCAGGCGCCCCTGGTGGTCACAGTCTTAACCAAAAATCTAACTTAGCATCACTGAGAGCGAGGCAACCAGGCATTATGTGTCCCTGACCGGATGCAATGAAACAGACATGCCTTTACTCACAAAGTGTTCTCACCATTGTGTCTAACCTAAAGTGATCATGTCTTTAAACCTAACTTTCTGTACGCAGGAAAAATAGGGGAGAGAGGAATGAGCTAAATAATGCCAGGAGGAACCAACCAAATGAATCTAAAGTGTACAACATTTTAGATATTTTAAAAATATCTTTATTTTAAAGTCAGATGTCTTTAAAAAGTCAGTATCCTGGAGGGGGAGATTCTTCTAGATTTAAAATGACTAAGGGAGGGGTGTCTGGGTGGCTCAGTAGGTTAAAGCTTCTGCCTTTGGCTCAGGTCATGATCTCAGGGTCCTGGGATCGAGCGCTGCATCTGGCTCTCTGCTCAGCAGGGAGCCTGCTTCCCTTCCTCTCTCTGCCTCTCTGCCTACTTGTGGTCTCTGTCAAATAAATAAACAAAATCTTTAAAAAAATTTTTTAGAGAAATCTAAGTCAGACCTAGACCAGTTGGAGAGGCAGCTTCTAATGTCGGTGGAACCAAAAAACACAGGGACTAAGAGAAAAGTAAATCTTGAAGTTACTCTTATTTAAATACTTTCATTATCTTGGTATTTCTTGTAGTGTTCAAGAATGCATTTAGAGTTCCATTCTGTACACTTTCTGGAGCTGGCAGAGCTGGAAATCTGAGGGGGGAAGGGGAGGTGAGGCGGCGTGGACTAGTAAGTGGGGTGAGAACTGGGGCCCGTTCCCAGGTACTCTGGTTCCCTGCCCAGTGTCCTTTCCTTCCAGTTGAGAATCCTCATCCTTATACGGGAAGCCACCACCCCAAAGAGCTATTAGGGAGCCCCTTAGTCCCTCAGCATCTTCCTAGCACTGGCACCCATGTGCTTTATTTAGGTCTCCCGGGATCATCTTCTAAATTAACGCTCTGTCCCTGGATTCTGGACCACTCCATGCCCATGGTGGCTGGCCTTCATTTTTCTTTTCTTTTTTTTTTTTTTTTAAGATTTTTAAATTATTTATTTGACAGAGAGAGAGAGAGAGAGCACAAGTAGGCAGAGAGGCAGGCATCGGTGTGGGGTGGGGGAGCAGGCTCTCCACTGAGCAGAGAGCCTGACAAGGGGCTCGATCCCAGGACCCTGGGATCATGACCTGAGCCGAAGGCAGAGGCTTTAACCCACTGAGCCACCCAGGCGCCCCTGGCCTTCATTTTTCTTGTGCGTCTTTTACATTGTAGTTTTGGCACAATGCTGGATGAGGCGTGAGAGCTCCGTCTATCTTTTCTGACCTATTGTCTTCAGAAAGCACTTAATAAATGCTCAGAAGAGGGGCGCCTGGTTGACTCAGTGGGTTAAGCCTCCGCCTTTGGCTCAGGTCAGGATCTCAGAGTCCTGGCATGAAGCCCCATATCGGGCTCTCTGCTCCGCAGGGGGCCTGCTCCCCTCTCTCTCTCTGCCTGCCTCTCTGCCTACTTGTGATCTCTTTCTCTGTGTCAAATAAATAAATCTTTTAAAATAATAAATAAATAAATAAATGCTCAGGAGAGAAGAGATGGGTAAGAACAGATATGTTTGGCTTTCTAACAATCCTCAAGCTTAACGTATAAGGGCTATGAACAAAGAAACAAACAAACCAGGAGAACTTACAAAACACATTTTAAGGAAGCAGAACGTTTACCAATCATGACTGCAGGGCTGAAACCCAGAGATGAGCTCCAGCTAGAGCAGGAGGACTCCACTGTTCAGCCTCCCTCTGACCTTATCATTAATTCTCTTCCTAAAGGAGTGTTTGTTCTCTTCAACACTGTGTTTGCTGGCCTGAAACTTCTGGGGGAAGGGACAGCTTTTGTGGTTTTGTCCCTGTTTGATTTTTCTCCAGTTTCTGCATACCCTGCTCCTCCCACCTATGGCTGGTCTCCAAGGCCCACAGAGCTGCCCACACCAAATGCCTCAGTCTCAATCATGGCACAGAGAACATGTGGCCCAGGAACACAGCTTCAGGGATAGATAGACCTGGAAGAGGAATTTATAGCTGGGTGACGCATTTGGGGATCTGTTTGACCTCAGGTGACTCTCACGGCCTCTGAGCCTGTTTCTTTTGCAGAGTGGAGAGATAATAAAACGAACTTTTTTTTTAATTTTAAATTTTTTATTTTTTTTTTAAGATTTTATTTATTTGATAGACAGAGATCACAGGTAGGCAGAGAGGCAGGCAGAGAGAGAATAAGGGAAGCAGGCTCCCTGCAGAGCAGAGAGCCCGATGAGGGCTCCATCCCAGGAGCCTGGGATCACTACCTGAGCCAAAGGCAGAGGCTTCAACCCACTGAGCCACCCAGGCACCCCATAAAACGAGCTTCTCCCCCCAAAATGGCTGAGTGGATGAGTTCAGATGACCCAGGCCTCCATGATTCATCCGGTGCTTCAAAATGTTAGTGACCATCGGGGCCCATGTGCCCAAACTCTGCTGTCCTCTGTGTGCTGGGCCGCCCCGAGGCTGGTAAAGGATCCGCAATCTGTCTTCCTCCACGCTCTCTTCCCTTATCTCTGAAAATTGACTCAGCCGTTATCTGGTTAGCAGAAACAGCACCCACCCGGACTTGCCCTTGCCCGTCTTAGTGTTTATTCCCTAGGAGGCTGTCCGGGGAGGCCGTGGAGCTCCTCCACTCCGGAGTCAGACTGCCTGGGTTCAAATCCCAGTCCCACCATTGACTGGCCCTGTGGGGTTGGGCAGGGCCTGTCCTATTACAGGAAAAGCACGGTGTTATTATTAGAGGCCTGGAGCTGGAGTATGTTACCATTAGAGTTAGGGTTCAAATCCCAGGTTCGCCATTTACTGCCTGGGTGACCTCATGCAAGATACTTAACCTCTGTGCGCCTCAGTTTTCTCCTCACCTGTACATGCGAATTTTATCAATAGTACCTTCCGTACACGAGACTATAGAGGTAGATGGTAGGCGCTATCATTTGTTTGTTTGAAATAAAGTCATTCTCTCCAGGTGTGGAGCTTGCCTAGGGGAGTGGGGAGAGGATGCACCCGGCTGGCTTTTTAAACAAAGGTTGCACGACTTTCCGGCTCTCTCCTGCCTCTCCGGCTCTCTCCTGCCTCTCCAAAGTCAGGAAGACCCGGGACCCGGCTCCCCGCCCCCGTCTGGCACCGCCCCCTTCTGGCCCCGCCCCGCCCCTCCCCGCCCCACCTCACCTGGTCCCGCCCCGTCCCTCCTAGTCCTGCCCCTGAGCTAGTCTCGCGTATTTTCAGAGTGCGCGAGCTCGGGCCGGGACCGGGGGCCGACGGTTGGTCCGGCGAAGCCATCTGCTACGCTACGTGGGGGGAGCCAACAGTCTAGGCTTCCTTGTTTTTTCAGTTTTTGGGTTTTCTCGCCCAGGTTTTTGGTCATATTATAGCGTTAAGTCCTCCCCGTTTGCTCAGTCTCTCAGCAGGGAGCGCTGCCTCTCTGGGAGAAGGTCATTGTGCCTCCGTGCGGCGTCCTTCCCCTCCTGACGCGGAGCCGGTGGGAGAAGACGACGGCCGGCGGGGGGAGGAGGCGGCCCTAGCGCCATTTTGTGGGAGCGAAGCGGTAGCTGGGCTGCTCCTGGATCCCTCGCTGCTTCGGTTTCCCTGTCGGGCTTCCTAGCAGCGGCCTAGCGGGTGAGTCGCGAACGCTTCTCACTGAGGACACCCTGGGCGTCTCGGCTCCCGCGCTGCGCGGCCCGAGGCGGACGCAGCGGGTTCCGCCCTCGCCCCGGGAAGGGAGCCGTGGGGCCGGGCCTGCCTCGTCCTGCCTGAGCGGCCTCGCGCGGGCGCGTCGTTAGGGCCCGGCGCGGGGTGGCAGCCGGCGCCGGAGCAGGGACAATTGGCCCGCGGTGCCGTGCAGCCCGAGGCGGAGCTTTGGCCTGGCCTCCGGCCCGAGCCGTGCCCTGGGCCTCCAGCATCCGGCACGCCGGGGGACCCCAGCAGCCTAGGCCCTGGGTCCCCGCGTCTGTACCTCGGGCCGCGCTTAAAAACTCCTCCCTCGGCCCCCACGCACTGGCTTCTGGGAGGTGGCGGCCCGCGTCGCTAAGGACCTGTCGTCGCTGTCCTTGGCTCAAGTTTGGGGAGCTCCCCCCGGAAGTCCCCCAATGAGGAACAGGGAGGAACTTTTTTCCTGCTCTCTCCTCCTGCTCACTGTTTGCGTTCCTCCTCGACACGGCTTCTGCATCGCGTTCTTAGGGACGTGTGCTCTGATCCCCACACATGTCTCAGCGTAGGTTCTCCTCGGCCCCCCAGGATGATTGACTTCTTTCTAGTGGCATATAGCACAGCTGTAATAAATGAATAGCTTGTTTGCTGTCATCTCTGCTCCCCTTCCTCCCCGCCACGCCCCTTGTCACCAGCGTGCTCCGTGGGACTGACGGGTTCCCTTTGCAGCATCTGATGCATGGCGGGCACTGGGCACGTGTCTATCGCGGGAATGAACTCACAAGGCACTGTCCTTGCCTTGGCCTCGTTTCAGTGATCACCCACACCTCTAAGAACCCGAACCCTAAAGTTCTTCTAGAAGTCCTAGAACGTTGGCGCGGTAGTGTGTGGTGTGTGTTCGGGTGATTTTTAAGGAAACGGTCTTCCACCTGAGTGTATGTCATTAACATGTCTTTTCCCTTTAAGAAAGATAAGAAAAGATGTCCGAGTATATTCGGGTAACTGAAGATGAGAATGACGAGCCCATTGAAATACCATCAGAAGACGACGGGACAGTGCTGCTGTCCACGGTTACAGCCCAGTTTCCCGGCGCTTGTGGGCTGCGCTACCGGAATCCAGTGTCGCAGTGTATGAGAGGTGTCCGGCTAGTGGAAGGAATTCTGCATGCCCCCGATGCTGGCTGGGGGAACCTGGTGTATGTTGTCAACTATCCCAAAGGTTTGTTGCCATTTGCTTTTGCAGTTCTAAACTGTGGTGTTTGTGTCTCCTCTGAGTTGGTGCAGCGCCTCATGTCACGGTGAAACCTCTCCTGTAACCCCAGTATTTATTTAAACTTTACTAATAGACTGGTTTGGAACGTCTCTAGTCTAAATTAGTGAAAAGTGGAGATAGAGAATGTTTTTCTAAAGAGAAAGCTATGTATTTAATTATCTGGACAAATATGCCAAGTTAATGCTGAATTTAAAGAAAACTAAGACTGTTTTGTGAAGATCAGTCTTTTGTCAATAGATTCTTTCAAAGTGCCCGATACTTAGTTCTGGTTTTTGTCCTTGCAAGCTTATATCATTGGTTCAGTTAATCTGATTTTTCCCTCCTTAAAGGATAATCAGTTGCAGGAATCCAAATCTTGAATTAGTGCACTTTTAATTTGGGGTTTTGGTCTTATTCTCATTGCCACTTAACACTGGTGTTCTAGATCTAAAAAAAAAAAAGCATTAAGTTTGTGGAGGAAACAGGTACATTTTGGTAGTAAGAATTTGCTTTAGTTACTTTTGCAGTGTTACTTTTATTATAACTCGGTGTTGCAAAAAGTTTCCTGTTTGATTAGTATACAAGACTTTGCCTTTCACTTTGAGAACATTTTTAACAGTATCAAGTTAGTTTTTCTTTAGTATGCTGTTACCCAAATCTGAAATGTTGTTTAGATCCAGATAGGTCTGTGTGGGTTCATCAGTTGTAACAAATGTACCGTCATGGATGGGGCAGGAATATCATGATCATGGGGGAAGTTGTGCACCTGTGGAGGTAAAAGGGGAGGTGTGGGAGATCTCTGCCTTCCTTTCCACTTTGCTCTGGACTTAAAACTGCTCTAAAAAATAAAGTCTAGGGTTGCCTGGGTGGCTCAATCTGTTGGGCGTCTGCCTTCAGCTCAAGTTGTGATCTCCAGGCCCTGGGATGGAGCCCAGCATCAGGCTCTCTGGTCAGTGGGGAGTCTGCTTCTCCCTCTCACTCTCCCACTGTGCGCGTGTGCGTTCACTCTCTCTCAAAAAAAAAAAAAAAAAAAAAAAAAAAAAAATGAAAATGAAAAAATCTGTAAAATTAAAGATAGTCTATTTCTTAAAATTCATTCAGTTCTTCCACTTCCTTTCTGAATACTGTTTTTTAAAAATAACCTAAGACTTTTTTTTTAATACAAAATCAACATGAGTTCATGGTTGAATGCTTAGAAAAGAAAGAAAAAGAAAATTGAAGTCACCCTTGAATACACAGCTGGAGATAAAAGTTGGATCGTTTTTTGGTATATAACTTTTTAAAGTTGTAGGCATTAAAGTAATTAAGCAACTCTAATAGGCACAAAGTGTAGCATGCCTTTTTAGCCTGTTTTTTCCCCCTTACTATGTTTTTAGAGTCAGAGTGAAGTAGGATTATTTTTGTTTTGCTGTGCCTTTTGAGTGGGGAGAACAAACCATCATAATCTTAAGATCACACAAAACCAGAGGTGCCTTCGCACCAGCAAAGCCCCTCAGCCACTTCCCCAGTTCCTCCGTCTGTCTGGGAGAGCTGACGTCACTCTGCGAAAGTTTTCAATATCTTATTCTTAGAATCTTTTTGCTTATTGTTGTTAGGTGTAGGAGCTGATGTGTTTTAAGACATGTTAAGTGAGGAGTTCTGAAAGGTTTTTGCTCATTTTGTTTAGATAACAAAAGAAAAATGGATGAGACAGATGCTTCATCAGCAGTGAAAGTGAAAAGAGCTGTCCAGAAAACGTCTGATTTAATAGTGTTGGGTCTTCCATGGAAAACGACTGAACAGGATCTAAAAGAATATTTTAGTACCTTTGGAGAAGTTCTCATGGTTCAGGTAAACTTTGATTTCATAGAACGATTTTTCTCTTCCCATGAATGAACATCCAGAATTCCTATCGTTTGGTGACACTGCCTGCCCTTCGTGCCCAGCAGACAGTATTTTTGTGTTTATTACATGCATACATAAGGGAGGCCGAAAAGAAATACGGGTTGCGATGCCTGGCGGGCTCAGTGGATAGAGTACACAACTCTTGATCTCAGGGTTGTGAGTTCAAGCCCCATGTTGGGCCTAGAGCCTACTTAAACAAAAACCAAACTTGGGTTATACTATTTCCCATTATGCATATAGCCTATATTTTTGCCTTTGATGTTATAAAATCCTGCTGCATAAAGGCTCAAGGGCCTGTTTTTCTTTTTTTTAAGATTTTAATTTTTCGAGACAGAGCATGCACAAGAGTGGGGGTAGGGGCAAGGGGAGAGGGAGAAGCAGACTCCCCACTGAGCAGGGAGCCCAATGCAGGGCTTGATACCACAACCCTGAGATTATAACCTGGGCTGAAGACAGGTGTTTAACTGACTGAGCCACCCAGGTGCCCATAGCCTATTTCTTTGTAACTTACATTGCTGGGAGACCAAAAAGCACTTATTTTTAAAGGTGGGGGGACTTGGCTGGTTCATTTGGGGGAGCATGTGACTCTTGATCTCAGGGTTGTGAGATGGAACCCCACATTGGGTAGCGAGATTACTAAAATAAACTCTAAAAAGAAAAATACTTTTTTTCTGCTTTTCCCACTTAGGATTTGTAAATATTAGATCTAATATATCTTTGCATTCTAAAACATTTTGTTAAAATTCTGTTTTGTGACATGATTAACTGTTAATATGGTCTAGATTCAATGTTTATCCTCCTCTTTTTTACCTCAAGAATAATTTGGTGTAAGTTTTACTTTGTTTTATTTATTTATTTATTTTTTAAGATTTTATTTAGTCATTTGATAGGGAACACAAGCAGGGGGAGTGGGAGAGGAAGAAACAGGCCTCCTGCTGAGTAGGGAGCCCAACCTGGGGCTCAATTCCATCATGACCTGAGCTGAAGGCAGACACTTGAACGACTTGGTTTAAATTTTAATTGAGCAACTCCCGTCAAAGTGAATCCATTCAAATTACCAAGGAACTGATTTGGGGGGGGGGGTCTAGTCAATTTCATTGGTTTTTGGGGTTTTTTTTTCTCCCTAGGTCAAGAAGGATATTAAAACTGGTCATTCAAAGGGGTTTGGCTTTGTTCGTTTTACGGAATATGAAACCCAGGTTAAAGTAATGTCACAGCGGCATATGATAGATGGACGGTGGTGTGACTGTAAACTTCCTAATTCTAAGGTACTTTGCTCTTTTTTCCCTGTGCTTTGGGACTTTTTGCTGACAAACTCCCTTAGAAGACATTGTAAAATGACACATAAAATGCACTTGGAAAAGGTGGTGGCTGGTGGATTCCTGAAACCTTTTGCCTTGTTAAAGCCTTAGTACCTGCATGTGTGCTGAATATTTTGTTTGAAATCTTTGGTTTATCATCCCTCTAAACTAAAAGTTTTTTGTTTTATTCTTTTTCTTGTTATTTTTAGTGAGTGAACAGTTTCTTACGTAGATACACATTAAAACGCAAGGACAGTCAGAATACCTTAATCTTATCATGAAGGCCTGACTGGTTTCGGACAAGCAGGACTGACTAGGAGAGTCAGCGTCTTTGCCAGGGCATTTCTGTCATTGGCTTTCCTTAATCCAAATAGATAGTCGTGAACTTCAAACTTTAAAATGTGGGGGCCACTGGCAGGCTCAGTTGGTAGAGTGTGTGACTCTTGATCTGAGAGTTGTGAATTCAAGCCCCGTGCTGGGTGCAGAGAAAACTTAAAAATTAGGTTTTTTTAAAAAATAAAATGTTTTTCCTCACCGAAGTTTTCAAAAGATGTGCTGGTGCAGAAAACTGAGAAGGTACCTACTTCGTTAATGACTAAGAGAAAAGGCAGGTAACTTTTGTTAGATCCTCTTTTCTTGGCTCGTAGAATATTTCTCATAGTTTTCTTTTCTTTCGACTCGCCCAGCAAAGCCCGGATGAGCCTCTGAGAAGCAGGAAGGTGTTCGTCGGGCGCTGCACGGAGGACATGACCGCCGACGAGCTGCGCCAGTTCTTCTGCCAGTACGGGGAAGTGGTAGACGTCTTCATTCCCAAACCGTTCAGGGCCTTTGCCTTTGTTACGTTTGCAGACGATCAGGTATTTTTCTCTTTAATAATTTTGTCCCAACTCTGTTAGGTAATTGTCTTGAACTTCTCCCACGCCGCCAGTTGCCGTCCTTAGCTGAGCTATGGGATAGGTGGGTCTAGATGGTCATGATAAACCCTTGCGGTACTTTTTCAGTGTGAGGCAGTTAACTCGGAGAGCTCTGTTTTTTTGAGAATAAGCTGGCAGATCCCTGCTGCCTTCCCAGAGCTAAAGGCGGTTTTGTGGGTTTGAGTGAAATGAGCGGTCGTTGCTTATTTGTCCGCCCGCTTAGACAGTGGCTTGAAATCTAAGTGTTATTGCTACCTTGACGCGTGAGTCAGTGGTTTAATCTCCCTTATCTACGCCCCTTATTTCTTACAGGTTGCCCAGTCTCTTTGCGGAGAGGACTTGATCATTAAAGGAATCAGCGTACACATATCCAATGCTGAACCTAAGCACAATAGCAATAGACAGTTAGAAAGAAGTGGAAGATTCGGTGGTAATCCAGGTGGCTTTGGGAATCAGGGTGGGTTTGGTAACAGTAGAGGGGGTGGGGCTGGCCTGGGGAACAATCAAGGAAGTAATATGGGCGGAGGGATGAACTTCGGTGCTTTCAGCATTAATCCAGCGATGATGGCTGCGGCCCAGGCAGCGCTACAGAGCAGCTGGGGCATGATGGGCATGCTGGCCAGTCAGCAGAACCAGTCGGGCCCGTCAGGGAACAACCAAAGCCAAGGCAACATGCAGAGGGAGCCAAATCAGGCCTTTGGTTCTGGAAATAACTCCTATAGCGGTTCTAATTCCGGCGCAGCCATTGGTTGGGGATCCGCATCGAACGCAGGGTCGGGCAGCGGTTTTAATGGAGGGTTTGGCTCAAGTATGGATTCCAAGTCTTCTGGCTGGGGGATGTAGAGAGGGGGCGGTAGAGACTGGTGGGAATTCAGATTTTTCTAAACACATGGTAAGTATATTGTAAGATACATATGTACTAAGAATTTTCAAAATTGGTTTGTTCAGTGTGGAGTATATTCAGCAGTATTTTTGACATTTTTCTTTAGAAAAAGAGGAAAAGCTAAAGGAATTTTATAAGTTTTGTTACATAAAGGGTTGAAATATTGAGTGTTTGAAAGTGAACTGCTGTTTGCCTGATGGGTAAAAACCAACACACTACAATTGATATCAAAAGGTTTCTCCTGTAATCTTTTATCCCTGGACTTGTCAAGTGAATTCTTTGCATGTTCAAATGGAAACCATTGGTTAGAACTACATTCTTTTCTCCTTGATTTAATTTGAACCCCGCCATATGGATTTTTCCCTTAGGAAAATCTCCTTCTTGGAGACGATGGTGTCACAGTGTTTGGTTCTTTTTGTTTTTGTTCTTGTTTTTTTAACACTTGTTTCCCTTCACATGCAAAAGTACAATATGAAGCCTTCATTTAATCTCTGCAGTTCATCTCATTTCAAATGTTTATGGAAGAAGCACTTCATTGAAAGTAGTGCTGTAAATGTTCCGCCATAGGAATGCTTCTGTCTGCACGCTTTCTCACTCAAGAACTCGTCAGCACGCTGCGCAGGCTGCGTCTTTGACGGTGGGTGTCCCATTTTTATCCGCTACTCTTTATTTCATGGAGTCGTATCAACGCTATGAACGCAAGGCTGTGATATGGATCCAGAAGGCTGTTTGAACTTTTGAAACCTTGTGTGGGATTGATGGTGGTGCCGAGGCATGAAAGGCTAGTATGAGCGAGAAAAGGAGAGAGCGCGTGCAGAGACTTGGTGGTGCATAATGGATATTTTTTAACTTGGCGAGATGTGTCTCTCAATCCTGTGGCTTTGGTGAGAGAGTGTGCAGAGAGCAATGATAGCAAATAATGTACGAATGTTTTTTGCATTCAAAGGACATCCACATCTGTTGGAAGACTAAGTGAGTTTTGTTCCTAGATGACCCACGTTAGCTGAATGTGTTAAGTGAAACGATTACTTGTACTTCCCCCACCCCTTTGTCAACTGCTGTGAATGCTGTATGGTGTGTGTTCTCTTCTGTTACTGATCTGTAAGTGTGGTCACGTGAACTGAAGCTGGTGGGGTGAGAACATGGACGAGCTTGTGGTGTGCTTTGCAGGAGTACTTGGAAGCAGAGTTCACCAGTGAGCTCGGGGTGTCGCAGAGAAGGGTGGAAGTTCTCATGTCTGTTAGCTACCCATAAGAATGCTGTTTGATGCAGTTTTGTGTCCTGTGCTTGGATGCTTTTTATAAGAGTTGTCAATGTTGGAAATTCTTAAATAAAACTGATTTAAATAATATGTGTCTTTGTTTTGCAGCCCTGAATGCAAAGAATTCATAGCAGTTAATTCCCCTTTTTTGACCCTTTTGAGATGGAACTTTCATAAAGTTTCTTGGCAATAGTTTATTTTGCTTCAAATAAACTTATTTGAAAAGTTGTCTCAAGTCAAATGGATTCATCACCTGTCATGCATTGACACCTGATACCCAGACTTAATTGCTATTTGTTCTTGCATTGTCCAAAGTGAAAGTTTTTTTTGTTTTTGGTTTTTTTTTTTGTTTTTTTGTTTTTTTCTTTTTAAATCTAGTTTTTAATAAGTCTGGGTGACCGCACCTAAAATGGTAAGCAGTACCCTCCGGCTTTTTACTAGTGCCTCTGTGCATTTGGGTGATGTTCTATTTACATGGCCTGTATAAATCTCCATTGGGACTCATGCCTTCTAAAAATATTCTTATTTGGGGGAGTGGGAAGAACTCTGTTAATTATTTTCAAATGCTTTGTAGCAAAGCATAGCAGTCGAAAAGAAGGGCATATCAGCACCTTCCTAGTTTGGGATTTCAAAAGTGGAATTAATTGCAGTAGGGATAAAGTAGAAGAAACCACAAATTATCTTGTGCCTGAAATCCATTACAGAGCCTGATAGCTTTAAGAACTAGCAGGGTGGGTTGTCTGTCTGGAAGTGTTAAGTGAAATGGGCTTTGTGCCCCACAAGTGGGGGACTAGAGTAAGGTCGAATAAAATCGTTTACAAACTCAGATTAGACTCTGACGATGCATTGTGAAGTATGTAAAAGCAATAATTACTGATTCTCTGTTGTACTTTTTATGTAACTGCAGTGAGAGTTGAGCTTGTTTTCTGATGGAAGAATGTGAACGGTTTTGTGTCGGTAGTTTTACCTGATGCCCTTATCTGGTCAGATGATGATAAATAGGTCTGTCATTCTGAAGTTACGTGTGTGAGACTTTTAGAAACGAAGTCGTCCTTTAGACTTGTGATCGCCACGTTGTTTCGCTATTCAGTTTCCTCTGTAAAAGGATCTTGCATTGTTTGAATTTTTTTTTCTGCATCTAAATTGCATGATTTCCAAACCCTGTACCATCTGAATTTTGCATTTTAGCACTTGCACTATTACTCAGCAGCAGTAACATGGTAACACTTAAAATGGTATTCGGGGACCTCCAAAGACTAAACTGTCAAGCCTGCAAGGAGCCCAGGGGTAAGTTCACTTGTCGATGGCATGGTTTTGATCCCTTATTTACACTTGTTGTCAATCTAGTTACCAGTCTTAGAAGGCTCTCGATGTGGAGCAGCCTTCTGCTAACATGTTTGTGGTACCAGGAGCTGTGGGTATTTAATTCTACCCTAGAAAAAAGAGAAACAAAGAAAACGAAGTCTAGAAGTAAACTATTTGACAAAGATTTGTTTTTAAAAGTCTGTTTGGTCATCTCAGTGCGTTCATTCTCAAAACTTTTTGAACCAGTTGAATAAAAAATTTGTTGTCACCACAGTTTAGTGTCTGGAGTCTTACTGGAAAAATACAGTTTCTTTTTTATATGTGACAAAGGCGATGGAAAGTTACCGTTCAAAAGTGAGTCTCAAGAAGGTCCCCCTTTAATGAACACAAGAGAAATTGGGCCAAAAGTCAACAGTGAATTTTTACACGAGTGGTAGTTATTTGGCTAGAATGAAACCCTTTGTTAAATGTTAACCTATTAGAACTTCTTAAGGAGGAACAGCCGGTGAAAACGACCTTAGCTCTTTAAGGTTAAATTGGCTTAAATTGTGTCCTTTGGAAAAAGAAGATGTACATGATAATTAGAATAATTTGTTGTTGAGTACTAGGTGAGTAGCTCTTAACTGTGTATGAGTTCTGTACTTAGCTATTGTATGGTATGTGATCTGTTGTTTGTTAAGTGTGCCCAAGTATTTCCATGTTCATTGTGAGAAGGAAAAAACCAACTATAGATTTATCTGTTAAACCACCACTTAATTCTGACGTATTTCTTCTTAAGAAAATGCCACATTTGATTCAGCTCTTTTCTATATGTGAATATTATTCAGGTTATTTCCAAGTGCCAGAACATCACAGCTAAATTAAATTTTTAACATTGGAATTACTAGGTCAAAGACTATATGCATGCTGTCAGGGCTTTTCAAATATTTCCAAATTGTCCTTTAGGAAATGTATATTGTCTTCAACAGTGTGAAATAGTGCTATTCCATGTTCCTTTTTGTCTGCCAGTTTGATAAGTGAAAAATTCTATCTCACCATTTGTGCTGTTGGTTTTTAAACATGGGAGTCAGCACCTAAGCCAAAGTATCCATGTGTCCAGTTTATTTACCAAAAAAAAAAAATCATGATTCAAGGCTATACGTGAACCAGCTTTGCTATAATATATAAAGCTCTGTTAGAAATCAATAAGAACAAGCCCCCAAATGGAAAATTAGAGAACATGAACAGGCAATCTGTAGAAATGTAGAGAAACAGTACAAAAGATACTGGACTTGTAAGTAATTAAATGCATATTTAACCAGTGAGTTTCTGTTGGATTGGCAAAGGTGATCCGGCCTAATCATCTGTGTCCCCTTGAGTCAAAGAGTAAGGGGTGAAAAACTGACGAGTGAGAAGTGCTGGGAAGGGCAGGCTGATTCGTGGTGTGGCAGTGGTTTGGGGTTAGAGCAACAACTGCCAAGTTCGTGGCTCTCAGGCCACATGGCTACTAAGAGCTTTTGCAGGGATTTTTAAAACTAAGGAATCGTTGAAGACCTACAAATTAAAAATTACTAATTATGTTCTTGATCCAGGGAATGTAGTTAATAACTTTGGTGTAGACTCCATATTGATTTGCTTCCCCACAATTGATGGAACCCCAGGACACTATTCCTCCCACAAACCATCTCTGTGTCTCATTATCCAGAAACACTAGCGCCCCCCCACTGTCCCCTCTGCAGCTGTCCTTGCCCCCGCCATCTAAGCCAGCGCAGAGCATGTTCTCTGTCACCCTCCCCCCCGGAAAGGCCAGCTTCTCGTACGCAGCGGAGCATTTCTGATGGTCGACAATTGGTACGTCAACAAACATTAGATCTCTGGCAAGAAAACCCCTCTGGGTTAACCCCCATCCTGATGCAGTTCCAAGGTCATCTGTCCTCATAAAGGATTCGGCCTCCTTTCCTGGCAAGCAGATAGGCAGGATGTTGCTGTTGATTGCAACTCTGTTCTTCAGTTTAATCAGTGCTATGTCGTTATCAAAGCCAGCGCCATGAGTATAACCTTCATGTGTAAAAATGGCCTCAGCCCAGGCTTGTGTGTAATGAGCCGACAGCCTCTTCAGGGTACCCAGTCTGATGTCCAAGGAGGAGGCAGCTTCCTTCTGCGCGTACACAGCGTGCGCCGCCGTTAGGATCCAGCTGTCCCGCAGGAGCACGCCCGCAGCTGTGGTCTGGCCTAGTAACAGCACTTGCCAGGGGAAGTCCCCGAGCTGTGCCTTCTGCCCTCCGTATATTCGACCTCCCGTGGTACGAGTTGATACTCCACACACTGGGGAAAGAAGCGGACACACACAGCCTTTACAGAGACCCGGTGGTGGGTTTTCCCACAGTTGTTACCGCTCGGAATGTGTGATGTCATCCAAAGTCAGGTCGGGTTGGTGGGGCTTCCACCCAGGCCAGCAGGTGCTTTTAAAACACAGTTCGGAGACCCAATAAAACCTCTCGGCATTAGCTCTTCAGAGAATGAGGGGAGAGGAGATTAACTTTTAGAAACTGATTTGTGCGGCTACAATAATTTGGCCTACACAATTTGGAAGATTACTTAATAGGGCAAACAAATTGAGCTGATGTAGTGGGTGATGTGATCAGAAAGGGAAAGGAAATGACCTTTTCGTTGCTGCTTTTTTCCTACTGGGATGATGGGGTGTTTACCACGTAGTGCTGGGAAAGCAGGAACTAAGGTCACTGTCCCAGGGTTTGCAAAATTCTTTTCACCTTTGAACATTTAAGTGTTCTAAAAATCAGAAAGTTGCAGTTGTAGCTAGGAACCTTCAGGAACAGAAATTACTATTTTTGGTCTAGTTGATTCTTCCAAACTAAATTTTACTCTCTGTGGCTAACTGTATATGCTCATTAGCGTAGCGACCGTGTCCCCGTTGTGGCAGGGCGCCGGCTTTAAAACCTACGATGTTGTGTCGGCTAAGATGTGGGGGTTGGTTTTTTTTTAACCAATTTAAGTCAAATAACAAAGGGGTAATGAATATATTACTACCTTTCTGATTTTTTAAATCACTGTACTCAACCATATCCTCAGAGCCAATTCTGGTAAAAAAAAAAAAAAAAAGTCCTATTTAAAAGGCAAATTGCGTTAATGTTTAAAAACTAGATGTCATTGAAAACAATCGCTTAGGGAAATAATGAAGTTATTAGCTTTGGGTTTTAATAGCAGTTTTACAGGGAAGAAAAGTAACTCCACAGCAGAACTCAAGTTTATAAATGTATAAATGCTTCAAGATAATTTTTTAAATCATTTAATTTTTTACGCTCGCCTAGTTGTAAGGTCGGAAATAACCAAGTGACTGACGCAGTCAGCGCCCAGCAGCCTCTCCGTCCGTCCAGAAGGGGGATAATGAGAACGGATTATTTGGAAATAACCACTTGGTTTAAGAGCCAAGTGCTGAAGCTGCAATTCAGCCGACCACAGCTAAGGCTCTGCTGATTGTCTCCCACCCAGTTCTACTTTCCATCAATTACGAATCTCTTGTATAAATGTATCCATTACCAGGCTCACAGACGGGGAGTGATTTTTCTCCTTTGGAGCTCGTCCAGAATCCATCAGCCTCACACACGTATTTACCTGCAAATCATTGGAAAAGCAAAAATGTTGAACTGCATGTATAAGGTGGTTGTCATTTGCTTGAATACCCCCTTGAAAAATGTTGATTCTTGAGCATCAGTGGGAAAGAGAGGTGTCTAACCGTTTTACATGATTTCATAAATAGGAGGTCTCTGCATTAACCATGTTTGCTTGCAAAGTGGAAACCTTTTAGATGTGTAACTTGAATATGTATCAAGATCTCAAGTGCTTAATGATAAGGTTTTGACTTGTTAAATTAAACCATTTGGAATATATTGTGTGTTTGTAGTAGTCATTTACTAGATAAGATCTGTTTTCAGATTCCTGCAAATTGACATTAAAGTCACTTCAGCGGTAATATTTCACTTAGCGGGCGGGAGAAGTGCCTTTTAATCTTTTGTGTAGCCTTAGCCAAAAATGTCGGCTCAAGTTTATTTTCAGATCGCGAGGGAGGGCTTCTTTTCCAGATAGCACGCACCCCCAACTTTGCAGAGTCTGCTCACCGTCGTTAGGGGTCATTGTGTAGAAGACCTCGTTACAGTGGTACTGAATCACGGCTCTGTGCGTGGTCACTTCGGGGCCTGTGATGTACTGCACTCGGCCCGTGGGCAGGTCATCCGGAGGGCCGCAGTCAACAACTAGGAAACACGGGAGGAGGAGGAGTCCGGGTGTACGGACGGACGGTAAGAAGACGAGACCGACAGGTGGTTGTGCTGCGGTGCTGTGGCTCCAAGCCGTATCCGTGTCTCTCCCCTCCCCACGTCCCCCCGCCCCGTCCCGCCGCCTCAGTGGACATCCTCCATCTCTCTCAAAGGGAGGGAATCACCTTAGTGTGATTTAAAAGCCTCGCCGTCCTGCCTGTTCTGGACTAAACGGCTGGAGTGAGGTGAGGCCCCTGCGTCGGAGCCCTGCGATTCCCTTCACAAAGGAAGGGAATTTGAAACCACTGGACTCCTCAGCGCCCTGACTTCTTTTTTTTAAAGATTTCATTTATTTGAGAGCACAAGCAGCGGGGAGTGGGAGAAGCAGGGAGCCGGATGTAGGAATCAGTCCTGGGACCCTGGGGTCATGACCACAGCTGAAGGCAGATAGTTAACGGGCTGAGCCACACAGGTGCCCAGCACCTGACTTTGAACCTCAGGGTCTGTCGCAGAGCAGCTGCCGGCCCAGCCTGCACGGGCCTGCCCGGGCTGGGTCCCGGAAAGTGGTCCTCCGTTGGCCTTAAAGGTCAAAGAACCATACAAAGAAGGACCTGGCTTCTTGAGCTCCTTTTCATCAAAGTGTAGGAGACCCGCAAGTCATAATACCTGGACTTTGCATCAGAATGCACACCTGTGTGAGGTCAGAACGTGTGAAACCCCTGCCCAGTTTGGAGCCCAAGTGACTGAGTCTAGAAGTCCTGCTTCCCACAGTAGAGCTAAAACAACCAATGGATTTCTCTGGGTATTTTAACAGGTTACATTTAAGTAGTTTTCAGCGACCTTATAGCTGTGTGCGTGGTTCCGTGGCAAGAGTTTTGTCCACCTCTCTGTAGAGGAGGTGCCCACACCTACCTCACCCCAAGTGAGACTCAGATCCAGACCTCTCACTCCCAGCTCTACTGCTTTCGAACTGAGGATTGACAGTCTCACTGGTGGGAATGTAAATTTAGGAAACGATATTTAAATTCCCCAGGAATTCTGTAGAAACCTTTGCACAAAGTATGCGCAAATACATTTACAGGAGTGTTCACTGCAGCGGTGTGTGTCACAGTGAAAATCTGGGAGACGGCGGTGGGCGCGACGTGCTGTCCTTAACAAGGATGAGCGAGCGGCTCTGCTAATACTCAGACTGCTGTGGAGAGAGATCCCGACGGTACGGAGGCAAAAAGCACAGTGCCGTCAGACTTAGCATCCCATTTTGGTTAAAAAGTATAGAATAGTCTGTTAAGTGTCTGCCTTTGGCTCAGGTCATGATCCCAGGGTCCTGGGATGGAGCCCCACATAAAGAACAGGGGCAGGGGCGAGGGAAGGGGCTGCTCCGCTCTCCCCCAGCTTGTGCTCTCTTTGTGTCTGTCTAATGAATAAATTTTTTAAAAATCTTAAAAATAAATTTTAGAAAAGTATATAATGGTGAAATAGTGTATACAGCACAGGAATGAAGGAAAGGGCCCCGAACCCTCAGTGGTAGTTTGGGGATTTGGGCAAGAGAGGGGGGGGTCTCACTATGCTTTTGTAAATTTACTTTTTCTAATTAACATGTATTTTATAATTGAAAAAATATTTAAAATAAGATGTGATGCTTGCAAAATGGCAATGTTCCCCCTCACCGCAGTCTCGTGTGGAGTGTTCACACACAGCTACACCCATCCCTCCAGATGGTGTTTACGCACGTGTGAGACAGGTGTGTGATGGGAGGGATATGAGGACAGTGGGATTATGGGTATTAAAATGTTTCGTTCTCTCTTTCCCATCCTCAGTGAATATTTTACACTTGGAAAAATATTTTTAAAAGATCACACTCTCCCAAAGGAAATAATTTTGCTGGTAGCTCGGTTCCATTTTGACCCCGTCAAATGCACAGAGAGGCTGGGGAAGAGAAGGAGATTAGGAGTTCAGGCCCTGCTAAGGAGAACCGCTTCGGAAGCAGCACTCCAGGCAAAGCTGCAGAAGCGGTCCCAGGACCTGTGGTCACGTGGCCTTACTGCTGCACGTGGGCATCGGCTGGTCCCAAGATCCATCTTTCTGACAGAGCGCAGCAAAGGATTTCAGGGGCAAAGCTCCCTAAAGAAGAATTCAGCAAATATTACTTGCCTGGTTTACATCAGGAGACCACACCCCAAGGCTGTGCTCCTACAGCGGTTCCTCTGGGTGGGGGTGGGTGCCCGGAGCGGGGTTCCACACCCACGTTGACAGGACACATCCCAACAGCTCTGCGGGATTTGTCCCCTAGGGGATAGCTCTCCTCTTTTAAGATGCATTTGGCACCGCAGGAATCCCATGTGCGCCTCTGCGTAGCTTAGGAATATGTCTTGCTTTCCCTTTAAGTCAAAGAACACGTCCGATCTCACAGGTTCCTGCCGATTTGCCACCAGTTCTTTATGTAAAGTGCCAAAGGGTGGTGGTGGGAATCTGGGTAAGACCAACCTGCTCCGACAGGGAGCGTGTGGGCCTGGATTTTTCTAGCCTGGGGCCGTAAACCACAGGCCGGTTATTAACAGCACTTTGATAGGTTTCACATGTGTGCTCTCAGTTTTTATCGCTAGTGGTGTTTGCAGAGAAATATTTTTCTAAAGTTTATGAAAGATCACTTTGGCGGAAAGAAGCCTTTATGCGTCCAAGGAGAGCAGGATGATTTTTTTCTGCCCCAGATCAGAAACAGAGGTTTGCAGTCCCGGGAGCTGGGGAAAGAGCCTGCCCAGGGAATTTTGCAAGGTGGGGAAAGTGCCTCTTTTTTTTTTTTTTCCTTTTGATTTGTCCCTCCACAGGACTGGATTGAATAGCTAGCTATTATTTCAATGTTATTACTTTTTACCGCTGGGATTCAGTGACAATTTTGAAGAACATAAAGAGGACGAGTTAATCTCTTACCTGTGCCCCTAAAGCAACACACGAAGCATTTTTAAAAAATTACCCTCCCTCTCCCTTAACAGAGGTCACTATTTATAACTTTGCAGAATATACTCTTTCCCGGGGCCGTTTAATTTTGTTGTGGGCCCAGGAGTGGTGGCCAGGAAAGGTCATCACGTGGCCAGGGGGACGGGCCTGATCTAATGCAAGGCGCGGTCTCACAGGGCAGGTGGCACGAGGACGGCAAATGCATCCTTCACTTGCTTCAGCCGCTTTTCGAGAGCTGCTGTGATGTGTGAACAGGGAAAAGCCCATTTGAATCGCCAGCTTTCAGTCAAAAGCCTTTTTAAAGCTTTTTAAAAATTTTTTATTTTTAAACTTCTTTTCAGTGTTCCTTTCTAAAGCTTTTTGTTTAAAGGCACGATTCTTAAGAAAAAAAAATTCTCCATAGCCATCTCTCTTCTCCACCGAATTTGCTTTGCTTTGTTCGGTCACAGCCCAAAGAAACCAGCGTGCTGACTCCAGCTCTTTCCCCACTTTCGCATATAACTTCTTTGCTGACAGCTCTACGTCTGCGCATCGGACCGGCCGCGGTCCTGCCGTACTCACGGTGCTGTGATGAACTTACTTGGAGCAGCTCGTAACCGGTCTCGCAGAAGACGGCCAAGCGGTCCTTCAGGATGTACTCGGCTTGCACCGGCGCGATGTGGCCATTAGGTGGCGCCACGGGACCAGGGCAGGGCTGAGCTGTTGGGGGCGGGGCGGAGAGGGAGGCCGGGCTGAGCGAGGGGTTTTGACGCTGTCTCCAGGAGGCCGCTCTGAATTTAGCCACCGAAAGGTCCTGATTGACTCACGGAACCCTTAACACAGGGGCAGAGCTCGCCGCAAGTCGGATAGAGTTGCTCAGATTTAAAACCAAAGGCAAGATTGCACTGGGTCGCTTACTGCACAAATTAGGGTTTGTAGCCGGGCCTGGGTCTCAGCCGAAGCTCCCAGAAAGGCAGGCACACCCGGAGCCAGAGCGGCCACCACACCCTGCAGGGCAGCGTCTGCCCTGCGCTGCCGCAAACCAAGCTACAGCGTCCGCCGGAGGAGGAGAGCTAGACCGCATTCCCAGCGGTTATTTTCAACTCTCTGTGCCTGTTTCCTCCCCGGTAAGATGGGGAGGTGAGAAGAGTCACTCACCCTCCAGGGCTGTCCGAACACCAGATGTAAAGCACTTGGCTGGTGCTTGGCTGAGCGCTGGGCAAGAGTGGGCACAGGTGACCCCGCCCTTAGGCCTTAGGCCTCCAGGAAGACCGCCCTCCACTCCGGCCCCCAAACCCTGGCCTGACGTCACCCCAAGCCTTCAGCCCACCCCCCACTGCTACCACTCAGCCTGCGCCAGTCTCCTGCTGAGTCCCCTTCTCCCTCCAGGTGCTGGACTCTGTGTCCCAGAGCAGCTCTCAGTCCCCTGCAGGCCCAAAGTCCCCACCTCCAGGGAAAGCCCTGGCCGCTGGCTGGCACCCTCCCTCCTTCGCACAAGCCTCAACATTCTGTCCTGGCCCTGCCCCCACCAGCCTGGAAGACCTGAGACCCCCTTTGAGTGGCTCTAAAACCAGCACTTCAGTTGCACAAGTTTTATTACTTTGACCTACAGGAAAATGAAAGACTTTCAAAAATGAATGGGAGACAAATTGTTCTCATAGCGCTGGGCTCCCTCCTCCCAACCAGTCTTGCCCCTTCCCACCTTTCTAACAGAGGTGGCCCAAGGCTTAATCTTTTCTAATCCAATTTTTTAATTTAAAAAACTACCCCAATCTCTATAATCCAATTACCACTTCCGCTATGCCACACCTTGCACCCAATGCTTTCCCTACATTAGCCCACGAATGGACACCTTTTGAAGGAGACATTGTCCTTAATTGAAATAATTGGGACATTAAGGTTCAGAAAAGTTATGTGAGAGGTTCAGTGTCACATAGCCGGGAAACAGGTTTGTGCCTGGGCGTAAATCTAGGCAGTCCAACATTCAAACCTGAGCTCTGAGCTTCCTGGATAGATGGTTGAGAAGGATGGATGGATGGATGGGTGGATGATTGGATGGATGGTTGAATAAGTGGGTGGATGGATGGGTGGGTGGATGGATGGATGGATGGGTGGAAGGAAGGAAGGAAGGGTGGGAGGAAGGATGGATGGATGAAAGGATAGATGGAAGGAAGGAAGGATGGATGGATGGAAGGAAGGATGGGTAGAAGGATGGAAGGAAGGAAAGAAGGGAGGGAGGAAAGGTGGGTTTTGGAAGGAAGAAAGGATGGATAGAAGGAAGGAAAGATGGATGGAAGGAAGGAAGGTTGGATGGATGGACAGATGGAAGGATGGATGGATGGATGGATGGATGGATGGATGGATGGATGGATGGAAAGAAGAAGGAAGCCAAGGCAGGAGAAGTAGGGAGATAGGCTCTTCCCCTAGGAGAAGGTGATCTTACCTAAAACAATCTTTCCTTTTGCTTATTATCTTTCTTGTTCCACCTTCCTTCCATGAAAACCCTCCATTTTGTACAACTCCCTTCAGAGCTCCCCTCCACCTGTAGATGGGATGCTGCCCAACTAATGAATCATTTAATAAAGCAGATTAGATCTTCAAGTTTACTCAGTGGGATTTTGTTTCTGATGGTTGGATATGAAGGGTGGGAGAATATGGCCCTCCAGAATATGCTTCTTCGGCATGAGGATTATTTTGAGCTGATTATTTTCAGAAATAGCAGACAAAGGGGGTGCCTGGGTGGCTCAGTGGGTCAAAGCCTCTGCCTCCGGCTCAGGTCATGATCCCAGTGTTCTGGGATGGAGCCCCATGTCAGGCTTTCTGCTTGGCAGGGAGCCTGCTTCCCCCTCTCTCTCTGCCTGCCTCTCTGCCTACTTGTGATCTCTGTCTGTCAAATAAGTAAATAAAATCTTAAAAAAATAAAAGAAAGAAATAGCAGACAAAGGAGAAGCTCTGAAAACAGAGTAGAAGTTTTCCTTCTGTAAGAGAACTTTATATTCACAAAAGAAATGTCCATTAAGAGTGTCTCCCCTTCTCTTCCAGATAAAGACAACTAAATCACTAGAAACTCGTCCCTGGAGAAGGCATGTCTTTCATCTGTATAACAAACCATTTTTTGTTTACTGTAGTTTTCTCAGCACCTCCCCATACTGCCTTCCCCCAGGCCCTCCTCTCTTTTGTATTTAACTGAAGATGGTACTGATGTCTTGAGTTCTAAGTTCCCATTCTCCCGTGGGTAATCTCCCATGCATGCATGAGACATACACCTTAACAAACGTGCTTGTTTTTCTCCTGTCAATCTGTCTCTTGGTCCTAGCCAAGGATTGAGGAGGGCTGAGGGAAAATTGTTTTTTCCTCTCCTACAGATAGAAGGAGGGCCAGTTGAGTGGATGGGTGCATGGAAGAAGGGAGGGAGGGAGGGAAGGAGGGGTGAAGAGAGGGATAGGGATGGGTGGGGTGGCATTTCCCCTTGGGGACCACTGTCTCACAGACCACCCCCACTCCAACCTCGTTTGTCTTCTGAAGGAGTTCAGGACACACGACCCCTAAATATGGCACCTGGCATGTTGAATATTTTAAGCTGAAGGAGTCTGAGAAAACAGAAACAAGGGGTCCCTTGGACCTCCACCCCCTCCCTCACCCTTCTTCCCCATCACAGTCAGAAGACCCTTGTGTACGGCCACGTGACAGGTGCCCTCCCTATACCTGGAGGGAAGGAGCATCCTTATCTCCAAGGACAAAGGGAGCCAAGAAGAAGCCAAAGAAAGAGGCTTTGCTAAGTTTCCCCCATTTACAACACTTGCTTTAACCTGTCATTTTCCCCCATGACTGTCTCCTCTTCTACAAAACCCCCACACAAGCCTAACTGTTCCTCTGGGTCTTTCCTTTCTTTTGAAGTCTCCCATGCCATGTAGACCTCACATTACGTAAGTGTGGATGATTTTCTCCTGTTTTTTTTTTTTTTTAAGATTTTATTTATTTATTTGACAGACAGAGATCGTAAGTAGGCAGAGAGGAAGGCAGAGAGAGAGAGGGAGGGAAGCACGCTCCCTGCCGAGCAGAGAGCCTGATGCGGGGCTCCATCCCAGGACTCTGGGATCATGACCTGAGCCGAAGGCAGAGGCTTTAACCCACTGAGCCACCCAGGCGCCCCTGATTTTTTCCTGTTGATCTGTCTTTGTCAGTTTACTTTTCAGCCTCGGCCAGGAACCCTAGAGGGCTGAGGAAATTTTCTCCTCCCCTACACTTCCCGGGCCTCGCCAGGAAGAGTCCCATCCTATGTAACTCCTTGGCACTCCAGGAAGAGCTTCTTGTCAGGATCCAAGACCCACTCGCCCTCACCTGTGCTGGTGTAGTGGATCTTCCAGCCTGTGTGGTCCCCCGACTCATCAGTGACAAAGATGATGGTCACGGCATTGCTTTTAGTTTCAATCCTAGGGGGCAACGTTGTCCCACAAAATGGGCCATATTCCTCCTTGTCTGTTTGAATCTGAAAGCAGAAGGCGCCCTGTCACCTCAGGACATGCCAGAGCCAGAGGAGGTCTAGATCCCAGGAACCAGACCTTGAGGGAGGCGTAGGGGCACTGGGTGTCCGGGTGCGTCTCCACATCAAAGGACCCCACAAAGTCCAGGATGATGCTGAATCCTTCCTCCAGGTGGATGCCGTAGGTGCAACTGGAGAGTTTGGGGTACGGCTGTGGGTATTCAGGGCTGCTGAGCACTCCCGACCGGTCGGCAAAGACCTGACCTGAACACAGGGCTAAGAGAGGACGGGTCACTGTGAAGGGGACCCAGCAGCCGGGCTCCGCTCCCTGGCTGCCCTCACTGCCCTCTGGCCCAGTCAGATGGAACACCCCACCTCAGGGCTGAAGGAACAATCTAGAGTTTCTTGGGCTTCCTGGCTTTGGCTGAAACAGGTGGCACTTGGGCACACAGCCTCCAGGCCCCACCCACACTCCCAGGGGCTCCTGAACCTGGGGAGTCCTGGGCCAGAGTCAGGACTCTGGGGGTGACGAAGCGAGCAACGTTAGATTCTGCCGAGGGGGAAGGAGAAGAGGGGGTCCCTCAGCCAGCCTGGACCCTGACAACTCCCACATTCATCCACCACGGGGCTCCCACCCACACCAGCTGGGAGTAGTCCAGCCTTCCCTGGGTCCCCACGGGGAACAGAGGGGCCTCCCTTGGTCCACTTTCCCTCCTACCCTGGGTCCGGGCACTGCCCTGGGGGTTAGTTGAGGGAAATTCAAGTTCACACTTATCAAAAGCATGTCTGGTGCCCTCTTTCCCTGCCAGGCCAGCTGGTCGTGCCCTTGCAGAGCGAGCTTCCGCATCAGCCCCGGGAGACACCGGCCCATCCCCTCCCTAGGCTGCAGAGGACATTTGAGCTGGGAGGCTTCCAGAAGTGAGGGGTCCCAGCACAGCCTGCCTTCCTTCGTGCGCTGCTCCCCACGGGGCAGAGGGAACGGCCCCCGGATGTGGGGGGCCAGCGTGCCCATCAACAGCTGTCTCCCTGGGCCTCTCTGCTCTGGGTCAGGCTCCTCCAGCCCAGCACACCTGGGACATGAGTGGTCCCCTGAACAGGAGCTGTCCAAGGATTCTCCCAGCTCAGCCCCTGGGGAGCCGGTGGGGGAGTGAGAGAGCTCGGTCTCCCTGTGTGAACCCGGCCAAGCCCTCGTCCCTCTCTGGGCCTCAGTGCCCCATCTTCAGAATGGATGGGAGGTGGTGGGCAAGCTTTTTGGCAAAAGGGCCAGTGGCCCCATGGAGGGGGTTCCCACCAGCTAGGGTTCATCCGGGCTGTGATGAGGGGAGGGAGGGAGGGGAGGAGGCCAGGGGGCACACCGCTGCCCTCCCCCCACCGTGCCACCCAAGAGACACGAAGCAGTAGGTGGAGGTGGAGGCAGATTTATTGTTAGGTCCACGGAGGGGCAGATGGGGTGGACTGGGGGTGGCAGGCAGTGGCCGTCTTGGCCTGACCCAGACCGGAGCCAGAGATGAGGCTAGGGGCTCTGCTCTGGAAGAGAGAACAGAGAGACAGGGAGAGCCACTGGGGGAGAGACGCCGGGCAGGGGGAGGCAGGGGCAGCACTGAGCCTTGGGGCTGCCCACTCCCCAGGGCACCCTTGGGTTTCCCATCTGGGTACTTGGCACCTGGCAGGAGCTCGGAGGAGGCGGGAAGTAGAGGCCAAAGGGGTCGGCCTGCTGGGGATCCAGCCACTCTGAGCACGCCCTGCCCCTGCCGGGAAGTTTCATGCTGGGAAGCCTGTGTGAGCCCGGCCTATGCTCCCCGTTCCTCCAACCTGGGAGCCCCAGGAGGGCAAGATGCCTGTAGCAGGCGCCCAGAGCCCAGACAGGGAGGTACATAGTGGGGGCCCAGCACAGGTGATCCAAGTGATGGGCTGAAGACCGGAGAGAGGGAGCCCAGGATGAAACGGGGGAGGGGAAGGGAGTATGGATGTGCATGGGTGGACGGATGGCAGGAGGGGACGGGGCCCAGTAGGCCAAGGGCCGTCCCTCCAACCCCTGGGCAGAACACTTATGGCTTTTAGGAGCTGGCTGTATTCTGGGCCAGGGGGGTGCTGGGCTGGGCACGGTGTCTGCCCCATACCTTCCCTGGCCCCGCTCACCTGAGCAGGTGCGCTTGTTCTCGTGGAGGACGTAGCCCCGGCGGCAGGAGCAGTAGAAGCCACCCAGGTGGTTGTGGCAGTGGTGGTCGCAGGGAGCAGCCTGTCCTGGGGCGACCTGGCACTCGTCAATGTCTGGGGAAGGGGCGGGTCAGGCAGGTGGTCAGAGGGCGGGAGACGAGGCGGTCTGGGGGCCTGGGAGCCGACAGCCACGAGGCTGACCCAAGAGGAGCCCCATTTTTGGAGGTGGCTGGGGCCCGGCCGAGTATTGGACAGGCCTAGGGTCATGATAACCTCCTCAGAACGCCTGGAGGTAGATGTCACTACCCCCTTTTTCGAACGAGTGATGGGTTAAGTGTCCTGCTCAAAGTTACCCTGCAGGTGCCGCCGGCTGTCGCACCCGACAAGCAGGGCTGTGACCCGTGTTCCAGCAAACCCTGCTGCTGACTCCTGAGGAGCGCAGAGAGGTGCGGCCCCCTGCCCAAGGTCACACAGCTGGTCCCTGCAGGAGCCCCTATCTGACATCAAGTGTTCCACTCGAAGCCCGTGTACGGGGAGCACCACTCATGGGGAGAACCACACATGGGGAACACCAGGCTGCAGGTTCTCAGTGGGGCTCAGGCGGGTGGGGCTGACCTTCCCATCCAGAGGTGGACTCACTGGGCCCTAGCGTCATGGGCCCTAGCGTCATGGGAGTCGGGGGGGCGCCCTAGGAGTACATCCCAGGCTTAGCCTGTCCCCCGCTCAGCACCTCCGCACACCATCGGGCTCAGCCGGAGGGGGGCACGGTCATGGCCATTACTGATATTTGCCCTGGGGCTGGTGGTGGACAGAGGTGTGGACTCCTTGCCCGCTAGTTTGGCAGGAACCCAGCCTCAGGGAGGTGTGGGACTGAAGGGAGAGTTGGCCTGACCTAAGACTGAGTCACTCCCATGGGTAGACGGTCCATGTCGTGTCTCCCCACCCCGGCCTCCTCTTGCCTCACCCTCTGCTGCATAGAAGGCCTCAAAGCCCGTGAACGGCCTCTCGTTGGAGTAGTCGGAGCGGAAGGTCACGTCTAGGCTGGAGGCCGGTGAGTAGAAGGTGTCATTCCCAGGGGCGCGCTCCGTGTCCGTGCTCTCCTGCCCGCACAGCGTGGCCAGCACCTGGGTCCCTGAGCTCAGCTGTAGGTTGGAGTCACAGGAAGAGAGGGCGAGACGCAAGGCCTGCCTCCCCTCCCTCCGAGGCCAGACCCTGCTCCCAGAGGTCCCCGTCCCACTGCCCTCGAGAAGGTCCCAGTCTCCCCCATGCTTGTGGCACCTTGACGTAGTCATACTCGCAGAGGTAGGAGAGCTCCAGGTGGAAGTGGGTGAAGTAGAGGCGCAGATGGTAGCCGGGGGGCGCGGTCAGCGTCCAGCGCCGCTCCTGGTTGTTGGCATACTCCCCGGGGAAGCCAGGGGACACCAGGCGTCCAAACACCGGCTCAGGCCACTGTGGGCCCGGGGGTGTGGCGGCCGAGCCCCACAGCAAGCCCAGGAAGACCAGCAGCCTGAGAGCAGCAGCAGAGGGGCAGGTGAGGGTCCTGTTCTGACCCCTCGCCCCTGCTGGGGAGACCGTGGGGGGCTCCCACTCACCTCATTGTGAACCTGTCCCCCTGGCCAGGCCCGGTCTGGAGCCGCACCGTGTCTCACCTTTGATCTGTTTGTCCAGTGCCTGGGCCTGCCTCCTGCCTCCCTGACCCTGGGATTCTGGGAGTTGACCCCAGCACTCTGGCTTGCCCCGAGTTTCAGGCGGGGAGGAGAGGCCACTCTGGGAGCCAGGAGCTGGACCTGGATGACAGATAACCCTGGAATAAATCCCGGCTCCGTCCCTCACCCTGAATATCCATGTTCCCCTCAGGTGTGCGACTTCTGAGGCCAGCGGGGACCTCCATGTCAATGATCAAGACAATGATGGCTTCTAGGGAGAGATGGGGATGCATCTACTTTGGCTTCCTCCCTCCTACATCTACTTCTTCCCTACGCAAGATTGGGAAGAGGAATTTTAAAAACACATGTGTGTACGAGGAGTGGGGAATATGGGAAAGGACGCACGTCTCTAGTTTGGAAGCCGGAAAACCAGATGGACAGGTGAGACCTGCCCTCAAGAAAGTAGCTCTAAGTCAGCATTGGGATTGGGAACTGGCTTTGGAATGGACGGTACCACGGGTCCTTCTGGAAGCATTAAGAGGCCGACCATTCCCGTTTCCCATCCCCTGACCCCAGCGGAAACAAGAGGGAATAGAAGGAGGGTCCCGGGCCCCCTGAGCAGGGAGGGATGTCCAGAAAACAGGGCATTTGAACAGACAGACTGAACATCGACAGCCCTAGCCTTCTTCCTGATCCAGCTTCTAGAACCAGGCAGCGCCCCGGACAGGCTTCTCTCTTGTTCCTGGACAGTGTGGCCAGTCCAGGAGGAAAGACGCCAGGACACTGACTTGGAAGGTTCTCCCAGGAAATGGCTCAGCCACACCACCTTCAGTGAAAACCCAGTCATGTGCTTAGAGACTCCAAATATCTTTTTAGTCCCCACTCTTACATATGAGCAGAACAGTCTGCTCTGAGGTTTTAAGGAAAACCTCAGACACAAGAACAAAAAGAAGAGGAAACTATTTAAGAAGGACATTCAGGATGCCTGGGTGTCGCAGTCAGTTAAGCCTCCACCTTCAGGTCAGGTCGTGATCTCAGGGTCCTGGGATCGAGCCCCGTATTGGGCTCTCTGCTCAGCGGGGAGTGTGCTTCTCCCTCTGCCTGCTGCTCTCTCCCTCTCTCTCATTCTCTGACAAATAAATAAATAAAACTTAAAAAAAAAAGAAAAGAAAAAGAAAAAGAGCATTCAGAGAACAAAAAATAATTTTGGGAAATAAAAAGTATGATAGAAATGAAAAGCTCCATCGAATATTTGGAAGATAAGATGGAAGAAATCTTCCAGAAAATAGAGCAGGAAAGAAATGAAAAATAGTAACGATGAGAACATTAACAGATTTGTACTGTATGTCACAGGCTGAATAAGAGGAATTCCAGACGGAAATAAAGGAAAGAGAGGAGAGGAAATTATAAAGAAAAGAAATGCAAAGAAATGTCCCCAAACAGAAGAACATGAGTTTGTTGACTAAACTTTATGTGTGACACCTCAAAAGGCTAGAGAGAAAAATGACTTTCTACACACTGAGAGAGAAGGAGAGAGGAAACAACAAATTGCATACAAAATATCAGGGAAAGAATTACTCTAGATCTCCCAAAACAACACTGGAAGCTAGCAGCCAGAGTCCAACCGAGATGGCCTTCAAAGGCTCCTGCTTTGGGGGCACCTGGGTGGCTCAGTGGGTTAAGCCTCTGCCTTCGGCTCAGGTCATGGTCTCAGGGTCCTGGGATCGAGCCCCGCATCGGGCTCTCTGCTCAGCAGGGAGCCTGCTTCCTCCTCTCTCTCTGCCTGCTTCTCTGTCTACTTGTGATCTCTCTTTCCCTCTGTCAAATAAATAAATAAATAATCTTAAAAAAAAAAAAAAGATTCCTGCTTTGGTGTCCTCGCCCCTCCCAAATTGAGCAAGCCTCGGGGGCAGATTATGGCTGAAGCAGTGTGCTACTCTGGAGTTCGGCCCTATAAGACCCTGACCTTCCATCTGGCTCTGTTCAGGATCCGTTGCTCTGGGAAGCCAGTCACCACGTTGTGAGGACACTCAGTGTCCCTATGGAGAGGTCCACATGGGGAAGAACGGAGGTCTCCTAGCCACCACTGCTGTCATTTGCTGGTCACGTGGGGAACCGTCTGGGAAGCTGACCCTCTAGCTTCCCGGTTAAGGTCAGGTGACTGTGGCCGTGGCCGGCAGCTTTACTCCAACTTTACGAATGACTCCAGGCTGGACCAGCTCGCTGAGTCACTCCCCAAATCCTGACCCACAGAAAAGACATCACTCTGCTATGTTTGGGCTAATCTTCAACACAGCAGTAGACCATTGACACAAATGGAAAAGGGCAAATCTCAAAATGCTAAAGGAAGATGATTTCCAACATAGAATTCTAGCTCCCATCCGTGCTCTATGCCCATCAATCAAGCACGAAGGTGGAACAAAGACATTTCATGGCTGTCAGAGTCTTAAGCCTTTGTGTCTCTTGTCCCCTTCCTCAGAAAGCTGCTATAGAAAACACTTCACCCAGACAAGGGAGTAAACCAAGAAACAGGAAGGTTTGGAGTCCAAGAAACAGGACTTCCGATGGAGTTCTGATGGGGGTAGTCAGAAAGCTCAGGACACAACACCTGTAGGGTTTAGAGATTGGAAAAAAACTTTTTCCGTAGTTTTTTTTCTTAAATGAGAGTCTTAGTTACTTTCTGGTATAAATTATAAAGGAGAAATGCATATTACATATATTAGTATTTCCTGTTAGTGAAAATTCCATTCAATGTGATCGTGAACTAACTATAAATCATAATGGAGCAGATACTAGGACCTCATGGCCAAAAAGGCTGATCAGCATTCTGTCCAGATCCTCATGACATATATTGAGTCCAAAGATCTTTAAAAAAAAAAAAAACTTTTACCAAATCTTCAAGAGTTGGTAAAAACTTCTTGGCTAAACTGGTGATGAATTTATTAACAATTAAGCAAATGCGAAACACCTCCAGGAGCAAGCAGCAGCAGCTTGGGGGATGGACTGTCTCCCGTCCCAGCCGAGAGCCGTGTTTCGTGAGCTGTGATGGCGCCAACATGGGACATGGTGATGACCGAGGTGATCGTTTGGTTGTTGAGGGTGTGGTTGGGTCAGGGAAGGAAAGAACTAAATCCGTAGCTTCCCTAGTGGAAAGTCATCAGATGATGACTGAAACCAACGAGCTAGAAGGCAGTAAGACAGGAGGATACAGACGTGCAGGTAAATACCAGAACCATCTGCTGGGAGTGGTCCTTGTGGCTCGCCCTGCTGGAAGCCAAGTGGCCGGGGAGGGCCGCCATTTTCCTTCCAATGATCCTCTTGCAAATACTGGAGTCCTTAAACCCGGGCAGGCTTAGTTTTGATAAATAACTAAACTTCAAAACTAGATGGCGGCAGTGGGGAGGGGGCCTGGCTGCCGGGTCAGCAGAGAATGTGACTCTTGATTTTGGGGTTGTGAGTTCGAGCCCCATGTTGAGCATAAAGTTTACTTAAAATAACGACAAAACCCAAAAAGTTCTAGACAGGATCAATTTTATCCTCGATGCCACAGGTGGGGCCTGTTCATGGCCCTCTCGGGGTTTCTGGGACCTCAGGGCTCGGGCCTTGTCTGCACCGAATGTCCTGCTTCTGCTTTGGGCCATCAGTCCCTGTCTCCCGTCCCATCTGTCTAGATGTGGGGTCCAGTGCTAGTCCTTCACGTGCACCCCTTCAAGGAGACTTTACCAAAAGCTGGGGAAGTGGAAGGACTTCCATTGCAGACAACTTCAATGTGCAGGTCGGGGATTCTTGATTCCCCAAGGACCCCAACTCTTTCTACAATTTGGGGCCCCCTCTCCCCTTCCTCTGACCCAACGGACAGTCCTGATTCCCACGAGTTCCGCAAGCACTGCATGACCCACGCTTCTTAGCCGAGCCTGTCACAGGTGAGGAACGTTGCCCTTAATGACTTTGCCAACAAGGCAAGCGAGCCGGGGGGCTGAGCAGTTCATGCCACTGAGCCAACAGGGGATGGAGTTGAGATTCAGACCCAGATCCAGAGCCCCTTCCAGCAGCCTTCCAGGGTCACCCTGGGGATGGACCTTCCTGGAGTTTGGTAAGATGAGCTAGGAAAGGAGAGTGAACATCTGGGGATGTCCCTGCTGGGGTGCACTGGGATGCAGAGGAGGCACACAGGGCAGGTCAAATAGAGTGGAGTGGCTCTCCGAAGGCCAGTTGCCTGGTGTCCTCCATGTGCTTACTAGGTGTGTGGTCTTGGGCAGGTCATCTACCTTTCTCATGCAGTTAAAGCACCTTCCTCATGGGCAGCTGCAGGGTTTAAGGAAGGAGACCTGGGTTGGGTCAGACCTTCATAATTAGCCACTGTCACCTTCCTTTAACAGACACTCTGCCTTGTGGCTCATGTCATGTCCCCACCTGGCCTCGCTGGGAGTAGGGAGACCTGGGTAAACAATGTCCACCATGAGGCCTGGTTTTAAGATTGTTCTAGGGTTAGGGGGTGGTGGGATGGCAAAGTTAGCTTGTGATCACATGTTCAAAGGGGATGGGGGTGCGTGGAGCCCAGAGAGGGCAAATGTCCTCTCTGAAATCTTTCTAGAAGTTGGCTGTGCAGCTAGAGGCTTGTTCCCCTCCCCTATGATGACTACGGTTCCAGCCCCGCCAGAAACTGCCAGGTCCAAGGTAGCTGCCCATGGCAGGTGCAGGTCGGGGGTGTTCTGGTGCCCAACCTCCCTGCCAGAGCCACTCCCTTGTCCCCTTCCTGCCAGGTCTTCCAGGTCAACCCATCCTCTGGCCATGCTTCTGCCCAGGGTAGAGAAAGGTGTTGGTGAGGTTAGCTTTTCCAAAGAGCAGGGCCCTTTCCTGCAGATCCTGAGACAGGAGTGGGCTGGAGGCACCCCTCCCCCAATCTGCACCCCATTATGTGGCTACTCTCCTCCTAGGAGGGCCTCAGTCCTGGCTGGTGGGAAGGGTGAGGTGCCTGGGGAAGAGGAGGGAGATTCAGGACCTTGGAGAGGGGACTGTCCTGCACCCACAGAGTCCTGGGAAGGCCACCCACACTTGCTTTCTCAACCTCTTGACACTTTGTGGGGGTACTTCTGGGAATTCACCAGAGCGCGCTCCTGGGTTGGTGGGTGGGATTTGAACCTAAGTCTGAATCCTGAGTCAGGGCACCTGATATGCTTAAACAGGCCCAACAACTGGACCCCAACCACGTACCTGCCCACTGCCTTGGGAGTGGCCCAGACAACCCTGTGAGTGACCCTCGTTCTTGAGACAGCAAAGTCCCAGAGCGGCCCCACCATGATCTTCTCAACCCCACAGCCCTGGCCCCGGGGGTCTGTCACCTTTGCCCTCTGTGCGGCCTGGTGAAGGACTGACCACGGCAGTGTCTCTGGACAGACTTGGGTCCGGTCTGGTAACTGTGGTGCCCCCTAGTACCAGAGGCCAGGGGGCCAGTCCCAGGTGACACAGGAGGGCCAGGTCTTCCTGTTCACCACACGTGGCAGACACCCAGAGGCTGAGCCCCATACACGGGAGCGCCCCACGAGAGCTGCTGGGGCACCTGCCTGGGCCCATTCAAGGTCTGGGGACACATGGTTCGGAATTTGTTATAAATACACGTGTTTGGTGAGTGAGGGCGACAGAAGGTGGAGAAGGTGCTGTACACAGCTGGTAGCGGCTTGGAGGCCGGACGCCATGCCGACAGAGAGACAGACAGTCCGCCCGGCGGGGCAGCCCGGGCAGCATTCTGGGGCCTGTAACACTTGCTTGGTGGGCACACCGGCGGGGCGGGGGGGTCTCGTCCAGGGCTTGGGGCGCCCAGGCGCCCCGGGGGCTCCCCGGCCTGAGGTCCTGGGCGGCGGTGGCAGCGCCTGGGCTCAGCTCACATCGTTCAGGGCCTGGTGGGACAGAAGGCCTGCTCAGGAGGACGCTGGGTCCCGCCGGGGCTCAGGCGCGCCCCCGGGAGGCCCCGCGTCCCCCGCCCTTCCCCGGCCAGCAGGCGGCTCACCTTGCGCGCGAACTCGGGCAGGACGAAGGCGGCCTGGTGCACGTCCGAGTTGTAGTACTTCAGCTGCATCTGCTCCACCTGCTTCTGCGTCAGCTGCTGCACGGGCTTCCGGAAGTCGGTGCTCTGCGGCCGGCGCGGGCATCAGCGAAGCGCTCTCGGCCGCGCGCAGCCCCGCCCCCCACCCCCGCCCGGGCCCCGCCCCCGCCGCGGGAGGGCTCGCCGCTCACGGGATTTTTGCTGCACAGCATGAAGCCTATCTGGCCGCTGGGGTAGGTGGGGATGGTGCAGTAGGCGTAGGCCACCACGGGGAAGAGCGACTTGCAGAACTGCCGCATCTGCTTGATGAGGTCCAGGTGCAGCCACTGACACTCGCCTGCGCGGGGGACAGCAGGGGGGGCATCAGCCCCAGCGGCAGGCCTGCTCCTGGCCCGCAGCGCAGGGCTGCCCCTCCGGCCCTCCCTGCCGCAAGTCACCCCCCAACCCCCCCGCCCCACTCACCCTGGCAGCAGAGGACGCCGTTGTCCTTGAGGGCCGTCTTCATGAGCTGGTAATAGGACTCCTTGAAGAGACTCTCTGCAGGGCCTACAGAGGAGGGGACAAGGGACAAGGAGCACCTTCTGGCTGAGACCTCCCCACCCGGCTCTGGGCTCTGGGGGCTGGTGAGCGCCGCGACTGCCCCACTACAGACCCACACAACCACCAAGGAGGCAGGGCCAGGATTTGAACCCCGGTCTGTGGACTCGGAAACCAACCACGAAGAGGGTGCTTTGGAGGAGTGCAGGGACCTGCTGCCTCAGTATCTGAGGGGGCTCCACGTTTCCATCCCGTTCCTAGGTGTTGGGGGAGGGGTTCTCACTGCCACTGTGTCAGGGGACTCTACACCCTGGGCCTTGGGTTGAGACTAGATCCCATCCCCCGCCCCGATGCTGGCCTATTAAGAGCGGAGAGGAGACTGAAGAGGAAGCTGGGGCCTCTGTGGGCCAAGGCCAGCGCCCTGCTCTCCTCCAGGCTCCCAATCCCCTTGTAACTTTGGGCAGAACTGTGCTCTCCCTTCTCTGGGGAGCCAGGTCTGGGGTGGGGGAGGGAGTGACCAAGAAGGGAACGGTGCAGCTCGAGCTCTGGACCCCCTCTGTCTTCCACTCTGCAAATCAGCTGTAGGCACAGAGGGAGGGCTGGAGCCACTGGACCGTGGCTGCCAGCAGGCCCAAGGCCCATCCCTTGCTTACCCATAGGGTCTGAGGAGTCAGTGATGATAACATCGAAGGCATCCTGGTTCTGTTTCATGAACTCGAAACCGTCGCCCACGTGCAGGGTCAGCTTGGAGCTGGAGTAGCCCACAGCCATGCCCGGCAGGAACTTCTTAGAGACCTGGATGACATCCTGGGGAAGGAGGAGGGACCCGGCTGAGATATGGGGGCTGGGGGCCCGCCAGTGCTCCTTTAGATAGTCTGGTCACTTGGGCAAGCCATTCAATTTGCGGAGACCCGGTATCCTGCTGCCTCCCCCGCCATCATGGGGGGCTGGCTCCTGCCTCCTGAACTTGCCTCCCACTATCCCCGTTCTCTGTCCGTGGACCAGACTGTCGCATCTGAGTGACTTTTTTGCTGGGTCAGAGGAAGGGGAGTTCAGCCTCTGCCAGGAGGGCCTTCCCCTGCCCCCACATGGCGAGCTGCTTCTCATCCAGGCCTCGGCTGAAACCCATCTCCTCCAGGCGAGTGCCGACCAGCCTTCACTTCTAATCTCTTGAGCCTGTCTTTTCCTTCCACACTCTGCTCCCCACCGTGCCTCTGAGGACTCCTCCTCGCTAGAATATCAATTCAGGGGGTACGGACTGGAGCTGTCCGTTCACCACTCTATCCCAGCACCTAGAGCGTTGGCTGCCACTTAACAGGTGCTCATTAAAAACGTGCTGAACGAAAAGGGTGGACACACAAGTAGTTGCAATGCCCCTGGGACTTGACTTAAAACCAGCGTAGTCTTAAAACTAAGAATGAAAAACTAAGTCTTAGTCTAAGAACCAGCATCTCGGCACACCTACTACCTGCCAGGCCCTTTGCTACCTGGTTTTCCTACCGAATCCTTCCAACACATTCTTGAGAGGAACAAAGACACTGAGCACTTCTGAGCGACACGCCGAAGGGTACACAGCCAATTCAGGGCGGAACGGGGATTCGAACCCAGAGCCAGGCACTCACCTCATCAATCTCACACTGGACCACAGATTCCACGGAGGAATGCTTCAACACCTCCCGCAGGACACCTCCATCCCCACCCCCGATGATCAGCACCTAGGAGTGGCAGCATTATTCAGAAACACAGCCCCAAGCCTGAGTACCAGCCCCACCAAACAGGCTCCAGCAGGACTCGGGGGGCCTGGGCGCGCACAGGGCAGAGGCACTCGCACAACACAACCTGAACAGATGGTTTCTCAACTCCTCTGATGCATACACAGACCTCGTTACTTCATTTGCTACTCTCAGAGGCGCTTTCCTGCCCCAGGAACCTGGCACGAGGTGTCCCCTTTTCCGGGAAACTCCTCCCAGGGCTGCTCCTTCTGATGAAGCAGGCCTCAGCCAGAACCCTTTGCTCCCAGAGGCTGTGGCAGCCCCCACCCCTTGTGAAGTGGGCCACTGGGCCCCACCTCCTTCCCCAGTCCTTGCTAGCACTTTCTGACAACCATTTAGGAAGCCCCTGGGCTGAGTTGGACACAGCTGAGGCCTTCTGCCCTGTTCCGCGGGACACTGAGGAGTGGGGCTTCCCGGTTCCAAGCTGGGGGCTGCATCTTGGTGGGAGCCGGGGTACCTTGCGAGGGTTGGGGTGGCTGCAAAGGGGCAGGTTGGCTATCATCTCCTGGTAGGAGAACTCGTCCCGCTCCGTGCACTGGATGACGCCGTCCAACACCAGCACGTTGCCGTAGCTCTTACTGAAGGCGGGAGTGACAGTCAGGGACCTGGGTCCCCTGGAGTGGGGGCAATGGGCCCCCATTCCCCCCCCATGAGAAGAATCTCCCCCAACCTGCCAAGGGGTCCCAGGAGTGAGTGCTGGGGGGTGACACGTGGCGAGGGCCGGCAGGCAGGCCCGCTGGGTGGGGGGTGGGGGTGGACTCAGGGTCCCGGCTCTGACGTGTCCCGGAGTGACACGTGGAGCTCGGCGCGTGGAGCCGGCGCAGACTCCGGCTCCCGCCCCGCCGGAGAGGACCGCCCGAAACGCCGGCCCCCTGCCCGGAGAGACGGGATGCAGGGTGGGGAGGGGGTCCCGGGAGGGGCCGGGCCTAGTTCCTCAGAACTTCTGACAGTTTTGCAGGGGGAGGGGCGGGGACAGAGGCGGCCCGGGGGGCGCCCGGAGGTAAAGGGCGCCGACAGGGGTCCGGCAGGAAAAGGGGCGCCCCGGGCTGAGACCGGGGCAGGAAGAGTCCCGGCTGGCTCCGGGGCGGCGGGCAGCGCGCGGTCTGGGCCGAGGGCCGCCGCAGGCGCTCGGGGTCCGGGGCCGGCGGTGGTACCTGCGGAAGACAAGGATATCCTGGTACCGCGAGCGCTGATGGTGTAGCAGCTGCTCCACCTGCAGCGACAGGGCCTGGCCGGGCCACAGGCTGCACGTCTCGCGGAACCAGCCCTCGTGGATGTCAGCGGGGCCGAAGGCGGCGGGGCCGTCGGGGCGGGGTTCCATGGCGGGCGGGCGGGCGGGCGGCGCGGGGCGCGGGCCCGGGACTGCAGGCCGCGCGGAGCCGCAGCACAACGGGACCAGCTCCGCCCGCCGCCCGTGCGGCAACCTAACGCGGCCGGCGGGGCGGGGCCCATTCGTAGGGGGCGGGACCCAGTCCAGCCAATGGAGGCGCGAGCGCGGGCGCGCGGCGACCCCCGAGGCCCCGCCCCCGCCGGCAGTCGGAGCGCGCTCATTGGCTGCCGGTGCAGAGCGCGGTGCCCAGTGGCTGGGACGGACCGTCCGTCGGCGGCAGCAGGGTAGTGCGGCTCGCTCCGAGGGGCCACGTGGGGGCCGGGGCCGGGCGGCCGGGCCCGGGTTCCGGCTCGGGGCGGGCGGGACCGGCGGAGGGGATCCGGGTACGTCCTGGGGTACGGCGCCGGCCGGGAGGCCCGTACAGCCCCCGGGGCCCTGCCCCGTTTCTGGGGTCCGGGAGGCGCCGAGGGCCGCAGAGGTGCCCGGCGCGGACTTTTCCGAGCGCTGGGACGAGAGGTCCGCCGACTTGAGCCTTCGGGCTGCGGAACCCGGCGCGGGCGGCTGCACTGTGGGCGCAGAGTTACGTTGTTGCGCCGGGGCCGTGGGGTAGGATGGATCTCTCGCCGCGTCCCTAAACGTGGCTCCTTGCTGGACTTGAACGGAGCCTGTGGCTCGGCCAGGGCGCACTGAGGGTTTTTATGTACTTGAGGACCAACACAGCTCCCTGACTTTAGGGAGATCTAGCCATTTTCTCTGGATTCTCCGACCCGTGAGCCCTACGGCTGCTGGAGAAGGAGGAGTTCTTTTCTAAACGAGTTTCTAAATTTACCAGCCGTGTCCCGGAAGAGGCCAACACATGCATATTCAGCAACAAATAAGACTGGCACACTTTTTTTTTTTTTTTTTTTAAACACAAATGGCTTTGCTCTTTGAAGGGTGGGCGGGAACGTGCTGTTTTTAGAAAAATGTCAAGGAACTTCTCTGAATCAAATTAAGCATGCTAATTACCAAATATTAAATGCTAATTGCTCTATATGCATAGTTCTTCGCATGCCAGGGAAGGGAGAGGAGTCTGGGAGAAGCTACTGGGGACGTGACAGGGATGTTTCTGACTAACAGTTCTGCAGCCTCCACTTGGAGGTGGGAAGCATGTTCTCTGTAAAATCAGGTGAATAACACACTAGTGTTTATCATGTAGCCCAAGCCGCAAGGCTTACAGCAACAATGTGTCTCGTTTGACTTGAAGCTCCTTTTCCAGGGCAGGTTAACCAAGACAATAGCAGAGTTGCTAGGAGATGTCTCATAGGGAGCTGTTTCCGGACCGAGGTCATTTGGGTAAGATATAGTCAACCCCTCTGTCCTGCAGGCTTGCCTGGGTTCAGTCCAATACTTCCTCCATCAGGACATTTACACCTCTGAGCTGTGATTTGCCTGTTCACTTGTGTGTCCCCTGAGCTAGACTGTGAGCTTGATGAGAATAGGGATGGCGTCCCTAGCAGGCAGCACTGGAGAACAGGCTGAGTTGGCGCTGGAGGCCCCGGGCGCTGGTCCAGGCACTTCGTAGTCAGCTGTCTTGGCCTTCTTCCAGGGATTGCACAGCCGAGACCAGCCTGGGGCCCTGGCATTCCGGGGGCACTGCAGGGCGGGGGCAGCGGAAGATCAAGTCCACCCATCCCATTCCTCCGGCAAGCTGAACAAAGCTGCTCCAGCACATGTGTCCTCAGAGGAGAAGGACCATCAGTGACACCTTTTCCCTTCCTGTAGAGGAGGTGAAACCAGTTTTGGCCTCAACAGCCGCAGTGAATGGGATCTCTGGGATGGTGTGGAGCAGCAGTAGCTCAAAGCTTCCCGGCCCGAAGAAAACAAAGGCCCTGAATAAAGTGCAGAAAGGAAAGTCCCTAGATGTACAGGGCCATGATCCCATGTATGTCACTCAGCTTCAGATCACAAGGAACAAAGGCGGTGGTTGTGTCAGAAGTAGCTGGCTAGCGCGACATAGCCCAGTTACGTTCACAACGGATATGGGCCACCAAGATGGAGAACCCAAGGTACAGAATGAAACGTTTCCCCGAATTCAGACCCACGTGCATTTAAGATTCAGTCGCAAAGCATTACTGTCTAGTGGGTCAACTCTCCCAGCCTGTTAACGTGCAGGTGATTCATCCACCGGGAGAGGGGAGAGGTGGGCGCAAGGCTGCTGTGGAGGCTGAGATGGCAGTGGGACCACTGCAGGGTGTGTCTGTCACCGGAGAGACTCTGCAGTTAACACCCGAGTCCTGTGTTTCAGGCACTGTGTTCAGCCAGGCAGGCTGTGAGTGGGAATGAATTTGGCCACGGCGTGGGATTGCTTGGTTGAAAATGTTTTTGGCAAGCTAAGGTGCCACGTGCAGCAGTGTGGCCCTGGGACAGAGAGCCCTCCTCCTCAATTCTCTCTCTGCCCCCAACCCCACTGACCCTGCCACACCCTCTCCCGGGGCACAGCAGCAGTCCTCCCTGGCTCAGAATCCCCGAGCCTTTTGGACTGACACAAGGCCCTTGGGACACTCACGCATCCTCCCAGGGCCCTGGGGATCCAAGCGCTCTCCCCACAGCGTCAGACTCCAGTGGACGCAACTACAGCTGTTCTCCAGACATCCCCAAGGCTCTTGTCTCCATCCCGTGGCTCCGTAGTTCTGGACTTGTGGTTTTGGGGACTAGTAAAATTTCAAAAACACGTTTGGGGGCCGACATCAGGTGGCCAACTCTTTCTTTGGCAAGGAAGGACATTTAAAAAGATCTCAGCTAGTACTGTCTGTGGTCTCCCCATCTTTTTATAAAACAAACAGAAAACACTGACACACATTTCCAAGTCAAGGACAAGGAATCACCTTACCTCTCTAAGAAACTTAACATACAGTCCTTGTTTTTAGGTCAGCTCTGGTCAGTGGTGAGCCCTCTGCGGGGCACTCAGCAAAGGCCTGGGGTGCATAGCCCTGCTTACCCAGTGGTTCTCAGACTTGAGCCACCAGGGGAATCATCTGGAGAGCTCGCTGCTCCCGGCTTCCCGGGCCGCTCCCTCCTGGTTGGCAGGTGTGGGTGGAGCCCGGGTTTCTGCTCCCAGCAGGTCTCTGGCAGAAGCCCACACTTAGCACTAATTACAAGGTTCTCTGGACTTTCTCCCTTACTCTTCAAGGTCGAACCCAAATGTACCTTTCGGGAAGCCTCCTCAGGCCATCCTCAGTAGAAAATCATTTCTCGCTCTTCAAAATTCCCATCTATTCCACTTTTTTTTTCTTTTTTTTTTTTCAACAGCAGAGACTCTACATGGCAGATGGCTTATTGTGTCTCCGTGTCTGTTCTCTCCCAGCTCTGTACCAGAACCCTGCATGGTTAGGGGCCTGTGGACACTGAAATGACTTTCCCAGTAGCCTTTGCTGTGGCACGTGACTATGTGCTGGCTGATGGGAAGTGGACACGGGCCGTATCCCTTTAAAGGGAGACTGCGTGTGCCTCTCTTCCCTTCCTTCCAGCTGAATGGAATGCGGACGTGATGGACGGAGCTAGGCCAGTTACCGAGCCCATGAGGTGGAAGCCCTGGGTTCCAGTGGAGGCTGGTAGCGCCACAAGTAAGGGCCAGAGTTGAGAACTGCCAGTCGCCGCACTAGCTCTGGACTAACTAGGACTGGAGAGAGAGAGAAAAAAAAACTTGTTTTGCTAAGTCACCAACAGTCTGGCTTTTCTGACAGTTGCAACCATTCTAGCCCCAACTTCAGTCCACTGGGGCCTGGGCTGTTCTCTGCTGTTCTGCGTGACTGGCTGCTCTCTGGCAGCTGAGCGATGTCTGGGTTCACAGCCCCTCGGGGAGCCGCACACAGCCAGCCCTCTCAACAACCTGCGAGAAGAACGTCTAAGAAAACAGGCTCCTCGTTTGAATATTTGTGAAAACAGGGGCACCTGGGTGGCTCAGTGGGTTAAGCCCCTGCCTTCCTGGGATCGAGCCCAGCAACCTGCTCTCTGCTCAGCAGGGAGCCTGCTTCCCCCGCCACCGGCCCCCCGCCTGCCTCTCTGCCTACTTGTGATCTCTTTCTCTGTCATATAAATAAAATCTTAAAAATAAATAAATAAATATTTGTGAAAACAAAAATAATGGTATTTTGTGCTTTCTGAATTTAATAGCCCATTCCAGGATTAAAATCAAATAGAATTCTGAAGAAATTACATGGTACATTATTAATACAAAAATGGAAATCTAAATGTTCAAAAATGGTGGCGAGCTAGGAAGTTTAGAAGGAGAAAAGACAAAAAAACTTTTAAAGTGTGAAAAACTGTAGAAACATAAATCCAAGTTTGGAAATGAGTCAACACGTGGTACAAAGCCTTGACACCAAGGCGTGGAAGTTTCTCTCTCTGCGGTGAGATTACTGATCATGTGGTTTTTCTTGTTTCCTCATTCCACCAATGAACGTGCTATGACTTTTCCAACTGGGGAAAACGACATTAAAATACTTTTCCAAATTGGGGAAAATGTTAAAAAGAAACAAAAAGGAGTGAGACAGGAACGGCAGAGAACCCCGGCCCTCCGGAGGTCACGGCTGGCTCTAAACCTCCAGCAGCAAATCTTCCCGAGAAGGTCCGCACCATGCGGCCTCAGTGGCATGACCTGAGGGCATGTGGAGGGGGTCAAATGGCCCCAGAACCCCTGGAAAGGGAGAGTCAGTGCCCCGTGCCTCGTGGAAGCCGCCCTTTTCTGAGTCTTCTGTGATTCAGTCTCCTGTGACTCACACTCTCTCGGGGGTGATTCTGGGCTCCCCCAGAAATCTTAGTGTCCTCAAGGGCACACTTACCCCCAGATGGCTGAAGCCCGGGCTCCGAGTGGGGTGGGGTCTGTCCTCTCCCTGCCAGCCCTGAGGTGGCAGCAAAGGAAAAGTCTGGAATCCGCTTTCTTCCAAGATTATTTTTTAATGGTTTAAAAAGGGGTCCGTACAAAAAGCAGCAGCACCACCCGGTGCTTCCAGTCCTCTGGGGAGTTCCAAGGGTCTCCTCCGCCTCTATCTCTTTGGCCAGCTGTGCCTGAAACCCCTGCAGAGACAGAAGTTGTGAAAACAGAAGAGCCACTTCTCCCAGTCTGGCTGGAGGTTTGCTCTCAGCCGCTTCGCAAAACGCTGCAGACCTCAGTGATGGGCAGCTGGGGCAGCATGGTTCATTTGGGGCCCCTGGAGAACTGAGCGTGGCAGCAGCGTGTCCCCCACACTCTGGCAGACAAGAGGGGGCTGGGGAAGCACTCTGCGGCCCCGGGCGGCTGTGCTCGCCGAGACCGAAAGGCAGCTTTGCCTCCTCACCAGGCCACACCCTAGGGGGGAGTCCTCTGGCTTTAGGCTCTGGCCTGAGCATGAAGGTTTCATGTTTTTAACGAAAATATTCTTAAATGACAAGCCACATTTCCTCACTGATTTTTTCCCTCCCTCATTCCTCAGAAAGGGAAGATCTGGGAAAACTCCGAGTCCGTCTGCTCAGAGGGGACCCCAGGAAGCTGTGCGGTAGTAGGCAGTGAGGGATGGGAATCTTGAGTCCTCGGACGCAGGGACAGTTGCTGGGGGGGATGGCCCTTGGCAAGGCCCTCCCCTCCTCCTATCTCAGCTGCCCGACTGACAGAGAGGGATCTGGTCGAGAGAGGCCCTCTGAGGCTTTCCACCTGGGCCCTCTGAGCCCATACGCTGGCCTCCCCCACGTACCTGTCTGACTTTCCGGTTGGAAAGGACATGCTTTTGTTTCCCACCGACTGCTTAAGTTTTTTGGGTGCAACGCATTTCTGAAAAGATAAACAGCCATTTCAGTCGAGGGACAACCTGACCATAGGACACCTGCAGGAAACCCCACAGGAGCCCGCCGGCCCGTCCAAGACTCCAGTACCACTGGTGTGCCTGGTTTTCTGAGAACTGGGCCTTTCTGGGTGCTTCTGAAGGCAAGGCTGTCCGCTGGGGCTACCAACGAAGAGGAGGGCTCCACACAGGTCTCACCCTCCGGATGCCAAACCTGTAGCCATGCTTGGCTCTGGCTGGCAGCAACACCCACGGGGGCAGAGGCAGGCCTGTGCGGGCCCCCGAGGGAGTGTCTATGGCCTACAGCTCATCCCCATGGCAGCCAACAGCAAACACCCCTTCAAACCACAAGCCAGCCCTCACAGCCTCTTTACAAGTTCCTTTTTTATTGCTGGAATAGCTGATGGGTATTGTCTGTACTCGAGGAGAGATGAGGTGAGGGAAAGGATATGCCGAGGGAGACGACTCCCAGCCGGGCCGTCTTCCCAGCAAAGGCAGAGGGAGAAAAAGCACCATGAGCAGGCGAGAATTCTCAAGATTTTACTGTCTTTTTAATGGTATCTTGTATTTTGCATTTGAATTTGGAATCAAAGCCTAGTTGACATACACAATCCTGTTAGTTTCACATGTCAAGTGTATTTCTTACCTTGCTGGGCTGGGTCTGCTTATTTGGATCGAACTGGGAAGGTTTCGCTTTGCTGTTTCCTGGAAGGTGAGAGCAGAGAGACGCCAGTGAGCATGTATGGGAGTCGATGTACCCAAAGGGCTGCCCGCAGGGCCGGCGCACAATGTTCAGGAAGGGTGGGCTGTCAGCTTGCCACCCTTGTAGGAGGCTCAGGGACTCGGGCTGACATCAACTCATGTGTCATGTCCCCAGTGGGAAAGGGCAGCCCGAACACCAGGCTCATCTCTCACAGATCTATTCCCAGCTCACGGGCAGGTGGCTAGAGCACTAGCTCCTCTTACACCAAGGCCATCCAGTTTGGTCTCTGTGTGCCCGTCAGGAAGTGCCACCGGCAGTCTCTTGGGCCCTGGGGTGACGACTGTGCCCTGCCTTTTCTCTCTTCAAAGGGACATGTTGCCAAGGAGGCCGCTCTGCCGTCAGGAGTGCCATCCACAGCCCCTCCAAGGCAGATGAACTCTCACCGGCTGAGACCAGAGAGCCCCCCGCCCCGGGCTTCAGGTTTCTTCCCAAACTCCTTGCCGTGTTTGTATGTCTGTCTGAGAAAATGTGTGTCTGGGCCCGAGCTACTGTGAGGAAAGATGGAGCCGCTGTTAGAGGGAACGCCACCTTGCACAAGGACCAGTGTGGCCCCGGCGAGGCAGCTGCGCCCGGGGTGGGGGTGGATAGGTGGCACCTGCCAGCCTGGCACTGCCGAATCCCTGATACGGCTCTCAGAGATCTTGGGTGACAGCTGTGTCTTTCTCGGGCTTTGTCTGTGCCTAGCTCACGCTTTCTTTCCTCCACAGCTTCCTCCCTCCTAACAGGGCCAGACGTTTCTTAAAGGGCACCAGTCCCGGCCTCACCAGCAAAAGCCTTGAAATCTGACTTGCTGTAGTCATAAGGGGTGAAATCTTTTTCTGGTGGATCCGGGTCTTTTGGCTTCTTGGAAGTTTTGAGTCGTTTCTTCTCTTGTTTCTGCTCTGTGGTCCTCGGGTCACTTGTGGTCCGCTCTCTCTTCTTGGCGGCACTCTCCAGCTGCAGGGTGAGCACACCGTGGGAAGGACGCACGGGAGCGGATGCGACAGCCAGGCCGGCGGCCCCTAGGCCTGCCGCACCTGTGGGCTTGGGGACGGGGACGGGGAGAGGAGTGCAGGCGGCTGGGAGCCTGGGCGGGGCTCGCGCCCGGTGGGACAAGCTCCTCTGTGGAGAATGGCATCAGGTCTTTTACGAAAAGGCACAAGAGGCTTGGATATTCGTGGCCTCAGGGCTTCGTCTACCACTGGAGTCGGGACGGTCTATTTACCATAGATTCATCACAAAGAATCATCTAAGAGGAATTACAAGATAAACTTTTCTGAGGTAAAGGAGGCAGGCACGGACTGACAAGCCAAGATGGACAGCACAGACGTAGAAGTCTTTAATCTGAAGTGCAGGACGAGCCCTCCTGCCATGACCAGGGGCTTCTCTTTTCTCAAATGGGAAAGCAGAAGGGCCGGCACGTACGGCAGCCTGCTGTCGGACAGACACGGCCTGCTCCGCGGTCGCCTTGTACTCCTCCTGGGCCTGGTCCCGCGCGGCTGCAAGAGAGCACGGCCTGTGGAGCTGCGGCCCCGGCAGCCAAGCCTCCCTCCTCACCCGGCTGCCACGGCCGCTGCCGCGGTCCCAGTCTCCCACACTGCCCGCGCACCCCGCCCCCAGCCCCTGCAGCTCAGGGCGGAGGTTCTGCCCACGCGCGGGCTGACAGCCCACCTGCCCCTCCCCTGACATCCGGAGCCTGACCCCCAGCAGCCCGGGGGCCGCCGCTCTGGGGGGCCGCAACCCAAACATGTCAAAGACCAGAACAAAGCCACTTCCCCAGCCGGCTCCTCGTGCTCTCACTCTGTCGCTGGCTACCCTCTTTTAGTTGTTCAGGACCCGCCCTTCCGGCCCCCCTGGCTCCCCTCCTCCTCTCTCGTGCCACACACCACTTGTCATCAAGGGCCGTCAGGGTCACCACAGGGTGCACTGGCTTCGGGCCACTTCTTGCCCCCTCTGCTCCCGTGCGGGCCAAGCCGGTAGCCCCTCACCTGGCCTCCCACCCTTGCCCTCTTTGCTGGGCCCTCCACGGTCTTGGAGCGAGCTTTTCTGGTTGGTGCAGGCCACTGCTCTGCTCAGACCCTCCACAGCTTCCCAGGCCTCTCGGAGTACAAGCCACGTCCTTACAACTGTCCTGCTCTCCCCCCGTCAGGCACACTGGCCTCCTGGCCACTCCCTGAGCATGCCCAGACAGCAACCGCCCCCGGGGCCTGGGACTCGCTGGGCCACCAGTATGGACCACTCTTCCCCTAGAAGCAGCCCGTTTTTGCTCCACGTTACACTTATCCGACTGCCTTCCCTAGACATGGTGGGGAAGCAGCGCCCGGACCCTGCGGAAGGGCCAACTGCCGTAAGAAAGGACGGACATTTATGGGTGCACTGCCTGCGACCCCCCGGGAAAGGCAGGCTCCACGGGGCAGGGGCCGGGCTTTGTTCACGGCCGTCCCGGCATTCTGTGGAATAAACAAAAGCGCGTGCGAGGCCTGCTCTTTGGCAGACGCCCCGAGGGGCCGAGACACCAGGAGCCGGGGGCTACCTGTTTGCTCCGCCGCCTTCTCCTTGGCCGTTTCTTTAGGTCCTTTGTGCGTCTGCACCTGGCTTGCCAGCTTCCAGCGGTTGCTGATCTACAACGAAAACAAACCAAACGAAAACACTCCAAAACTCAGCCACCGAGGAATGCTTCTTCTTTTTTTTTTTTTTTTAACAAGGGGATGCCGGGCATACTAACCTAGGGACGACACACATTTCTTAGTCATAAATTCCAAATCTCATGACACACAAAACAGAAATCTCGTGCTGGCTTTGTGTGTAAAATACTCAACAAGAAAGACCAAGCACAACTGGGTTCCGGGCCTGGAGCCGGACGCCCTCCTGTCTGCCCTCTCATTCAACCCTCCCGTAATCCTGGGGCAAAAGCATCCTCGTCACCCCCGCTTGGAGATGGGCAACAGGCTCAGAGAAGCTAAATGATCTGTCTGGGGGGACACGGTTAGCAAATGGGGGAGCCGGGCTTCAAGGCAGGACTCCTGGAGTCTGGCGTGCTGCTGTCTGATACCATGTCTGCCTGTGGCGCGAGAACACATCTCGCTGGTATCGGGCAGAAGCACGTAAGGGACACGTGGTTGAAGGGCCACAACCCGTGAGAAGAAGAGAAGGCAAAACCATCCATCCGACTCCCCATTTCAGAAGACAGCAGGCTGACCACTAGCGACAGAGTGCAAGCCCGTCACGGCTCTGGCCTGACCCTCGCTGCCTAATGGAAGAGTGGGGTGGGGAGGGGCAGAGGGAGCCAGGGTGCCCCCACCCCGTCCGATCAGAGCAGGCCCTCCCTGCAGGAAGGAAGAAGGCTTTTAACAATTAACACGCTGACCCCCACAAACATCTCACGGGGCTCCAGGAAAAGGGCTTCCTTATTCTTATCCATAACACTGCTAAAAACAAGCCAGACAATAGAAGACAGAGTGTTTTACAATTGAAGCTGTCGCCGGTGAGAGCCTTAAAGTAATATATTCCCACGTGAAAATGCGTCAGGCTGAACACCTAACACCCGGGCCCTTTGCTACGTACAAACTAAACTTCAACTAAAAACCAAACACAAAAACCAAAGACCTGTTTCTTAAAAGTTTCCCATAGGCTTCTGAAAATCAGAAGGAGTCCCGGCCCCTCTCTCCAGAAATGCTTATTTGTATTTATATATAAAGCGTTTTTTGTGTTTGTTTTCAGGAGCCTCAAGATGGGCTTAAGACAGAACCCTAGTTCAGGGGCACCTGGGTGGCTCAGTGGGTTAAAGCCTCTGCCTTCAGCTCAGGTCATGGTCTCAGGGTCCTGGGATCGAGCCCCGCATCGGGTTCTCTCTGCTCAGCGGGGAGCCTGCTTCCCCCTCTCTCTCTGCCTGCCTCTCTACTTGTGATCTCTCTCTGTCAAATAAATAAATAAAATCTTAAAAAAAAAAAAAAGACAGAACCCTAGTTGAGATGATTCAGAAGTCCCCTTTCCTGAGAAAGTCACTCGTGGAAAGGGTGACTGATACACTTACTTCGTAGATTTTTGATGACGGATCGAACTTTGCTGCCTGAGAAACGTGAGCGCGATGTTCGAGGGAAGGCAGGAACTGGAGAAATGGAAGGAAACAGTCGTTCGAATGCGCTCAGGCCCTGCACAGGGGTGTGTTGGGGGGGGGGTTCATCGTGGGAGGCCTGATTCGGAGCATCCGCATGGCCACCGCTCGCTGGCACACGAGTGAGGTGTCCTTGCTGGGTTCGTCTGAGAACACCCCAACTCCACCCCCACCCGGACACTAGGAACAGCTGACACACGCTGGACTCAGGGGCTGCTCTCCCCAAAGACCGTCAGCAGCTTTTCCAGGCGAGAGGCCCCTAGAAGCTACAGAAAGCTCTGCCTCTTCTGTCTGTCCTGAACACTCGTGACGCCTACTTACCATCTTAAATGGATTTTCGAAGGACGCCATTATGTTCTGGGCTTTCTTCTGGGCAACCGTTAATGGGCTCTTTCTAGTTTCTTCGGCACTAGGCTCCTGAAGGGACAGAAAGTGAGCAGCTTATCCCATCATCGTTCTGCGGCATCACGATGCGAGCAACGGAATGATCGTAACAGCAGTAAGAAGGGGCGCCGGGGTGGCTCAGTCGGTTAGGTGTCTGCCTTTGGCTCTGGTCATGATCCCGGGGTCCTCGGATCGAGTCTCGCTTCCAGCTCTTTGCTCGGCGGGGAGCCTGCTTCTCCCTGTGCCTGCTGCTCCCCCTGCTCCTGTTCTCTCTCTCCCTGACACATAAATAAATAAAATCTTAAAAAACAAAAACCAGTAGAATACCAGCTAACTCTTTAGGTCTCTCACACGTACGGAGCACTGTCACACCCTGTGACGGCACCCAGGAGGGCTTTTAAACACACATTTATTGAACCAGTGAACTGAACTGTGTCCTTACAACTTACGAGGTAGGTAATGTTATTCTCACCATCTTCCAGATGAGGAAACTGAGGCACAGAACGCTTAAGTCTTCCAGAGCCTGACAGCGAACAGGGGCAGAATGAGGACTCCCACCCAGGTCTGTCGGGCTCTAGAAGTTGAGGTTATAAGAAGACATTCACAAATTAAGAATTATAAACCGTTGTGGGGGCATCAGGGCAATTATGCGACTAGATGTTGTACAAGTGGGTTCAGAATGTGTGCTATGCTTCTGCTTCCTCCGTGGTGACGGTCCCGCCACACAGAGCACGGGGATACCACTGCCTCTGTCAGCCAGAGTGCGCGCTTCTGGGTTCACGTGGCCCAAAGTTCACGCTCCTTTTTTTTTTTTTTTTTTTAAGATTTTATTTATTTATTTGACAGAGAGAGATCACAAGTAGGCAGAGAGGCAGGCAGAGACAGAGAGGAGGAAGCAGGCTCCCTGCCGAGCAGAGAGCCCGACGTGGGGCTCGATCCCAGGACCCCGAGATCATGACCTGAGCCGAAAGCAGAGGCTTAACCCATTGAGCCACCCAGGTGCCCCACGCTCCTTTTTTTAAGCTGCCGATTCACCTTGCTCGCTTAGAGCTCCCGGACTTCTCTGCTCACAAATTACTGAAGCAAGACCCAATCTAAATGTCTGTGATGACGTGAAAAAGAAAGTCAGCTCTGAGGCAGTACATTTTGCGGGCGGCATGGCGCCTTCCCGGCGCTGGGCCTGCGCTCTGGTGTGAAGGACTGGCTGTGACCCATGATCCTGGAAGCTTCGGACCCGCCCAGCCGTTTCCCCCATGAACAGCTGCTACGCCAGAGACTATCTTTATCCAAACGCATCGTACGCCTGCTTCTCTTTCTTCACAGAAATTATGATTTTTCCTTTAGCACATCTGTTGTGTGCACCCTTCAGAGTTTTCTCTGTGTGCTTTCCTTTCACGCTGGTCTCTGCAGTGCCCACCCATCTGGACCAACACCACACCGGGTCCTGCTTTCCCGAAGAGCCTGTAGTTGAAGCCCCGGGAGGAACGAGACACCTGCTGGGCAGGACAGACCGCGATAAGCTCTGTCACAACTGGGTGCGGAGTCTAGGACTACGTGGTCCGGGACTGGACAGAGTCACTGCCTTAGCACGGCTCAGCCCCTCTTTGGGGAAGTTCCCACCCACGTACCAGTGCCCTCCTGCCTTGCTCGTCACTCTCATCAGCCACCGCGTGCAGAAATGCTTTTCTAAGCTGCCTCTTTCCCAGCCCGAGCCCGTGCCGGTGGTGCTGGCGGGTGCTGCAGAGGGACGCACGCGGTCCCTGCAGTCGAGCCCAGCGCTCAGCCCGCACCTCCCCTGCGGCTGCAGGGGAAGGTCCCGCTCCGGAAGCACTGCGGCCCACGCCATCCTCCCTGCTAGGCATTAGCAAGCGTCCAGATGTCAACCCTTCCTTGGGCGTTTCTCCACACGGAGCTCCACCCACCTCCAGTGCACTGCCCGCAGATCTGTCTCCACGCCTGTCCCCACGGCTGCTGGGTGTTACCTCTGGTACGGTGGATGCAGCACTCCCGGCAGAAACTCCTGACAGGTCTACGCCGCCCCCCACCCCCGCACCCCCGCCCGTGTTTCCAACACTCACGTTAAACAGCGTGATGACGGCAGTAGCGATAAGGCATCTGGTATCTGGCAGGGTCTCCTCTCTTTGGTCGGGGAAGAGGCTTGCCTGTTTCTGCGCTGGCGCAGGCTCTAAAGGGATGAAGTCAGCAAGGTCAAAGCCTCATGGAGAGTGCGGAAGGCAGTTTCCAGAACGTTCCAGAGACCTCTACATTACCGTTGCTGGGGATGACAGGGTGGCCATCTGAAGAGGCGTGGGAGCAGTCGTGGGGTCCGAAGAGAACATTCTCCAATCTCTGCAGCAGAAAGCAAGCAACAGCCCCCATGAAGGACTTGCAAGCGTGCGGAAGCTTTCTGCCGCGGTGCTGCGGGCTCCCGACTGGTGCCCTCCCACAGAAGACAGACGACAGACACAGCACTCTACCTCAGGACCAGGCAGCGGGCCGCTCTTCCGTACGCCAGCTGCAACTTCAGACTGAGGAGGAAAAATAAAGAGTAGCTGAGGAACGGCGCCCCAGCTTGGCGACCCCACGTGCCTCCCCCAGCACGGACTGCGGCCCCTCACCGGGTGGGTTTTACGAGAGCCCAGCGCTGCTCCTTCGTCCTTCAGCCCATACAGTGCCTGGCACTATTATCACTTAGTGCTCAGTCATACTTGTTGAATGAAAGAATGAAACCCTTGATCGTGACCAGGCACAATGTAGAAGATTTCCAAGAGCCTGAAAGGGCTTCTCCTCTAGGAACCAGGGTTTCTCTCTTTACTTGGCCCCACTGTAGAGCTAACACAAGATTCTTTTAAAGAAATTTTAACGTGAAGACCGAAATGTGTTTATCCTCAGTTTCTTCCTTATCATCCTAAAGGAACTGATTTTAAGTCTTCCTGGATCCATACTCTTTCCAAGAAAATCCCAAATACAATTTACCAATATTACTACTGAGGCAGCACAATGAAAAACTGTCCCCCAAGTTAAAACTGAATTGGGTGGCTCAGTCAGTTAAACATCCGACTCTTGACTCCAGCTCAGGTCATGGTCTCGGGGTCGTGAGATCGAGCCCCATGTTGGACTCCGTGCTCAGTGCAAAGTCTGCTTGAGATTCTTTTCCCTCTTCCTCTGCCCGCTCCCCTGATGGTGCACACACATGTGCTCTTTCTTGAATATAAATAAATGAAATCTTAAAAACAAAAACAAAAATGAGAAGCTTTAGCTTTTGATAATCATAAAGCAGACACGTTGGGACACCTACGTAGCTCCGTTAGTTAAGCGTCTGCCTTTGGCTCAGGTCATGAACTCAGGGTCCCGGGATTAAGCCCTGGTTTGGGCTCCCCGCTTCCCCGCTGAGCAGGGAGCCTGCTTCTCCCTTCCTCTCTTTTTGCCCGTCCCCCAGCTCTCTTTCTCTCAAATAAATAAATAAAATCTTAAAAAAAGGTGGGGGGGGTCGCCTGGGTGGCTCAGTGGGTTGAGCCTCTGCCTTTGGCTCAGGTCACGATCCCGGGATCCTGAGCTCAAGCTCTCTGCTCAGCGGGGAGCCTGCTCTCCTTCCTCTCTCTGCCTGCCTCTCTGCCTACTTGTGATTATCTGTCAAATAAAAAAAAAAAAAGAAAAGAAAAGACCTGTCTAGTGGCCTTCCCAAGCCCCATTATTTTTTTGGGATTTTATAGAATGGAGACCAGATCATGTACGGGGGAGACCGTGGGGGCCAGCAGACACAACAGGTCCGCTGGGCTGGAACCTTCAGCAGCAAAGCTTCCTACCTTGAGCAAGGGCATCTCCCGGGCCTGCTGGATTAAAAGATGTATCTCATTGAGCTGCTGCCGTACAAGAGGTGGGACAGGGTTACAGCAAGCTATGATGCCCTGAGGTTCCCTGAAGACAAGAAAGCACACACTCAACTCATCTTGTAGGGACGCAGCTCCCCACAGGCTTCCAGATGAGAACAGAGCGCTACGGCTAGGGTGACGACCTGGGAAAGCATGCCCAGCGGGGCGGTCCGGGCCTGTGGCATCTGCGTGTGTTCTCTGTGGCCCCAAGCTTGCTGCTGGCGCCTCCGGCAGCTCGCCTCGGGCTAACTGGGAGAGCTGGGAGGAGCCCCACAGCTCTGTGGAGCCGCAGCACTGCACCAGGCTCAACGGAAGACAATGAACCTGGGTTCCTTGCTTATCCTTCAGTTAACATCAGAGAGCATTCAGAACCGTCACGTGTCTCGGTTTGGAACCGATGACAACTGCGAGGTTCTGAGATGCTTTCCTCCCTTCCCAGCGGATGCTGGAGGCTCAGACTTGCACTGGATCTCATCTGAGGCAAGGCCGCTGAAAAGGCTGCAGCTCAGAAGGTCTAGTTCCTGCAGGGCAGCCCGAGGGCACAGATTCTGGACTTGTGAACTTCCTTAGAACACAATCTACTGAGTCAACAGCCTTGAGGTATGAACGATCAGAGAAGCTGATCTGAGGGATAAAATGTCTCTAGTGAGAAAGTCAGGACTGCATTCTCAGTTCTTGGGACTCACTTGGGCAGTTCTTCTGCGACCTTCAGCATCATGTGGTTAGGCAGGACATATCTGGAACAAAACACACAGTGCGATGGCCTTAGAGTCAGCCAGCCAGCCCCGTTAAAGGCTATAGCCTGGGGGAAAATGTAACCAATTTCCACGGTGAAGAGAAAAAAGCCATTATTTCCTCGCTACCCGAGCTGCTCGCTCTAGAAAGCGGATATTAAATGAACGACTGATCCCCTTACCCATAACTTTCATCCTCCCTACGAGCCGTTTTATCCCTCCAGGCAAACAGCAGCTGAAAGGCTGTCAGCTGCTGGGTGTTGAGATGCTTCTTCTGCTTCCTGTACAGTTCAAGATAGGACTCGTCAGTGAAGATGGGCTTGACGAATTTCTGCCAAATATTACAAAATAGTCAAGATCAGTGGGGATCCTAATCGTGTCCTGGGCTCTTCAGAACGTGCGGCTCTTTTCAGAAATGTGAGGGACAAAGAGAAGCACCAGGGCCTGGGTGGAGACAGAGGCCGTACCTTAAGGCAGATGTCCCTGCTGCGTTGCCACACGACCTGCAGCTGCGCGGGCTGCTCGTTGCCTTGCTCCCACAGCTCCAGCCGCATCTTATCATAGATGTAAAGCAGGTAATGGGTGTCGTCCCGGGCGTAGTGGAGCATTTCCTCGGGCAGAGGTCTGGGATTGCAAGCAAAGAAGTGATTTTGCGGCTCACCCCTAGAAGCAGCCACGTCACCTGTCCGCTCTGTGCGGGCGAGGACTCTGATTATCACAGCCAATACTATAATTATATCCCTAGTCCTGAAATCTTAATGGGACAAGCCTGTCTTCACAGCTGGGGAGAAAGGGCAGCAGGGTCACAATGCAGTTGAAAAGAGGGGCCCTGCCATCCTGAGTCTGAATCTTAGCTCCGCACACCTGTCCTTGGACCAGTCACGTAAGCTCACTTTCCTCCCTGGTGAAGTGAAAGACCTCACAGGCTGCTGTGGGGACCACCGTGCACAGCACCCCGGGAGCTCTCAGCTCAGTGCTCGGCACATGACAATGGCTAAATGACAGGGAGTGGCTTTCAGACTTTGTCAGTTTTCATCTTCTGTCTGGGCTTTACCAGATTCTCTTTAGAAATTTGGAAATGCTGAACTGGAGGAAGCCGAGCGGCTTCTTCAGACAACAGCTGCAACCTCAGGGAGGAAGGCTGACAGCAATCCAGCAGGGCCCAGACTCCAGAAAGTGCGGCAGGACCCCGCCGCCACGCTCTCACACCACAGTTCCCATGTGCCATAAGGTGCAAGCTTACGCCCCTCAGAATTTCCCTGAAGCTCTGGGAGATCATCACCACCCACCCACCCACCCACACAGACACACACACACACCCTTCCCTACCAAGAAGTTTCAAACGAGACACTGGCAGGGACACAAATACTGACGTGGCATGCCTCTTCCAACCACCATCTCTGTGATGCGTGGGAGCCCAACACGTGCTCCACGTGGTTGCCCTAAACCTTCCAGTCGGGCTTCTGCTGCTGCCCAGAGCGGCAGGACAGACCGGCGCCAGGCAAGCCATGGTGCCACCACGGTCACCACCTGCACGTGGGTCTGTGTGGCCGAGAGGCTCAGGAGCAGCCGCCCGCCCGTGCTCATCAGGCACACACCGTATTCTCCAGTCGGCCAGCTGGTACTGCTTGTTCGACTCCACACCGCAGTAGAGTTTCAGGAGATGGTCCAGGGAGTGCCGGCCCAGGTTCAGGAGGCGTGCCGCCTGATGGGTATCAAACATATTCACTACGTACAAGCCGAAGTCTTTCTGGAGCCATTCGATGTCCGAGTCAGCACCGTGGAAGACCTGGAAACACAAGCGGTTGTGAGCCACCATGCGTTCAAGGCCACTCGTGCTCTGGAATGAGCTTAGCCTCTAGGTTAGCCTCTAGGAATCAGAAGCCAGAAGGAAGGTTAAGATGAGTTCAGTTTTAAAAGCTTCTTTTCCTTTGGACCAACGGCCTTACAGGCTCCTAACTGCACACTCTTAAAGTCTGAAATGGCTCCCAGCCAGTGATTCTGAAAAAGCAGCTCTCATAGCCTCAAGGGTGGTCATTAAGGGCAAAGGATCCTGATGGCGCGGGCTCGCTGCAGTCGTCAGGAACGTGACGGAACGTTCCTCGGGGTGGTAGCGAGCCACAGTTTAAGCTGCTCTAATTGGGGCTTAGAAACAAAAGCGGTTTAGTGCGTGGGGCCGGGATGTAGATTACAATGATTTCTCCCAACTTCACCAGGTCTCTGTTGAAATAATGGAACAGTAAACCAAACAGCACTTAAATCCTGGGCTCACAGGCAAGAGCTACAGGAGGGGCTGACCTTGACGACGGCGGGGTCTGTGAGGCTCTCGTTGAGAATGTACATGTCGCTGCGAAGCTCCAGCGTGTCCACGATGAAGTCTTCCGCTCGGGTGGAGATCTGCATCAGGCACGTCAGGCCCAGGAAGCTCCTGTACGAGTGGTGCTAACTCCCGGAAAGGGGAGAACGGGGAAAACGGATCACACCAGGCTTTCCTTGACTGATTTTGGGGGGGCAGCTACAAAAGCAGCTCTACGACTGCTCGGTTTTTGCCAAACAGCAGCAACAACAGCAAAAAACCAAACCCAGATCTGTTAGTCTTTTTATTTTTTTAATTTTTTTGAAGATTTTTATTTATTTATTTGACACAGAGAGAGAGATCACAAGTAGGCAGAGAGGCAGGCAGAGAGAGAGGAGGAAGCAGGCTCCCCGATGAGCAGAGAGCCCGATGCGGGGCTCGATCCCAGGACCCTGAGATCATGACCCGAGCCGAAGGCAGAGGCTTTAACCCACTGAGTCACCCAGGCGCCCCCAGATCTGTTACTCTTAATTTTATACTCCTCAGGTAGGGAGTAACTCCTAGAAAATGTAGAATTTCACTCCACATCATTCACAACTTACCTCTAAGTCTACGGCGAATTCTTGGCAAGTCAAGAGCTTTTCATTGAGTTCCACCAGCTCATCCAGGGAGGACACGAAATGGCAGGGCGTCTCTGCCACAGGCCTGTATAACTGGGGCACAGAAGAACGGGCAGAAAAAGAGAGGAGTGTTCAGAATCACCCTTCACTAGAGCATAAAATGCATCAGGAGCTCAAGAGATGACCTGACGTTGCAACCTTTTACTGTAAAGTCACTTAAGAAAAGCCCGAATTGCGTTGATTTGGTTTTTCCTGGGTTCCTCAGAGAGCGTCCGTGAACGAGGTCTAGGTGCTAACCTGAGGCTGTGGCTTTTGCAGGACTGAATCTGGTGGAGTGAAGTGATCCAGCTCATACTGATAAGGATGTGCAAACCTGAAAAAGTGAAAACAAAAAGAAAAATCCTTTTGCTGAATTCCGTGGTTCAAGGAAAAACAACTGCTTTAATCCTATGTGTGAAAACAAATGAGCAGAGGCCATTGTGAAAATATTTTATCGCCATAAAAAGTACCATGATTTTAATAATTCAAGGGCATCAAAAAAAAAAAAATCAGGTCCAACTGGTTCACCCTTACAACATGATCACTAGAGATCTACCCCTCTGTAAGGATGTGAGCTCTTATTTCCAAACACTGCACGGCTGCCACCGTGGAGGATATAAAAACGTACAACGGGGCGCCTGGGTGGCTCAGTGGGTTAAGCCTCTGCCTTCGGCTCAGGTCATGATCCTGGGGTCCTGGGATTGAGCCCTGTGTCGGGCTCTCTGCTCAGTGGGGAGCCTGCTTCCCTCTCTCTCTCTCTGCCTGCTGCTCTGCCTACTTGTGATCTCTCTCTCTCTGTCAAATAAATAAAAATCTTAAAAAAAAAAAAAGCATAACGTGCAGTTCCTTGTGGTCTGGCAAACAGACCTGTGAGGTCAGAGAGGACGGGGCCCATATCGCGGTTGGTCAGATGCCAAATGCTCTATGTTTTTTATTCCTCTATCATCCACTTGCATAAAAATCCCAAGTCTGTGAGTTCGTTGAGGGCAGGACCACCTCTCATCACCTCTGTTTCTTTAGCACTTGGCCTGTGGCCTCGCAGTGCAGAGCCAGGCCTGAAGGAATGCTGCCCAGCCGGACTGTGGCTACATGCGAGAGAAAGACCAACGCTAGCCGAGTTCTTCCCACCTGTTTCCTTCACGCAAGGTCTATTTGTATTTGTCTATGTTAAGCAGGTTTTTTGTTTTTGTTTTTGTTTTTAACAGATGCTTATGCTGCCAGTGAAAAACGCCTTTTCTTTGTTGAATTGATTAGGGGCCCCTACCTCACTATTTGGAGTCCCCACCTGCTAAGAAAGGCAGCACGGCGCAGAATGGCAGGGAAGAAGGACCGTTTTAAGGAAACCTGGGGTTTCAGGTTCTGGCTGTGTGGGAAGGCAACATGGCACCCCTTGTTTTGTCTTTACATCTGGACAAGGGGGCGGGCAGAGCGACCGCTCCCTCTCAGGGCTGCCGTGAGTGAGGGTTACCCGGGACGCCGCCCGGGCAGGTCCCCTGTGAACACAAACAGGAGGTTTTACCGATCCGCTGTTAGGATAAGGATAGCAATCACCCATTCCTCACATTCTTTGTTTACACTGATTATTTTACAAACATGAAACTGAAGGAGAATATAGAAAGTTCAACAAATACTTACATGTCCTGTTCCACCTGCTGGGTTCTCTGCTGATGGATGAAATCCGCCAGTGCAGGGGGGACGTCCAGGTCTTCTGGCCGGTCCTGCGGGCGCTCCCTCCTTTCTTTAGAGAGTGCTGGAGACCCAAGCAGACACAACCCCGCCATCACAAAGAGGTGAACCCACTCACAGCTTGCCTTGTTACGGAGCGGGTCGGTGGCTCCTTTTGAAGAAAAGAAGGTGGGAGGGAGACATCTTCCCCTTTCCTGAGGCAGAGTTCGCATGCCTTACCCTGAGGGAGGGGTTTCTGAGCATTGGGCTTGATGAAGATCTTGGGAAGAAATGGAGTGTTGGAGTTGTCGATCTTCTCTCGGAATTTAAGCTGAGGCCGGACGATGTTTTTTGCATGAAGCAACCGGAAAGTTTCAGATTTTGTTTTTTTGCTATACTCTCCTGCCTGTGGTAACAAATACAAAGACTTTTATAACACAGCCACTTGATGAATTAGAGAAGTAAATTCCAAAAAAAGAAAAAAAGAAAGAAAAGAAAAGTAAATTCCCATTTGTAAATGGGAATGCCCTTCGGAGGGCATTCACTGAAGAATGTGTATGTGTGTGTGTGTGTGTGTGTGTGAGAGGTTGTGGGGTGGAAAGGAGACAAGACGTCATCAAGCTGTGAGAACAAGTTAGGCAACGGCCAGTTCTGCATCCAATAAATCAGAAGAGAAATGCAGAACAGGATGGGCAAAGGCCTTATTATAAAGCTGACCCTTGAAGCTCTAGTTGATTAGCAAAGAAGCCCTCACCTTACGGTTCCAGCTGGACACTATCGTTTTGGGAACCTGCAATCCTGCTGGGAGGATAGGCTGTTGATTCTTATTCACACCTGATGCTTCATCCAGTAAAATACCCTAAGGGCAGAGGATGTCATAGGTTAGCATCTTCCTCTAAGGATTAACAGGTTAATTACCTAAAATTCTTAAGAAACAGATTCAAGAGAATTACGTGTGAGAACATATATATATGAGGGAGCCATCCCAAGTAATTAAAGCATTATTTGCTCAAAGACAGGGCAGTAACTGGCCACTCCCCACCCTCGATAAAATCCCTTTACCGCTCTCAGTTGGGCTGAAAATTAAAAAAATGATTCAACAGTGGGATGTGGCCCACAGAAAGAATATAAAAGACCCTAGATTGCACCTATTAAACACAGAAGGATGGTACTTGGACAGTGAAGGGGGTTCTAATCTACTCTTCAATCGAAGCAGGGGTACGCTATCAGTTTGGCAATCCAGGTGACAAAGAGTAGCATGGTAGGACTTGAAATCATAAAATATGAGAAATTGCTGAAAGACCTGTGGGCATTTAGATTATGGAAGAGATGACTTCAAGGACAGGAGACTGAGATTGAAACATCTGCAGGACTGTCACATGGTTGAGAGTTAGTTTTGTTTTGGATTATCTCTATGTTTTTCTGTAAGTAATGTTCTGCTGTAGAATCAGGTCTAAGTAGACAGTCAGCTACATTATACGATACACATCTCCTTCCAATCATGCGAGTCAGGCTGTTTAGCAGATTGTAGATAACAGTTTAAAAAAAAAGGAGGGGCTTAATTTTGGTTGGGCTCTGCACCCAGAAGCCTCTTCTTTTGCAACACAAAGAGGGATTTGCAAATCTGGAACGCAGATTTGTAACAGGCCTCCACTGAGTGGTGATAGGTTGAAGTCATATATTTGAAGACAACTGTGTTATCTTTGGGAAAAAGAAACCAATTGTCAGAAAGGGAATGTTGTTGGAATAAGAAATGCTAAGCTTTTCATTTCCTCAGATGCTGGAGTTTCTTTTTACATTTTAATAATATAAAAAGTTCTTCATTTGTTAACTTTTTTTTTTTTTTTAAAGATTTTAAGTAATTTCTGTGCCTGATGTGGGGCTCAAACTCACAACCCCAAGAATAAATGTCGCCTGCTCTTCCAACAGAGCTGGCCCAGAACCCCCATTTGTTAATTATCTTAAGAGTAATGTGATGGGGCGCCTGGGTAGCTCAGTCGGTTAAGAACCTGCCTTCGGCTCAGGTCATGATCCCAGGGTCCTGGGATCGAGCCCTGCATTGGGCTCCCTGCTCAGTGGGGAGTCTGCTGTTGCCCCTGCTGTGCTCTCTAGCTCTGTCAAATGTAAAAAAAAAAAAAAAAAAAAAAAAATCTAAAAAAAAAAAAGAGTAAGGTGAAACACTCACCACTCTTTCCAGAATGACATCATTGGTATCAACTAGTAAATCAAACTTGTCCTCCAACTCGGTCACTTTACTTCGGTCCTTAATGTTGCTTCGACACCCATGGTACTGCATTACCCTACTCATACTAGGAAGGACAGGAAAATCAAGGTTACTTTGTAAACTTGTATTCATTTGTTCCCAATCTGGGAGAAAGCTTGAAAGGCTTGGCTTAGACTGTTTTATATATATATATATATATATATATATGTATTTTTTTTTTTAAGATTTTATTTGTTTTAGAGACACAGAGAAAGAGAGAGAGAGAGCGTGTGCGCACAATAATCAGGGTGAGGGTTAGAGGAGGAGGGAGAGAGAGAGAATCTGAGGCAGATTCCTTGCTGATCCTGGAGCACGACACGGGGCTTGAGCTCACGACCGAGAGATCATGACCTGAGCTGAAACCAAGAATCAGAGGCTTAACTGATTGTGACACCCAGGTGCAACCCCTCCCCAATACTTTTTGATCGAACTAGTGTTAAGGGCCTGTTTAGCCAGAGCAGCTCCATCCTGACCCTGCCCCGCCCCCTTCAGGGAACTTACTTAAAAACAAGTCCCGGAAACCAGTCCCAGGTAACAAAGCCTAGATACAAGGGTGGGTCAGGCCAGGTGGAAGTATCCAATCGGTGCGGACCATACTGTCTCCTAGCTACCAAGGAGTATGGGCCCCGCCCTTTGGATGTCCTCTGGACACCAATTATGACCAAGGTGATAGGCTAGTTCAAATATCTACTATAGGGTAAATTGTAATTCAATTGGTCACTTATGTGTGACCTAGCAGGACTGTGCAGCTTTCTCTGTGTTACAATCTCATTGGTCACCTGTGCATGGCCAGGCCCAACCACATGGCCTTTGCCCTTAAAAGCTAGTCTGTAAAGAAGAGAGAGGTCACCTCTTTGCAAGAGACAGCCCTGGCCGGTCAGTTTAATTCTCGATGCTTGGTACAAAATAAAGCTTTGCTTGACCTTCACTTTGCATCAGTCTTGCTCCTTTGACCATGGACCCAACACTAGTAAAACTTGCACCCTTATAGCAGAAACACTGCTATTTGTGTGGTTTTGGGCAATTTCCTAAATCTCACTAAGATTCCCTCTCCTCATCTGTTAGTTGAAGAGTTGGAAGAAATGACCTCAAAGCTTTCTTTAAATTCTAAAAAATATATCATACTATGTAAATAATATACTTTGCCTTCATAGCTTTATCATGAAATCTAAAACAGATGCTCTAACTCTGTCATGCAACAGTTAAACAAAATCACTGTTTGTGTACTATGTTCATACACTTATTAAAAAGGTAATAGCCACGGCGCTGCAAACTGTGTGATAGAATCTTGGATCTAGGCTTTTAAGTCCCACTTTAATTCAGAAAGATTCACTGTCTACGTATAGGTGCAAAAGTCAATATATTTTTTAAAAGTTAAACTCAAAATTTACCAAATAACATTTCCCTGATCAAAATCCATTGTCTCTTTTAGAGACTTTTTTAAAAGTAATTTACACTCAAAATGGGGCTCAAACTCACAACCCCAAGATCACACATGCTCTACCTATTGACCCAGCCAGACACCCCCACTGTCTCATTTTTATATTTTATAACTTTTCCTTTGTGTTTTTTTTTTAAGATTTACTTATTTATTTGAGAGAGGCAGAGAGAGAGAAAGAGAAGTAGTATGTGGTGCCTGACTAAGGGTTCAGTCTCACAACCCTGAGATCATGACCTGAACTGAATCAAGAGTCAGATGCTTAATCAACTGAGCCACCCAGGAGCCCCTAGAGCTCTTTACAGCACAGAAAAAGAGTTAAGAAAAAACAAATTTTAGGAAAACTACCTATTTCTCTTTATTTATTTGTCTCAACTTGAGAAAATCATATATAGTACTTACCACTGAAGCAATCTGTCTCCCTGTGTTTCACAAAATGCCTGGAAGCCAGGAAAACTTCGGTAGAAATCATACTCATCGCCAAACTGTGGTAGGCCCCCAGATGCCTTGGTGACTGCCACCACTGACCCGAGAGCAAACTGTCAAAAACCAGAAAAAACAAGCATGTTTCAAACATGGATCCCCATTCATTCAGCAACTCACTTGTCTCAAGATCTGCTACATAGGGGCGCCTGGGTGGCTCGTGGCTCGGTGGGTTAAAGCCCCTGCCTTCGGCTCGGGTCATGGTCCCAGGGTCCTGGGATGGAGCCCCGCATCAGGCTCTCTGCTCAGCACAGAGCCTGCTTCCCCCCCTCTCTCTGCCTGCCTCTCTGCCTACTTGTGATCTCTGTCTGTCAAATGAATAAATAAAATCTTAAAGAAAAAAATCTGCTATATATAATACATTGTGCTGGACAGTGAATTTCATATATTCAACAAACATTCATTTAATGCTGATTTTACCCAAGGCTCTGAGGATATGACAGTGAACACAGAACCAAGTTTTGGAGCCTACATTCTTGTGTGAGTGGGGAGAGAGAGAACAAACGCATATATGACAAATATTCAAAACTGCCTGGGTTTAAATCTTGGCTCTGCTACCTATTAACTGTGATCCTGGGTTAAGTTATTTATCTGGATCTTAGTTTCCTTCTCCAAAAAACAGGCATAATAAAAGTGACCACCCCATAGAGTTGTTGTGAGGATTAAATGAGCCAATAATATCACACTGGGTGGTGCCTGGTGAGCACATTAGTGCTATTATTAATACTGTTCAAATTCGGGTCCATGAGCTTCTACAAGAATTCACTTCTGTGTTTTCATGTGGGCAACATCTAAAACAGAAGAACACTCTAGATCCTTTGCTGGCCAAATTATAATGGCCACTGCCCACAACTGGACTTGTGTCTGTTTTCGTTAGTGCCAAGTAGTTCTCTATTTTAACTGTTGTGTGGTAATGAGAAAAAGTCTCAAGTGGCTGTCATAAAGACATGATGGTCGGTCATGTGAAGGCCAAATGACATCACTGAGAGCTGTGTAATGAGTGTTTTCCAGGGGGAGACCAGAGAGAAAGGAGGTGGGAACTTGCGTCATGGTGGGGGACACCTGGTAGCCGGTGAGCAGGACCGCGACCAAATCAGGACCATGGCTAGTGGTCCAGGAACTACCAGAGCCAGAGCCAAACAAATGAATAATGACATCGACTAATGATGATCCACCTAACTGAGTGGAGTTTGGGGGAATACGCAGTGCAAACTTAAAACATTAGTTTTCTGGTTTTGTAAGAGCTATGCATCAGGTGTTTAAACCTAGTTTTGTTTGTTCATATAAGGAGCATTACACAAATAATCCCCTCAGTGTTCCTTCGAGGAGGCACTGATAAACGTTCTAAGGCCCTAGAGGAGGCCAGCTCGGTGGCAGCTGTAACAGGTGACATTAAACCCAGGGTCTGGGATTATGTAGGACTGCACCACAGGAAAAGGGGACCATCTTGGCCGCAGGAGCGGAGAACGCCGACTGGTGTGGCCTACAGTAGCCGAAGCCCTTCGGAGAGGTAATTAGATGGCTCAGGCCTGGGGCGGGATGAGGTCGCGACGGCTGGGGGCATCAGGGTGACAAGGAAGCCCTTCCCACGACGCGGACATGGCTCTCCACACTCCATGCAGTTGCATGGACTCAAATGTGGGAACGAAGGCCCTGGGAAGCGTGGCGTCCCTCAGTGTCCGCGTGCGATCTCCGCCGCGGAGGGGAAGTGAGAGACCGTGCCCGGCCGGGGGAGCGGCCCCTCGACCCTCGCCCCGGGCTCCGCAGCGGCGCGCGCGCGACCCGCTGGGCGGCCGCGGAGAGGGCCCGGGTCCGCTTCCGGCCGAACGCGGGCGGCTCCCGGTGCCTCCGGAGGCCCTGCGAACTCACCTTCACGAAGCTGTCCGCGTCCGGGAAGCCCGGCAGCACCATTTCCCCGTCGGGGTTGGCGGCGCTCGTGGCAGTCGGGGCCTTTGGCTCCCGGGGGCTGGGAGGCGCCATTTTTCCCGGCCTGCACGGCTCTTCTCGCGAGAGTGCCTCAGGCCGACGCGACGTGTGCCCACCGCGCATGTGCAAAGTTGGTCGTTCTGGGGACGAGCTGGCGGGGGCGGGGGGGCGCGGTGAGAGTTAGTTATCCTCCCTGAGCTCCTCGACCGGGGGAAGTTTACATTTTCTCTTTAACCTCACATCTTATCATCTGGATAACCTTGTGATTTACGGTGGGACCCGGGGGGACCCAGTTAATCTCATTTTTAAGGCCAGCCTCTCCCAAGCTCTTCTGGTGCCCGCCTCACGCGCTTGATCTGGGCTCCTGCAATTAACTGATCCCCTCTCTCGGACATCGTCTGTCTTCTCCCTCGCCACTGGTTCATTCCTACCGGCCTACACGTATGCTGGCATCGCGGCCAACTCCAGAGACACGAAACATCACCGTGCACCTTCCAGCCCCTTGCAGGCAAACTATTAGAGAAGGCTCTACGTGCCCCACAAGCTCACGAGCTCTCTCCAACCCCTCCAACCAGACGTTCCTGCGCGTCTACACCACTGGAAACACTCTTGCTGAGGCACCTATTGGGAACTCACACATTTGTGAAATGAATTCGGGAAGAGCTGTTCTGAGGAAGGCAGTTTTGGCAGCTCAGGCGAAGGTTGGGAAGTCTAGTGGGGTGTGGCCTTCCTCTTAAAATCAGGAGTGGCCCACCCTTAATTCATTTGGCTTAATAAGTGTGCAATAAATGGTAGCTGTTCCCGTTAGAGTATCCTGTTAACAGGAATAGGAATATCCTATTAACAGGTAACTTGTTTCCACTCTCCCCACCCTCCCCACCTCCCCACCGGCACTGGCAGAACGAAGACCTAGCCTAGTTCATTTTAACAACAAATATTTCTGGGGCGCCTGGGTGGCTCAGTGGGTTAAAGCCTCTGCCTTCGGCTCAGGTCGTGATCCCAGGGTCCTGGGATCCAGCCCCACATTGGGATCTCTGCTCGGCTGGGAGCCTGCTTCCCTTCCTCTCTCTCTGCCTGCCTCTCTGCCAGAGATCTGTGATCTCTGTCAAATAAATAAAATAAAATCTTTAAAAACAACAACAAATATTTCTGAGCCTTATTCTATATGGGTCGATCTGACACCACATATCAGGCTATGCTGTGTGCTTTACGTGAATTATCTCATCCTCGAAACAACATTTCGGGCTAGATCATAACTATAATCCATGCTTTCAGAGAAGGAAGCAAGCACAGATTAAGTAATTTGTTCAAAGTCACCCGGGAAGTATGAGGTGGAGTTGAGATTTGAAACTAGGTAATTTGACACCACAGCCTTATTTCTTTCAAACTACTTTACATGCCTCCAAGAATTTTAAGGCCTAACCTATAGAACTATACCATATGATAATTATCTTTCTCTGATTGATTTATACCGCTTAGCATAATACCCTATAGTTCCATCAACCTCATTGTAAATGACAAGATTTCATTTTTTAAAAAAAATTTTACTTTTAAGATTTTATTTATTTATTTGACAGAGAGAGAGATCACAAGTTAGGCAGAGAGTCAGGCAGAGAGAGAGGGGGAAAGCAGGCTCCCTGCTGGATGCGGGGCTCAATCCCAGGACCCTCAGATCATGACCTGAGCCAAAGGCAGAGGCTTTAACCCACTGAGCCACCCAGGGCCCCAAGATTTCATTTTTTGATGGCTGAGTAATATTCCATTGTATATATACACCATATCTTCTTTATCCATTCATCTGTTGATGGACATCTGGGCTCTTTCCATAGTTTGGCTACTGCAGACATTGCTGCTGTAAACATTGGGGTGCACGTTCCCCTCTGGATCACAACATTTGTGTCTTTGGGGTAAATACCTAGTAGTGCAATTGCTGGGCCATAGGGTAGCTCTATTTTTTAACTTTTTTTTTTTTAATATTTTATTTATTTGACAGAGAGAAATCACAAGTAGGCAGAGAGGCAGGCAGAGAGAGAGGAGGAAGCAGACTCCCTGCGGAGCAGAGAGCCCGATGCGGGGCTCGATCCCAGGACCCTGGGATCATGACCTGAGCCGAAGGCAGAGGCCCTAACCCACTGAGCCACCCAGGCGCCCCTATTTTTTAACTTTTGAGGAACCTCCATACTGTTTTCCAGAGTGGTTGTACAATCTTGCATCCCCATCAGCCGAGTAAGAGGGTTCCCTTTTCTCCACATCCTTACCAACATCTGCATGGAATTTAAGAAACAAAACAGAGGAGCATAGTGGAAGAGGGGAAAAAATAAAACAAGACAAAATCAGAGAGGGAGACAAACCATGAGACTCTTAACCATAGGAAACAAACTGAGGGTTGCTGGAGCAGTGGGGGGTGGGAGATGGCGTAACTGGGTGATGGGCATTAAGGAGGGCATGAGATGTAATGGGCACTGTTCGTGTTATATACAACTGATGAAACACTGGACTCTACCTCTGAAACTAACAATAGACTGTATGTTAATTGAATTTAAATAAAATTAAAAAAAGGAACTGTACCAATGTGTACAAAGACCCCAAAAATCATTCTTTGCCACATCCCTCCCTCCTCACAGGGTTACATGAAACCATCCTGGATTGATAGGTTAATGAGACTGTCCTTAAAGTTTCCATTAGCTCATCTACCTTTGGTAATTCACCTCAACAAAGTTGGCAGGTTTTGTCTAGATGTAACTTGAAATCCGTTGGATTGACTAAAGATCTTAATACCAAGGACTCCTAAGGAGTGTGCCTTTCTCATGGATGGCCACCATTTTCCGGGGCCCATTCATTCCCATACCCTTTATCTTTCGTGAATGGTAACATCACTGGTTGTTGATAGTTATTTCATATAGAACCAAATAAGTTATGGTGATCATATTTTCCAGAGCAAAAGAGTTGATGCATGGTTTAGAATTGTAGAAAGGTATGAGACTGACTATGAAGGTTCAAACTTACTGGTATTACTATTGACATTTAAACTCATCTTTGGTTTTAATAGAGGAGTCCTCCAATAAATGTCTATGGAGCAGCACTGTGGTCTGGGTCTCTGGCAGATTTGGGGGGTACAACGTCATGCGAGACAGGGTTCCTGGCCTTCCGATGTGCGTGCTCTTCCTAATGCAAAATTTTAAATAGCTTTTATGATTCAGTATCTCTCACTGGGTAGCTGTGGCCCACAGAAATTTAGAAATAGAAAATTTACTTCAACTGAAAATGCTGATCTTTTTTTTTTTTTTTTAAAGATTTTATTTATTTGTCAGAGAGAGAGAGAGGGAGAGAGAGCAAGCACAGACAGACAGAATGGCAGGCAGAGGCAGAGGGAGAAGCAGGCTCCCTGATGAGCAAGGAGCCCGATGTGGGACTCGATCCCAGGATGCTGGGATCATGACCTGAGCCGAAGGCAGCCGCTTAACCAACTGAGCCACCCAGGCGTCCCGAAAATGCTGATCTTTGAAAGCACTCCACAGGCACGCGCTCTGTGGAGGGATCTCTGCTTGCACTTGTCAGCTCCATCTGGTGCCCTCTCCTCCCCATTACTGTCGGCCTCTTTCATAGGTCTTGCAGCGCCTCGTTTTCTCTTTACCTGTTTGACACTGGTTATCTGTTTTAAAAATACTACTCGGGGGTGCCTGGGTGGCTCAGTGGGTTAAAGCCTCTGCCTTCAGCTCAGGTCATGATCCCAGGGTCCTGGGATTGAGCCCCGCGTCGGGCTCTCTGCAGAGCCTGCTTCCTCCTCTCTCTCTGCCTGCCTCTCTGCCTACTTGTGGTCTCTCTCTGTCAAATAAATAAAATCTTTAAAATAAATAAATAAATAAATAAAAATACTACTCGGCTTCTACTTCTCAGTTTTAGAACTTTACGCGGCTCTCCGTTGTCCAAGCATCAGGCTCAAACTCCTTGCTGTTGAGCAGAGGCAGGTCATAGTCTGGCCCCTCACTCTACCATCGGGCCCTCTTGTAGTAGCTGTCTTTCCCTTTGCTTCCACTGACCACTCGGCCAACTACACTGAACTCTGAGGTCCGACTGTGTGAAACTTCGTTTTACATATCAGAAATGGTCTAAGACTTGCAATCGAATAGAGTTCAAGCTCATACTTGCCATTCCTGCAGGACATTGTGCTTTCAGACCGACTTCCTCCTGAACGTCTTCATGTGCCTCATCTGATAAAGTCCCGCTCGTCCTTTAACACCCATGGCTAATGTCCCCTTTCCTTGAGGATTTCTTGGCTCAGCCAGTGGAATTCCTGCCTTCTGCTGAGGCTCACACCCTGCATGTAGCTCTTCTCCGCACTTGGCTTGCGGGAGTTACCAGCCCACTCCCACACGATGCCGACCCCGCTTTGTCCGGCCTGTGAACACGGGGAAGGGGGCCACGCCAGGTAGCTCCCGTGTCCTGCGTGGTACCTCCTGCTTAGTGAATGCCGGCTGCTGAAGGATACCCGCTTCCTTTATAAACTCGTACTCATGAATAAAAAGACACCCATACACGTTTTTAAAATTCTGATGTCATTTATTGGCACAAAAATTATTCAGATACAACATGGTGTCTAGAGTGGCTACACTGGATACTTTGTGCATTTAGTTTAATATTTCTTTTGCTCAGAACTCCTGCAGGTCCCAGACCTTCCCTCTCTGTGGTCGGCACCTGCAGGACAGCATTTGTTTCCAAGCCCTTGCTCTAAACACAGAGCGTTCGGATTTCACTAAAAACATCCCAGGACCGCGCTGGGGAAGGCTGTTGCGGCCTGTCCTGCTGCACCGCGGTCTCTGTGCACCTGCTCCGCGAAGGCCACCCAGCCATCAGAAGAAACTGCCCTCCCAGCATTCGGGTCTTGGACTGCAGTGTGTAAGTCACAGCATCACGGGGGAGGCAGCAGGCAGACACTTTCCACCCATTTTGGCCCATCTTACAAATGATGCTGTCTGCGGACCAATGAGGTAATGGGATGGGTAGAAGTGACCGAGTCAGCTTCTTCCGATTCTTAACACATGTCCTCCACGGCCTGAGGCTTCTTGACTGTGCAGAGTTGGCTGTATTCTTGTTGAGAGGAACGACTA